AGTGGCGGATTTAAGGGGAGGGGGCAATTAGGGGCAGTTGCCCCTCCCTCAACGAGTTGAAGCAAGTCTGGCGCCCCTTTTTTGGAAATTGTGCGCCCCTTTTGAAGAATGAGAATCAGATGAGAAAAGTTCTTGAACCGATAGGTTATTTGCTTCAAGGATTACCTCAAAGTTATGTTGTTTATTCTGAAAAGGTATCTGAAATTGTTGTATACAGCGTACTCTCGTAACAAATATTTGAAAATTTTTCAGCGCCCCAACTACCAACTGCCCCTCCTTCAAATTTGCTCTGGACTCGCCCCTGTCCTCAAGGCTCTTTGTTTTCTTTCTTGCTACAGTTGCTATTCACAAATCGGCCGAACTGGACGTGGAAGGCAGGAAATTTCAATCGGGCGAGGCTGTGAAAGCATGGGAACGGTCATTCACGAGATGATGCACGCTATTGGATTCTTTCACGAACAATCAAGAAGAGATAGGGACAACTACGTAAAAATTTACTGGAACAACATCTCAAGCAGTGAGAGTCTTTTCATTTCTTTGATTGATGTTTTTCAATCAAATCTTACAGTTTTCAAGACCTAGCCTTGATTCCAGTGATTCCAAAGTCTCCTGGAGAGGAGTTGTGAAGGCAACAGGGGAAGGGAGTTGCGGAGGAAAATGGAATGGAATCGTTATTCTTTTCCATATTTTTGCTTCCTGTGACTCTTTGAAGCACTTGTACCCAGGGTAGTCCAGACCGTATGGTTAAGGGGTATTGGTTATAGAATACCAATGCACAGATCTCTGAGAGAAAGCGTTTTCTTCTGAATTTGAATCAAACTTAACCCTTCCATAGATCCCTTCCAAAAAGAGGAATGATGTTTTAATTAAAACCTTACAAATGCTGTGAATACCAATAGGGGGGAGGCAGATTTGTTGTTTTCATGGGACTGTTATTAAAATGCTTACTCTATAAAACCCTAGTAAATGAGGCACAAAGGTGTACGACTGAAAGGGCTAGGGAAAGTCAAGGTGAAATTTTTTTTTTCATAAAATCCCCAGTCTCGTAATATGGTCAAATGAATTCCAAGTTTAGTCCTTTTTAACCGAAAAGTTCAATTCGAACAAGAGTGGAGCTACTTGATTTTCGGGGGACTGGGCCTTGAACTTAGATTTCCATCGAATGTCTAATGACATCACAGAGCTTTGAAGTATTCTAGTGATCAGCCCTACTGAAAAAGAGGCCGTAGCCACTTTTTGGAAACTTCAGCACAGCGCAATTTATTGACAGTTCAAATTAAAAAAATCAACGTCTGCAGTGGCATTTCCTATCTCAATGGACAGTTAGCTTATTCTTTCCCTGGTAGAGTCATTTAAAGAATAATTGGCAGCTTTTTCGAAACAAATAAGTATTTTTCATCACAAACCCTTTTAACTGTAATCCTTCTATATGCCTTCTGTCACGCATAAATATAGTTTGATGATCAGTGATGCAAGATGCAATATAATTGTGTGTTTATCTTAGACATGAAATTCAACTTCAACATGTACAGACAAGGACAAGCTGATACCCACAACGAGCCTTATGACAAGCAGAGTGTGATGCACTATTCCAGGTCTCTTATTTTTCTCTATTTATGATTATCTTAAAACTGAAGATCTTAAGACGCTCTACTAGCTTCTGAACCCTTCCATATTTTACAGGATTAAAAATAGTTGATTAATTAGAAAATCTATTCCAATAATAAACACAAGTAAGGTCTTTTTTAAAAAAATGCATTTAAAGTATCTAAAAAGATGAAAATCTCAAGTTCAGAAAATTTAAAACTGGGGTGTAGACCCTCAAATTGTCGTATCCTTTCTAAATTAAATTATCTTATATGATTTAAATTATCTAAATTGAATTTAGAATATCTAGATTATATTATTCATCAATTATCTTGTCTTTAATTAATGAAAACTAGGCTCCAGTTGAATGAAAACGAGATGAAATTTTAGCAATGAAAATTTTATTTTAGTTGCAATTCTTAAGTTATAGCAACAATGTATGAAAGTTTCAACAAAAGGGCGTTAGTTTTTCGATATCATTGGCTACTCAGCCAAAAATGACAAAGAGGTAAGATGTACCGGATGCAAATTCTCAAAGCAAACAAAACAACATTTCATTTAATCTTTGCCATAAATGCTAACATGAATCAAAGTAAACAAGTTGTGGAAGGTAATTCCATTGTTTTTTTGGATACAAATTTCGATCATTTAAGTCAATTTTAGAAATTTGAAAATATTTAGAAAAACAATTTTTGGTCAGAAATTATTACTTACCAAGCCTTTTTATTGTGCCAAATTTTGTATAACCAACTTACTTTTCTTCGGTACCAACTTTGTCTGAAAAGTTTAGGCTCCTGCTGGAATATTGAGTCGTTATCAATATCTAAGAACTGACAACTGCTCCTTTCGTTAAATAACTTAACTCCAGAGAAAATCTAAAGAAAATGTGAACTATAGCACAATTTTCTTGCCAATAGGTATTCATTCAGCATCAACAGAAGACCAACTATAGTTTCGAAGACAAATGAAAACGAGCGTCTTGGCAACAACTATGGCTTCACAGACATTGACGTGAGGCAGATCAACAAACACTATGGATGCAGCGGGGGAGGTCCCAACCCACCAACCACTGGCAAGCCAGTTCCTCCAACTGGTAGGCATCACCATTTAAAATTTATTCGTCGAATACATTCCATATGATTTTGTACTTAGAACTATATTGCGAAGAGAAATTTACAGACTATCTACGTTAGCCCATCGGCTCGTGCTCCTAGGTCACAGATAACGCCCCTTGTTTAACTTTTCTTAACTTTTTGAAGGCCCCAATCACATATTCTAAACCCCTTGCTCGATCCATGACAAAATTCGAAACTTCATTACAATCATTTTTAGCAATACTTTGGTTTATAAAAGATTCACCCACTCTTTTCCACCTAAAAAGAGGACTATCAAGGATTTTCAATAAGAATTTTAACAAAGGTGTACGAGGTTTAAGAGAGTGAGTTGTTCTATGGTCCTTGAACAAGCCTTCACGAAGCCTTTCTAAGTAGCTTGAGCTCCAGAGCCCAGACCCCTGACTAAAAGTACTCTTAAGTGCGGGGATGTCTGGAAGCTCCTACAATATCCGTATTGATGTTGACCGGTGCTTCGAAAACTAAACATTATTATTCTTATGACGTCATTAGTCTCAATCTCCGATTCGAGAGGCTGTCCTCGCACCCCCGGAAGGACAACATTGGACTGTGTAGCCAGGCCTGAATTTCTCATTTAAAGTTTTAGAAAGGGTTTACCTTACCTTAGCTCTATCTTAGCACATTCTTGTTTTTCCAGACTGCAAAGATATCTCTCAAGTGTGCGCAGACCACAAACACAAATGCCAAACGAACGACTTCGTTGCAAGAAGGTGCCAGAAGACATGTGGCTTTTGCTAAAGTTGACAGCATGAGTTATAAACAAAATTAGCTGATTTATTTCGATAAAATTAATGACGAAACACATACTTTTCTCATTTGACCATTTGACTATTTCTGTATATGAATTTCGCAGCTCCATGCAGGGGCAGATTTAAGCAACAATGATTGGGGGGGGGGTGTTAGACATTAATTTTGATGCCGCACCCTTCAAGTCATTGGTAAATGATGGAAACGCCCATTTTTAAAATTTGGTTTTTAACTTGGAGGAGAAGACGATAAGAAGCAGTGGCGTAGCCAGGGCTAGAAGATTGGAGGGGCAAAGAGAAGAAAATCTTTGCCGATCAAACCCTTAAGAATTTGGGATTTGCTGACCAAACCCTTCAAATTTTTCAAAGTTGTAATCTAAAAATGACTGTAATCTGAAAATTTGCCAAAATTGTAATCAAATATCTAAAAATGATAAACAGTATTTAAAAGTTTCAAACTAAGTCCGTTTTCCTTGGAGCAAAATCATTTCAGAATCCAGTTTTTAAGGATTGAAGCGCTTTAGCATGTTAGCTCCTATTTTATCGGGATTTTCTAAAGAACGTGAAGGACTTTTTATATAAACCCTCAAACGTGGGAAAAATTGTTGAACATTCTGTAGAGTGATAGAGGAGGGTCCCCTGGAGCAAGCAGAAAATTCTTGCGACGAGGCCCTTGAGATTAGCTAAAAATACATTTGAGAATATTTTTACTGTCGTTTGCGTGCAGTCTTCAAAAACATTTTAATATTGCTTGAAATATAAAGTCCCCCCCTAAGGTACTAATTCTATTGCAGATTTGCACTTTTCTCAAACACCGACTTTCTGAGCAGCCGCTCCCTGGTGGCGTGGGCCCTTGACCATCTGTCTATTGTTTTATTTTCAGTATTTTATCATTCTATTTGGTCAAACTGTACCCTGGGTACCAGACTCATTCTATGTAACATAAGAGAGTCTTTTTTATATAGAGCGAGTCTGGTACCCAGGGTACAGTCTGACCAAATTTGGCCGAATTTTGAAGTTGCTTTGGCTGAAAAGTCTGGAAATGATCTACCAGCCTTGATAAGAAGATAAATAAAGTTAAATCTTGGCGTTACTTTGTTACTACTGACTTCCAAATAATAATTTTTATCGAACTGAACCAAATTTACCGAAGAACACAGAAATATTAAGGGGTGTCGCACCCCCTACACCCCCTCCCCGCTAAATTCGTCCCTTGCTCCATGTAAAGGAAAGCACGAAACATCTATACAGTACAGGGCCCCAAACGACGGGAGCCAGGCAGTCCTTTCCGCTACTTTTTTGCAAAACAAATGAGTTCCAATTTCATTTGCTCATCTACTCTCCAACTTGCGTCGGAGCCCATTGAGTAACGAGAACGAAAAATTGTAACCAGAAAAGAGGACCAAACCCAAGATGGCTTAACCTAAAAATATATTTTCCGCTTGATGCCTTGTGATTTTAGCGAGTGGTAATACCATAGAGATGGATAACACATAACGTGCTCAAATGTCAATCCTATCAATGCTAGCAAGTAATTTGATTCATGACTCCTGACTCAGAATAAATGACTTGGTCATACAATGAATACGTTTATCTTCTATTTTTTTGTTCTAATGTAGTTATGTTTTGTCTAGATTTATGAAAAAATAAAGGCTTATAGATTTTTGTCTGAAAATCATAATTTCTCGCCCCTCCTATGAATATTCTTATCTGCGTCACTGATAGCGAGGCCTCTTACGCATGCATGGCGGGTATCAAAGTTAGGCTTCATTTGACGTTTATTTCCCTAAATGAACACACTTGTACTCTCAAGCTCAGAGTCGTTGTTGATGGTTAGAAATTAAAGTAAGTTGGGTAGAAACAAAAGTAAAAAAAATACTGTTCCTTTTTTAAGTTATATTACAAAAATCAAGTTAGGAATATGCCAGTCGAAATGGCACATTTTACTTGCTACCTAAGCTACCAGAGCTAAGACAATTGATCAGAATTCCGCATTTACAAAGCAACTTACGATAAGTAATGTCAAAAAATGTATAAACACTTTCTACAAACATTTCTTTAATGATAATCTGCCTTAATAATTGTGAACATGGCAGTGATTAACTAATTACCACATCTGGATGTATAAATATCGACAGATACAAACAAAATTAACACGGCAGTCAAAAGATACAAAATATTTCCTCCAAAAATGATTGTCAACTTTTCTTGTTTGGGAGAAAAACCTATTTCTCGTATGAATATAAGAAAGGAAGAAAGTATCCAGCCTCTTTCTCGTATGAATATTTTCAGCCTCAAGTCTGGCCAATTAAAAACATCTTGAATAAAATTAAAATGCTTTTTAATTTCATAGGCTTATGAATTGGGAAGCATATCTTAAATCTGAAGCCATTTTAAGATGGCTCGGTTCAAGTGCATATAACGAAGTTTTTATGTAAGAAAAACCCTTGGCAGCCAAGGGAAATCAGCAGTTCAAAATAGTCTATTTTCGAAACGCTTCTTTTGTTATAATCACAGCCATGCTAACAAACTTATAACGTCAAGAATAAAATTAAAGCTGCAATTAAAATTTTAACTAGAAAAACGAAACATTAGTCATTACGTTTGATACATGAACGAATTGTCAAGGAGTATAACGATTCAATCAAGTCCGAAGCTTGATTAATATTGCAAAATGTTTGTCTGTGAATCACCAGCAGTGCAACAAAATTTAACAAAACAGTTCAGCTTACAGACAAAAAAGTCAGATATTCAGTGTTATGTTATGTTGAAATATGTACAAGATTACGCGAGTCTGATATGGTTGAATACGATAAAAATGCAGGTGTTTACAACGATGAAATGCCTATTCTCCTAGCACATCGCATTCTGTCATAAACTCCAGGTTTGTGCAGCAAAATCAAACCTAACAGTCATATTTTTTTATTTTATTTCTCAAGCACCTTTGTAAAAGTAATATGCTTGACAATATGCTTGTACCTTGATTGGGAGAGCGGTGTATTCTATTTCAAACTACCTTTGGCTTAATGAGGTATAAGAAAAGCTTTTCTTATAGTTCATTGCACTGGCTAATATCTGCCATGATAATGCCTCTTTCCCGCAATCGAGTCTCCTATCGGTAGCGGGTTGCTAGACGCCATCGACTCGTGTAATCTATGTGTATTTAAAATTACGACATATAAATTTTGATTATCGAAAAATACTTGATTGTTTTCACCTGATTGTTGACAGGCAAAATACTCAGTCACTTTTCCTTAGTCGCATTACTTGCACTTACTTGGCTTTTCATAATTTCCCAACTTGTCGTAATCCCGACTACACTTGCAGATGCAGTTATGCCGGTCGTCAATGCACTTTGTCGCGGTTCGAACATTGTCGGCACCTAAGAAACAGCCTTCGTACTCCCTCCAACAGGTCTTTTTGCACAAACAGAAATTTGTGTTGGCATTTGAGCAACCATTGCCTTTGTTTGCCAGGCCATGCTGAGCGGCCGCAGTAACAAGCAAAACGACCAAGAACACTTTGATTGCAAACATTATCGTTCGTATCTCTATTTTTCTAAAAGAAAAACAGCCTCTTAAATGTTAAGTAAATGATAAAAGGAATAAACTAGGACTAAATAGTGCAGACTAGGACTGAAACAGCTTATACGTCACGTTACGCTATGTTACATCACGGTAGCTAAACGTTACAAATAGCAAAATGTCACAAAGTCCAATTCAAAGCCAGGATGCTTAAACAACCAGGGAAGAGAGAACAGGCTTCAGAATACACCAATTCAGCCTCATTTTGAAAAATTCTTCAAATACTTTTGTACAACATTTCTGACCTCAGGTTCGGATTGAGAGCAAGGATTTTAGTCTACTTGGAAATTTTGCATTATCTTATTGCTCACAATATTGATTTTATGACGACATAAAGATACAAATTCTATAAGGGATTTGACCGTAATTGGCAACCAGGGGGTGAAGTTTCCCTGGAATGATTTTTGCGGTCAAATCCCTTACAGGTTTTCAAACCTAAGTTCTCTGTGCAATCTAAAAGGCAAGGAAAACAATTTGAAAAATTGCATCCAGCCTAAAATTATGGTGATAAAACCAGATATGAGCTTAAAAAGTCGTATACCGTAAATCCTCCGGGGACTTATTTGCAAAAATGAATTTTTGGATGGGGGCTTATTCTAGGGGGGCGGGCTTATTCGAGCTTGGGGGCTTATTCGAGGATTACGGTAATGAAGTTTGGGGAAATTTCCAAAACGACGTCGTAAGTCGAATTGGTGCATAAGGGCAACTTTTAATTAAAGTTGATTAAACTTACAAGTAAGGGATGTGCTTATTCTTTGTTTGAACGTTGAACTTCTCTGATAGCAAAAATTGACAGAGTCTTTAAGAGTTAAACAGATAAAACTGATAAAAGAAGATAAATGCGTATCGAGCCCAGCAGATAAGGAATGAATGCCTTCTGCGTCCCCTGCTGCACGGAAACAAATCATAAATCGTTCACCAATCTGCTTAAAATTATCTTACCCGTCATTACACTGGCTGTTTTAATACATTGTGTCAAAATGTCCTACTCACCCGCCCAGTTGAAATAGATACCCGAAGAATCCTGTTGAACAAGGTATTTTGCTGGATACTATGGGCCTAGTGTTATGCACAAGCAATTATGTCCTTGTTTGTAGATAAACCCTAGGGACAATGCCATTCTTCTTCTTCAAAGTCGATTGCTACCTTCGCAAAGTGATTTACGCCATTCAATCCAGCGCTCTTTCAATTTAACTTCTAATTCAACTTTAATTTGAACTATACCGACTTTGTTCATAAGAAATTCGCACCCTTTTCCTACAGACAAAACTCCGCAGCTCAAGGAAATCGTGGGCCTTGAATGTTTATTCTCATCGTTGTAGATATCTGCAGTCCTGGCCTCCCACCCTGTCAGTTTGAGCAAAACCAAAAAAATGGCAACTAGAAAACACAAACCTCTTTGCAGTTTCCTTGGCTTCGTAATGTGGCCTTCTCTCTTTGATGTAGCAGCGGGCTGATTTCAAAGCAAACCCAAAATGATATCTGAGAAAGAAAGATTCTAAAGGTTAACTCGATGGGTTTCTTTTTCCTTCTGTCGATCTATGACCTCGTCCTAGGAGTTACTCGAATGAGCACTGCCGTTTTTATACCTTCATATTCGAATGGAAAACAGCATGACGAAGCGTGTTACATTTCAAGTGTTTTCTCACGAAATTTCTGTCACTTATTCTATGCTAATTGTTATTTGGCACTTACATGAGTCTTTCCGACAAAAGCATTCTGAAAGTGTCAGTGGAGTGAAAATATCCATAGATTCTAGAACACAGACTCGATGTAGCAGAAGAATGCAGAAGTAAATATTTTTTCTATCACCAAAATAAAGCAAAACCATCCGTGCAATCGGTATAATAAATGCATTGATGGAGCAAAGAGTCTTTCACGGGAACAGGGAACTTCTTATACGAGCACTAGGAAATATTTCTACGAGCAGAGGCCCATCTGACGGGCCTGTCTGGTGACTTCAGCATTTTCTTTGTCGGTTAATATGCTTTTGACGAAACTTAACAAGCCTAGCCACCCACTCCCATCTCGGTCTTAAAGAGCAAGGTACGTCACAGATTGAGACAGCTTCCGCTATAAAAGCATTTTTGGGACCAAGCCACAGGCCTGTCGCTAGCTGTTGTGCTCAAGGGGGTTTCCATGTCCCAATTGCCGAAAAATGGGTGAACCATCCTTCATTTGCCAACATGTTTGGAAATTTGCCAACTAAGCATCCCTGACACACATTTCTGTGAAGGGTGTGTCACTCCCCACACGCCCTCCTGTAGCGACGGGCCTGACAATCCAAGACAGCATTACTATAGGTCGGTTTCAATGCTTTAAAGGCGATTAAACAACCAAGGTGATAAGGAGGAGTCACTGCCACCTGTTTGCAGTTTCAAACTCATATGGGGAGTGGTTGTGTGTGCTCCTTGAATATTTTGAGCAATTGGCTTGAATAGGGCAGAAAATAACAAGCATTATAAAATCAACTCATCAGCCAGAAACCCACTAGGGGCATTTCCGGACCTTCAATGACGCAAAGCTTTACCAAAGCAAGAGAAGCGACAGTCTTCTTTCTTTCTGCTACTGTTTTGTGGGTCCGGAACCATAAAACAAGGGACCGGATGGTGATATTCATATCGTCCCTTGCATCCCGTGAAATCCGTCCCCTTGCGGTGTCTTTACCGGGCCAGTACAGAGCATCGTGTTCAGGGTTCAATCAATCAACGGAGAAAATTATCAGGCACCACTTATACAGGTGTCCAGTCAGGGGCGCAGTGGGAGTTAACTTTTTGGGTGGGCAAAGCTGAAAATTTTCCGATAAAACTATGATTATTCCGACAAATTTTTTCTCAATACATTCCTTGAAGATTACCCTTGCTGCATATACTGCAACACTTGATACTACAATATCACGAATGGATCTGGAAATCGTTAACAAATGGATCGTTCGTTATACACCTTCAAGTTCAACAATAGCCTTTATTCTAACAAAACTTATCAAATATAAATCGCTATGAACAAAACTGCAACTAGTTATAAATTTACACCCTACAAGTCTTCTCGCTATACTAGACAATAAACTGTCAAGTCAGTGTTTATAGCTGTTTATAGCAAAAAGTTTTTTTGGCAAGTTGTAAATCGCATCATAATTACTTTGCATTTATTTATGCTAAACCTTAAATAGATATAACGCCTCCAAAAGAATAGTTTTCTTTTAACTGAATTTATATAAACTGTTACTCAAGCAGCATCTTTCTCAAAAGAGGTGTGGCAGCATACAAATCGATGATGTCACCATAGTCTATCGACTGTAAAATATCACTTTCGACGTTGATTGTTATCATAGAGGAAAGGAGGTCTTGTCACATCGTTGACCGTAGCCGATTTTTTTACAATCCTCAGCTTTGAAAAAGCTCTTTCATAGTTTGTTGAACCTATTGGCAAAGTGAAGACAACCTTGTAAAGAAGGACCAGCTGTGGAAAGGCACTTTGCAGGTTATACTTATCATCAACTGAAGAACTGAATGGAACTGAAAAGTTTTCTCTTTCTTCTGCAGCCGGAAAAGGGTTGCTCTTTTCTCTAACTTTCCAAAATTTACGGTAATTATTGACGAAAGAGCTGTACTCATCTCTTAATTTTTCGTCATCCAGGCCGTAACTCTTCGCAACCTTTTTGAATTACACTGCACACAACTGCCTTTCAATTGTTTTTTGAAAACATTCAGGGTTGAGCAAGGCAAAATCTGTCAAAATTGCCTTATGAGACGTAAATATTGTATTCATTGAGCTGATAGCTGTATCCACTATCACGATGATATACGGATTCCCTATTTCCCTCTACTTCATCTATGCAATTTTCCCCTGGCATCTTTTTCTTTCTGCGTATTCGTCGCTCGACAAAATTTTCCTCTTCTAAGTCATGGCGAAAATAATCACTTTTTGCGTCTTCTACAACACCAGCGAATTCATTTCGAAATGAACTGAGTTGAATTTTAACTGTCGGAAATGGGAGTTTATAAAATAACTGAGACCAGAGCGTTAATTTCCTTTACAAATTTCAGCAATGCGATGATTCCGATAAATACTCTAATGAAAATAAGTAAGAAGGGTTGAGCATGCCCTATTTTACGACAGGTTTAAAAAAATATGCGACCTTTTCGACAGGATCGATAAAAACCTTACATTTTGTCTAATATTTCAAATTTTCCGACAAACGTTGGATTTACCGACAATCCGACAAATTTTTTGCCAGGGGGGGCGGCTGCCCCCCCCTGCACCCCCAGCCACTGCGCCCCTGTGTCCAGTCCTATTTTACATCAACCAGATACTCGAATCAGAGAATAAAATTCTGGTATTTGTACCGTTCATGTTCTTCGGTATTCGATTGCACCGAAAAATATCTTGTGACAACGCTTCGACTTTGCACTTTTGTCCTATGAGTGAATGTATGGAACTAGCACGGGAACAGTACTGTAGTTTTAATGCAGAAACGAGGTACCATCAGATTTGAAGTAATTATGTGAAAATTTTCTACTCTATATCAACCACTCTGAATATCAACCTACTTCATGATCAGGGGGTTGTTACGGGAGGAAAATACGCCAATAAGAGAAAAGATGCGCGTCACTGCAGGGCGCACGTCACTGCAGGGCCCGCGCCACGATTTTGAAAGGGGAGAGCCAAGGCTAAGACAATAGGGGGCAAAGGCTTTTTACCCCTTTTACTGCAGCTTTAAACTACTTGCTTCGCAATAAGTTGGGGGGGCATGACCACCCTGGTCCCATTGTGGCGCGGGTCTGGCACTGGTTTGGATTAGACCAATCAGCGTGTTTTCATATCCTCCTGTGAAGCAGCAAAAAGTGTAACCCATGCATCACATGTACCGTGACTGCCCAGCCTTTTATCCAAAAAATTCGTACACCGAAATGGGACTAATCATGGAAGATCGATGCCCTTCCATTCATTGTTTCCAATTACATTTGTGCTGATGAAATGCAAGACATGGTGTGTACAGACTAAAACGATAAATGTTAACAGCCAAAAGGCAGTTGATGCAGAAAACAATAATAAAGGCAATTCATTCAAAGAAATAACACCTGGGACTAGGCCACATGTCAACATCCATAGAAAAAAGATAGAAATAGTAGCTCTTCTATTTCTTTGAGGAAAAAACCAATAACATAGCGTGACACGAGGTTACGACAAGCTCAGGCGTAAAAAGCATTTCATCCATTCGGAGCTGCCAACACTAGATCATTCTTCAAAACGTCTACTCATACTCGGACTCGGTATCTTCAATAACATGGCGACAAACTGACAGTCTATCACATTATCACAAGGCCTCCGACGAAGGGGAGAGGGGCCGGGGGGGGCATGGCTCTCTCACTTGTTTGCAAAACAATAGAGCTTTTTTAAAATAACTTTTGTTGTGACTGTTGCACTTTCTCTTGGCCCCTCCACTTTTCAACCTGCGTCGGAGCCCATGATTGGCAGAATAGGGTTATTGATAATGATAATAATAACCAAATCATGAAGAAGATGATAACAATGGCCGTCAACAGGGTGATTGTGTTTTTGATAATAAAACCCTTGCGATCATAGTGATTGATTCATCAACTGCTTTAGATGATATATCGATCTTGATATAAAAAATCATAAAATTATTTTTCTTGTTACTACTTAATTATGGCGTGGTCAGCAAAGATTTCTTAAGGATGGCGGACATGAACAATCCGGAGAAGTACCATGTTTTGGTTGATGTCAAATTTCTGGGAGAGAGTTCCCTGACACTAGGCGACCTGTGATTCGTTGATGCAGTCAAAAATTCCTCGTTATGTATGACACGAGGTTAGTCGGTTACCTCAAAATACCTCACAATATGCAAAGTCAGTTAAAGGCCCTACGAATTGGCAGAGATGGCAAAGATCAGCGGGGGCTTCATCAAATCTCTGTAATTTTGTCTTTGTTCGTAGCTTATGGACAGAGCCAAATAACAGTGAATTTTTGGCAAATCTCAAATCTTTTATTGGCCAACTCTCCCAGACTTTGACGCATTGACCTGATTTTGCATATATGGAAGTATTACAAGAGTTCTTTTATGTTGTGTGGTCAAAATTAAAAAATTCAAAAAAAATAGATTGCTGTGACGTTACACTTAAGAACTCTAATCGAGCACTCAAAATTTCTTTACAATTTATTAGTGTACCTTTGAAAAAAAATATGATGACAAAGATGTCAGAAGACGAGAACAAATAAATAATTGAAACTAAATAATGGAACTTAATAAAACTCAAAGACACTTCGGATTATTAGCAGAGCTCGGTCGTCGTTCCATCTAGCATCTTTAGAACACATATACATAAAAACGAGAATTGTATAAACAGGAGTCCATCTGCACCAATTGAACTCCATTGGTAATATTTTCAATAGGCAAGAGGCACTGATCTACATACAGTAAAGTACTCGAATTTGTGATTGGCCTATTCCAACCCACAGCTAGGTACATATAATTCCTACCTCTTCGATGTTTTGAAAATAACGTTTTATACTTCGAAGAGTGTTTGATAAAAAGCGACAGTATGTTTCAAATGGCTCGATTTTTCAAAGCCATCTTAACTTGTGTAAAAATCACACGAATAACACGTATCAAACGGTAAATGTTGTCAACAAATTTGATTGTTTTTTCTGAGATTTCGTCCTTCCACTCTTTATTTTGCTTATTTCTTAGAGATACCTGGAAATTAAAGAACATTCGCGAATCGCCATAAAGTGAGTAGAACTCTCTGTTGTCAATCAACTTTCGATCAATCAATGCCAATGCCAACACTCACGCATTCATTGGGAGGCCAATGGATGATTGACAGATGAACCGATTATCGTACGATTGCATGCCATCATCATCATCATCATAAAAATTAATTTGTCTAAATACATATATCGTCGAAAAGTCACTCTTACACCAGCTATTGAAATTATCTGAGTGGCTCTTCTTACAAGTATTTGCCGATCAGGGCACGGGTACTACCTTCCTTTTTAAAAAAACAAAACAAAATTGCGTACTATATATATATAGGACATAAGACGTATCCAGATTCTGCACAGGGAGACAGTGGGTTCTGTTCAAAGAGGAGCGAATATAAGAAATATGAAAATTAAAAAATACCATTGGCAGACTTTCCCATTACCCCCACAAAATAATTGCAATATCTTTCTTCCTCATTGTACGCCCTGGATCAAAAACTGTAATTTCGCCCAGTAAAATCAATGCAATCCGCGTTTGAGGTTTTTAATACACACGGACATTTAACAAACGTAAAGAATGACATGCCGTCTCTTTTGTCGACATGCCACCAATCAACCTGAATTTCATAAAACCGACACCCCCTAATCCAGCCTAGCCCGGCCGGTAGGCTTTACCGGGCACATTTGCGGAAAATGGCAATTGGGCGGACAAAGCTTCGTAAGTGGGCGAACCTTTACCCCAGGCATCTGCGATTTGTTGATACAGTAAAAAAATGTCAACTTGTTCACGAAGTTAACTTGGTTATTCTATTCGGATTCCCTACTTTCGCCCCACGACTTTTGAAAGTTTTGGCATGAAATATCAATCTACTGGAAGACACCGGCGCAGGTAATCAGATCAGGGGCAGCAATATCAAGGTGGAATTACACACACACACAAGTTCAAGGGTCCAAACTCGCTGCTCCTCTCTCGCACCTACATAAATTTGCTATCTATGGACAACTACCAGCTGGAAATTCAATCTTCTCGCAGCTACACGTAGGCTAAATTATACAGGTTTGCTAACCTGAGGGCAGATGCTTAGTTTGCACCCTTCCATTCATTGCATCTGCAAATTATACATGATACTACTGTTTCTCTTCCTTAACATCAATGCATGTAATTTTAGACCTAATGGGGCTAGAAAACCTATTAATTTTATCATGGTAACACAAACTTTGCAAGGCTTCAATGATAAAAGTTGCGCCCAATTTTGGAAAAGAGGAAAAGCAAGCGTTAGGCCGTAAATGGCTGGGCCGGAAATGCAACACCCAATGTGTACAAATGTAAAAATGAACCCTGGCTTACCTGGGACTTGTTGATAAACGCAACTTCAGTACTGAAGGTTTGCCACCAGCCTGAGTGAGAGTTAACTTCTCTCAATTGCAACCTAAAGGGGCAAAAGACTAGAAGTTATCTCTCGTGTTTCTTCTTCTTGCTGCGCACCACGAAAAGAAACGCTGGCTCGTCTAGTAAGCCGCTCGTCTGACAAGTTGTCAACCGTGTCAACCCTCACCTTTACACAGACATATCAACTAACATACAACAGAACAGCATGAGAATTCGAACACAATGTATGTTGACAGAGTTTACTTTCATGCAACTTTGAAAAACAAAAACATTTGTCCCCGGAATGGGGTGATGCTCTAACCCACTGCCTTAACAAAGAAATGAATACAAACAATGTTTGCTTTTCAACGCCCTTCCAAGCTTGACCCCTGCCAATGCTTCACTTCTTTTTCGCAGTGGCAATTGGAATATTCGATTAGATGATATTGATATAATCACAAAATCACTGTAGTAAATTTACTAGTAAAACAGCGTCAACAGGCCTGCTGTTGCAATTCACATCATTCCACGAGCTAACCGAGCTTCAATTAAACATTTCTATTTTCAGGCAGATCAATCTCAAAATCACAGCTGCGATACTGTCAAGTGTCCAAAACACTTATATTGACAAGCTTATTTTCATAGCAGTAGTAAAAATATCGAGTAAAAACAACTTTTTGCAACAGGGCCTTTTCTAGTATACTAACTAGGGAGTTAATTGCCTCTGCAGCCCTAGTGACTTTCGTTTGTTTATTACATTAACAATGGTCTGTTGTTATCCTCTTTATATATGCTTCCTTGCCTCCAGCAGCTAATTTCTCTTCCAAAAGGCCATGACTTGCAAACTGATAAAAAAGAGATTGCACCTAATACCATTTACTTCATGTAAAATGGACCAAGGTTCCTTTGATCCGACCAATAACCCCTGATTGTACCATCCTTATCGCAACATGCCAGTTCCAACTTCCAACCACTGAAAATGTCACAAGGTCCAACGAAATACTTCAAACTACACCTCTTTAGACAGGGGCTCCACGGGACAATCGGGAGTTCCCGGGGGCTTCGACGCAAGTCAGAAATTAAGGAAGCCAATGAAAAATTAAAGCCAGATAACAAAATAATTGCAAATAAACTCTGTTTTGTTTTCAAAATCATCGTTTTTCAAATCTAGCGGCAGGTGTCAGAGTTCCTGTGGGACCAAATAAATTGGGGACCATGTCAAAAAAGACTTTTCTTCAAAAGCAATTGTCTTACCTGTATTTTTCTGTGACAAAGCTTTTCTTGAAGCAATCTCCTCTATCTCCTCCTCTATAACAAGAAGAAAACAAGAAAGATTTTATATTGAAGGGGCGGATGCTGCAATGATCATTTCTCTCATGGTTAGTCGAAGGAACATATAGAAAATTAACAAGCTCCGAAAAGGAAGCAAAGTCTTTCCTGTCGGTACCTCATGTACCCTTAAAAGAATGTCACGAATTCCTCCTATCTACTGATTCAACAGCGGACATGCGTACGAAACCAATAGGCGCTACCCTTTGCGTCGGGTTACGGGCACTCAAACGTTTTCCTTTCCAGTTTTCTAGGTCTGTATCATGGTAGGCAGACCAAAGATACCTGTATTACATAAAAGTGTCACGGTGGTATACTTTTCGTATTTGTCGTGGAGGGGGGGGGGGGACTTTATCGGCACTCGTGCCATTTAGCTTACGCAAGCGCTACTTCTCTTGTTCTACCATCAAAGTGAGGCCACTTTAAGGGAGAGGGGGGGGGGGCGGTAACATTATTTCATATTTCATGATAATATCTTGCTTTTATTTCATGTCAAAAATTACAAAAGCAAAATTAGGGAACAACTTAAAAATTCGAAATACACATATACCAAAGCTAATAGTCTTTTTATTTTGAATACTAAATACTTAATCATTTTAAATACTAAAGATTGATTACGTGTTTCCAAAGGGGGTTGCCAAATGGGATTTACAAAATTAGGCCAGACTGGTGACAAACTCTGGTCAAAGTGTACATAAAAAGTCAAATTTAAAAAATTCCCCCAAGAATACACTGCGCAAAGTGAAGAATATATTTCCATGCATAGGCCTTTTAGATAATCTCCAAGCTCAGACAAGAAACTGAGAAACTTTCTCCTTCAAAACAATTCCTTTGCTGATCGTTAGGTCTACTTCCCATCTTTTTGTACTTACTTTGCCACTCGTACTATTGTCCCAGTTTACCAATATAACTTCCACACGATAGGTACCCTGGTTACCAGACGCACTCTTTTGTATAAAGTTAGTCTGGAACTCAGGGTGTTTTTTGGCACATTGTTGTAAGCGGTATTCGGTAATCGGTAACACCGAGATTCGGGAATTGATGGTCGGGAACTGGGCGGAAAATGTAGCTGGAATTCGTGACTCAGGGGACCTATTGGGTACCCTCGCAGCTCACTTCAAGCAGCAATTCTTCTATTTTGGGTACAGGAAGAAGACGGGGATACGGTGTTGTGGTCCGATGCGATGGTCGAGGTATGACTAGGTTTAAACTATACACCTGAGACTCTCTCACACCACCCATTGTACAATTTTTCTGTTAGTTTTCACAAGCCACGACTGTTGCTTGGAATGGAGTTGTCATTTAACGCAAATACACTAGCACAAAAGATAACTGGAAACTACTCACTCTGAACAGTCAAATTTCCTAATTGTTTTCTGCAGCAGTTTTCCAATCGCTCTACGAGTTTATACCATAGTTTGTTTTTACACAGATTCAACAAGAGCTTCACTAATACAATCGTTCGTAACTCAGTCATTCATATTCATGATGATCAATGTAATGATGGAATGCTTGCAAATTACGGAATGCATCATCGCCCAAAAACATTTGCCAGAACAATAATAGGCCACATGTTTGGCAGCACGAACCTTGAATTACCGAGGAATTTACAAAATAAAGGAAATCTCCTTCATTGAAACTGCTAGAAATTTCTAAATCCTAATGGAATGGGTACGATGAAAGTGGTCGAATAGGAGTTAAAAACTTACCGAATTTTTGGAATACGTTGCCAAAACAAAACAAAAGACGATTTGCCCCTACTTTCCTGCCCAGCCAAAGATACACTTGCCGTACTACACTACTTATTTTAAAGAGATCTTCGGAGGAGAGCATCGGCCTTTGTAAAATTTGTTGATGAACTTATGGCGCACTGAACGAATTGAAGCATCTAATAGAGTACCGAAGTGATGACGTCTTAAAAATCTATTTTTAGAATTTCTGAATTTTGATCCCAGAACCTGAAAGAGCATCATGAAATACCTGTAAATGTGCGAAATCAGTTAAAGGCATTACGAGTTGGCTGAGATATGACCACTTGAGCACAGGCTATTGCCCCATCAAACCTCTGTAATTTGATCTTGGTTCATAACTTGATGAACCAGGCCAGAATAACAGTAATCCGTTAGCCAACTTGAAATCTTTCATCGGTCATATCTCGCCCAATTTGGAACATATCTAACTAATTTTGCACATTGAGAGGTATTTTATGATGTTATTTCAGATTGTGTGGCCAAATTTAAGAAATTCTAAAAATAGAGACCTTCCCCTAATTACGTCATGGCGCAATGCATTCTGGTACTTGTAGTTAAACCCGCAAATATTTGTTTATGTTTTGTACGGCGATCATACGAAGTTCTGCTATTATCTAACGCTCTTTGCTCGAATAATCAAACAAATCATGAGAAATACGGCAGAATATACCGAGCAGCACATCTCAAGGTTTTCACAAAGCTCTTGCCTGGAAATCAGCACTGCAAAAAGGTCGTTCCGACGGCAATTTGACAGCGAGCAACGATATGATAAGGTCTAGGCCAAACAAAAGGAAAAGTGAAAGATATGGGACCAAGGGGATAATGCTCCTAGCATTTTGTAGTTGTGATTTCGGAAGGAGCAATGAGGTGTCAGTTACAGTTTTGACATTATGTGGCAAAAAGTGGACAAATTTTCAAAATTGGATGCACGAAAACTGTTTTCAAAGAAAATTTTGAACCAGCAGTTGTACTACAGCTTGCTTTAAAGCCATTTACAAGGGTTATTCACTGTTGGGATTTACAAGGGTTATCCACTGCTCAAAAATAACAGTTTCCTCCAAGTGATATTGGGCTTCACATAGATATCGTTCTTTACATAGTTTTTATCCATGTTTTTTACTTCCGTCACTGTCAGGCCTAAGGTGCACTTACGCTGTTAAGTATTGTTAGTGAATTATCGAGGAGTGTTCCATTGAGCTGTTCACTTCAGAAGTTTGGTATAACCCTAAAAGACATGGTCTAACCTTTCCTGTCAACTATATATCTTTCGAGGCCCATATCCTCTTCTTGTCTATCGAAAGTGAACTGCTAGTTCTCCTTTTTTGGCCTAATCGCAACACCAGAAAGACTTTCTGCGACATCATTTCCCAAGCAAGAGCTTTGAGAAAAACTAGGCATGTGCTATTCGGTACGTTCTGCCGTATTTTCCTTTATTTGCTTGACTATTTGACCAAAGAGCGTCGAATAATAACAGAACTTCGTACGATCGCCGTACAAAACGTAAACAAAAGTTCGCGGGCTAACTGCAAGTACCAGAATGCATTGCACCATGACGTTAATAGGGGAAAGGTCTTGGAGCGGCACTTGATATACTGTGTTGGGCACTTGGCGCATGTTATCGCGCGTACTTGAGCATGTTCAAGTTAACTTGTGCTCCAAAAGATAATTGAAGAAACAGACTTTGGCACAGGGATAATGTCAGGTTCGCTCGGGCAACAGAAGTAACAATACATAGAGTGCTATACAAGCTAAGCTCTGCATATAAAATATTCATTTTTCCATTTACAAGCAAAATTGGGTCAAATAGAATAACAAAACAGTGTGGAAAATTAGCGTCTATCATTTATATGGCTTCTACTCGTTCTCTTTTAAAAAAAAGTGTTACACTCATTTCTTTATAAGAAACAACGGTCGATGTTGAGTAATCCAATTTCTTAATGTTCTGGAAATTCCAATACTCACTGTTTCTTAAGAGTTTCTTAATTATGATGTCATGAATGATGTTATGAAATGTTCGTAGCCTTTTTTTCACGTCAAGAGATTCGCTTCCGTTCCGATGCTGTAATTAGATGTGGAAAGTATATTGTTATCCCTTGTGTCTTAAGTTCTAGGCCAATAGGGCAATTATGTTCTTGGATTTTACAAAATTTCGTTGTTTTCAGTTTTATCACAATTTAATAGCTTCATAATTTTTTTCCTTCGAGTACTGAAGTTCTTAATTTCTTCCGACTGTCCAATACTCGTTTACTATAGCCAGTTTCTTATAAAAAAATGAGTGCAGTCTAGTTTGAAAGGGAATGGCGTGCCATTTTGACAGTTGTCGAAATAAAAACAGTTTAAGATTTTAAAAAACTGTTTAAACATCTTTACCTATGGATACAATAACTTCGATGTTTTGATGATTGTTTGAATAAAAAATTTCAGCTTCTTCCTGTCTCCTTAGGAAAGTGGTAAGTTAAAGAAATGCACATTTCTTGATATCAAGGGTTCGAAAGACATTTGTAACTCCCTCGTCATAATAAAAGTAACTAAAAAATTATTCAAAATAATACATTTTTATGGTATAAAAACAGTTTTTGTGAAAAGCTGTCAAAACTGACAACAGATGCTCCAATTTAAATAGATTTCCACGATAATCATGATGGAAAATCTCCAAGGAAATTACATTCTAGAATTATCACATTTCTGTCCAAAGAAAGTTTGAGATTCTTTAGAAATTCTTGACACAAAATATGAAACTAAGTGAAGAGCTTTTTGAAAGTAAATGATTTGCATTTTACAATTTGTGTGTCAAGAAGTATATTTGGGTGTCAAAGAGGCCCTTGCAAGACCCCAGAATTTTGAAGGTGTCAATCCTTTTTGGCAAACTGTGAATTTCCAACCCATGTGATTTGAGCACGTTCTGCACTCTGCAATCGTCCATGCGTACCTGCAAAAAGATGGGTTTAATTTCTTTGCATGTCAACAATATCATTTCCAATAAGTGTGAGCTATGGTCTAGCAAAGACATCTCATAATATAAAAACTAGAGCTTTGATAACATTACCCTCAAATATCTGAAAGAGAAAAGTGTACATTTTCAAAACTCAACGTCCATTTTGTGAAATGATATTGGGTAACATTATGATATGAATGTGAAAGAAAGCATTCTAAAACAATTCAAAATGGGTGGGCTGCAGAATATATCTTGAGAATTCTTTTCATCTGACTCTCAATTTTCCATTAATTCAGAGTAATTAATACAAGTTTTCACCGAACACCTCATGGCAGGTAACAGTCATCAATCGATTCAGCTTAAGTCTCCAGGTAACCGCAGTAAATCGGGTTAGAACGAATCAGACAGGAAGGTTAAACCACTCTGGAAATGAGAATAATCTTTTCGTTTGTAGCTTACATACAAGGCCGCTTTGCTTGCTCTAATACATATCGACTTTCACAATGTCCCTTTTTGATTTGAATGTAAATAAGACGATCGAGTCATTCGCTTCACTTTCAATTTGCAAATCATAACTTTTAGGCCGAATGCTTGGTGCAGACTGAATTAAAAAACTAGATCGTAACTTATTGTAGCAAAAATCAGTTCTTTAGATTAGTGAATAAAACTCAGAACGTAACAAAGAAAGCGTTGTTTTTTGTCTACAGTAGAATCTGTCACAATACAGGTATTGTTTATAAGAACATAGTTTAAGAGAAAGCACCCTTAACGGGAAGGCCTAAGTTGGTGGTGAAAAAATACAGTAAGGTGGTCAAATCATGTCATTCTGGAAGTTTATAAAGAACATGGATGCTTTGCATCATTTACGTTTAAAAACATCACACTGTAAAGCTTTTTATAAATATCTAAAAAGTGTTTGGCCTTAACTATTTCGAATTTTCTTTTAAAATATACATGTACGACAGATTCTCCAAGCCCTCTTTTGTCAGTAAAGCAGAAAAAGGCGATATTACCCAGGAAACCAACTGTTCTCTGAAGATGCTCTTCCTCGTAGCGCCAAACCTTTCGCTTTGTAAAATGTCACTGTTTCATGGACGTAGCCGCCAGGGTTGACGTAAGCAGCCAATGGTCCCTTCAGCGACATGCTAACATAAAATAAGATAAATATTGAGGCGCATTTGTGCTGATAAAGATGTAAATGAGAAGGAGCGTTTGGTAGTTGCAAAGCATTGAAGATACATTTCGTTGCGAGGGTGTGCAAGGATGGCTTGCATGCGAGGATAGCTTGAATTCAAGGATGGCTTGCATGCGAGGATAGCCTGAATGCCAGGATAAGCTGAATGCCAGGATAGCCTGAATGTGGGGATATCTACATGAGAAAAGGTAAAGGAGTAAGAATTAATAGCATTCACCTGAATTCTATTTGCAAAAACTATTTGTTTTTTGCCAAAATCAATATGAACAACGATGAAATTTGCATGTCTTTGTGAGGAAATTAAAGCGAAAGGTTATCTTCCAAAGATTCATTCTACACAACGGATGAAAAAAGAGGCTGACATTCACCTGAAAAGATCTTTTTTATCAGCGATTGGATTGCCACATTCGTAACAATGAAGCAGAGAACACTATAGGGACAAATTAAGAAAATTACTTGAAATCGATAGTAAAAAAATTGTTGATGCCTTGTGGTTAACAAAAAGAAACGCCATTTGTGACATTATGGAAGAGCCATCCACGGTACCTACTACCCCACACATGTTGTCTAGCTCCGACATTCATTGCCTTAGCGGGATCAAAAATTAATCTACTGAAAAGTGGTCCTGAACTGAGCGTTTATTGTTTGTAAGTAATCGTGCAGTTTTCATTGAGGTAAGCAAAAATATGCAACGAGACTTGGGCGAAATAATCTCAAACACTGGAAAAAGCCCAGGAGAGCTACTTCCATTTTAGGATGTGGCCTATAATAGATTATCGTGCAGACTGTCCAACGAGCAACACAGGCTGATATTGCAAATGGGTTTTGAGCATCTAATTAGCAAAGATAGTTACAATTCTTGAGAGACAGTTAATAAGAATCGTCACTTGGAGAGCGAAAAGATCAGATGCACACAAAGTGTATTTAAGTCTTAGCAGTAGTTCGTAAAAACGTAGAAAAAGGTCGATAAATGAATAGTAATTTCTTTTAAGAAAAGCTGTGATACTCAGCATACAAATATCTTAGGTTAAGAAAAAATTGAAAAGATTTTTCACCTTTTCACTTTTCATTTTTCACAAAGTATTTCTCAGAGACATAACAAATATTTGAAAAGGAATTTAAACCTTTGTTGGGGTCAAAAATTGCTAAATATATAGAACCTTTGACTGGCTCTTTGTGTTGGCCAATATGCCTCTAACAATCCCCTCGATAGTGAAAAAGGCCCGGTAAGAATTCAAAATTATTTGTTGTAAAATGGTCTAGACCTTGAGGCTGGGGCGCTGGCTGTTGTAAAATATATCATTTCCAAAACGCCCAAACGAAAATAGCCCTGCCATCCCTGCCATTTAATTTTGGCAAGAACTCAATTTTCAAGCCAAATTCAATCTTTGGCTGAGGTTGACTTAGAAAAGTATGGCCGCTTCTGATTGGTTCCGTTTTCAGCCATGTTCTTCACCGTCCTTTTCCCTGCACTTATTTCCTTCTTTTCATTCTTTGATTCTTTAATGAAACTTGAATGCTTTCATTTCAATTAATTTAGACAGTTGAAAAATATAAGAACGAAGGGAAAGTTCAAACCAATCGAATGCGAAAAATACCTTCTGTATCAAATCTAATTGCCTCCTCAGCCTCGTTATGGGACAATCAACTTCTAACAGCGAAACCCGAATTGCATCATCGAATGGCAGGTTCGCGGTCAACCAGTGTGAGAAGTCTGTGGAAAAATTTTGTTATTTTAAAATTGAGACATGGGGTAGTAAAAACCAGTGTAAATGTATTGAAAGATGCTTTAATCATCTGCCTCATGCAGAGCTCGATGTAATAGCTAAAAATCTAATTTTATGGAACATCAAAGGATTTATTTTGCCTATTGAGGAAAGATTGAAGTAGGAAATATAAATCTAGAGCAAATACGATTTTTGAAAATATTTGAGTCTGCTTTGATTCAAGTCTTTGAGATCGTTTCAATATTATGAAAATATCCTTTTCAGCTGCATCGAAGGAATAAATTTCTAAACTCTTATATATATCTAAAAGAGAAAGGCTAAACTACAACAGTTGACCTTCCCTTGACATGGAAATTCCTAAAATATTTAATCTTGATCGCCTTATATTTCAACAACATTTATAATAAATTGATCAAGTAATCCACTCAAGGAATGAAAATATTTTGGGAATATATTTTCTTTTTCCTGAAGTAGCTGACAATATATTAACATCCCATGACATTTCACTTAAAATAGATCTCTTTTTCACACGGATCCACTATCTGTCTTTGGCTCTTCACATTTTAAACTCTTCTTTCGTGCTAATCACATTTCAAGCAGTTGTCTTATGATCACATTGAGCTTGAAACTCAAATACAACTAAAAGCCGTATTGTTCTACAATTCAAAGGGTGTAAAGCTTTATATACAAGGCATCGAGCTTTCAAATCATATTCAAGTGCATACTATATACAAACAATAGGAAAAATCCCAGACCCTTAAGGTCATACCATAAAGACAATAAAACATTGCATTTTATGGTTGCATAGACAAATTAACTATAATCAAAGATACGTGTGAATGCGAGATTGAATGAAATTTTTAGAGCGAGGCTCACCATTAGGATCTGTTGGAATTACTTTGGTTTCTAGAGTTCTGTTCCATTCCCTCATTTCATCCATTATGCGATCCATCAATTCGAACTGATTAAGAGAATTAGAAAGAAAAATCAAAATAAACGGATAGAAAGGTTTATGGGGATTCAGCAAGCTCTGATTAGAGTTCTACAAGCCTCATTCTGACATTGAGGTTACCACGGCAAGCAATAATTTGTTTCATTGTGAGAGGCAGAGAGAAGTAAAATATTAAAATAAAAAAACTTTGAGAACGATTCAAACCTTCTTAGTAACCGAAACTTTAGAAGGAAGAAGAACTTATTTGTAAAGATAGGGGGAAATTTCATATTTCAAGGTTGTTCTACAGTTAAAAAAATCGATTCTTTCTGTCTCAAATCGACTGCTAAATAATTTAAAAGTTTTGTTCTCACAGAGATTTCCAATATATTGGTAGCAGTCAATTTCATCATACAAAACATCATGATACATTTTATATAAACATTTTCCACCAGTATTCTATGAAATTGGAAAAGCCAGGCAAAACATTTTTGCTTGAATTTCGAGACCAACGTTTTCACAAAGACCCTTGAAAAAGGGGCTGAGATGTTGCAACGCCCCCTTCCTCAAAGCTCAGTATTTAAATCTCTGCTATTGAAATGCAAATACTTTGAAGGGGATGAGGGTAGAGTTGTAGCTGCTAAGATAGGCATTCATACAATTCAGGCATGCATCAGAGTATTTCATTTAACAGCTGTGTCTAAGATTGTTAGTTAAAGAGATATAGAGCTTCCTTTTTCGATACCCGTCAGACAGGAAATCTTCCAATACGACTATAACACTTGGACTCTGTTATGGTACATAAAAGTAGTCTGAAAATAGGACAGAAATCACAAGTGTCTAACATAAGCAAAACACAGCTCTCTGGGCTTTTTTACACTGAATTGCGATTAAATGGGTTTCCACGATCAAGGGGTTCGGTTAGTACGGACAAAGAACCATTCACTCTGAATGTTTCATCACAGAACCTGTTTTCAGAACAAGCCCATGACATTATTGGATCTGTAAGAACCGCGTCAAGGTAATACCGGGTTATACATACCGGGTTATACTGTTGATAGACCCAAAAAGGAAAAGGACCAAGAGGTGTTCTCGCAGTCTGAAAAATGAAAACATTTTCAATCACGTATGTAAATGCAAAACCGTGTAGACATCTTGTGTTCGTTTCCTACAACGTGGATGTCCATGAATGATAAAAGTGAGAGAACCAAGCAAATCAAGATCAGAATGAGACGATAAGAAACCAATTATGAATGGAAACAAACGTTGTAGGATTTGTCAAGTTTGTTTTGCACGAATGCGATATCGAGCGGGTCTTCTCGTTACCAAAGGGCACTAATTTTTCTTCCGGAAAGGAGCGTATCTTATGTCAATTCTTATCCAAATGCTTATTGTGTGAGTACAATGAAAGAGAGATGTTTTTTGCACCCTTCTTACAGTCTGGCAAATGTATTCTGCATAGCAAAACAGCTTTTTATATAAAAGAGTTTCAAGGTGATACAACGAAAGGGAAATTTTTCTGTTCTTCGTCCGATTAGAAAAGCCTATGAAGACCATCCTTATTCAAAAATTTTCATCCAAAAACCAAGGTACAGTTACCAGCTAGGCAGGGATATGCTTAAACTGATAAGTTGTCGAGCAAAATCGCTTAGATATGGTGTCTGTAATTGATTCTAACACTATAACCTGACGCTGTCTTACACTATCAGAATAACTAAAGAGGTTTGACAAAGAGTGTAAGGGGCAAATACTACCATTGCACTCTAACCCAGTTCTTTGATCTTGTCATTTTCGTTGTTAATTTGTGGCTTTTAAACCCCCTTTCCCATTTTCAGAAAAAGCTCCCAAACTTGGGAAGATAGCAGAAGATAAAAAAGGAATGACATAAAAAAGAACTGACCTTGCAAATATCTTTTGGAAAAACCTCAATGGATATTTTCGAGCCAGTGCCGAATCGATAATTAGATGCTTGCCAATTGGCATGTGCAATTTTACTACTTAAATAACTTGGTTTTTGTTTATAGTTACAAACGAAAAAGTCACTTGGCAATGATGGAATTTGAGTATCCTCTAAGATCTTCACTTTGCCCATTAATACCCTGAAAATAAAATATTTGGCCATCACAATATTTCATTCATGCCATAAAACGATATAAACTATACGCTATCGTCTACAAGCAATAATATTCGTCTAGGAACGAAGCACTGGTCTTATTCATTCTAACAAATTGCTAAATGTTTGAAAGAATATGAAAAGACTACCTGACTAATGCAAATAGAATTAAGCACAGAACTTGGTCGAAAGTACCGATCTATCTGGCGGGCTTCAAAGCAGATGCACGAAAGCGGTTGTTCGATGTCTTTCACGAAGATGTGCACTGTAATTTTTTAAGACTGTTCATGTTGTTAAATTCATGTAGTTTAGAATATTGTCTGGTTGAATAAAAAACACAGCAATACAGCCTCGGTTGCTCTTCTGTGGTATTGAGTAGAATGGCTCAGTTGTGCGAGGATGGCTCAGTTGTTAGAGGCGCTGACTACAGACCCAAGGGTCCGTGGTTCGAGTCCCTGGCATGACCAAACTTTCACCCAGAGTGAGGAGAGTCGCCAGCTCTCTGTAATTCCAGGCGTAGGAATCACGAAGTGTGGTCACATCGAGAGGAAGGACCAGGACACTGCTCGATAAGCATAGCTTCTCAGTGTCCTAAAAACTACCCTCGAATGTAGGTAGCAGCAAATAAAAATAAAAATACAAAAATACAGATATTCTACGACTATGTTTTGGACATGCTTGAAACTTTGATTCACAGAATAGAAAGGCTGCACTTAGCATAATTAGATACACATACGACCTATATGTCCTCAAATATGCTGAGAGACAAAAAAGGAGTGTTCAACAACCTAATACCACAAATGAAGTCGGCATAAAAAATGTGAAAACAATGATCTACATCAAAGATCGGACCTTAACATACAGCACGAGTAAATATCGAGAGATCTACAATCAAAATCAATCATCAAAATTAAAAATGGCGATAAAGTTAAAAGATATCCAAACCCGTCTATCTGTCTCTTCGTTTCCAGAACTTTAAATCTTTGCCTTCCTTCTGCTTTCATTGTTAAATTTACAACACCATACTTTTCGTCCTCCTTGACTGAAAATATTTCTGCAGTAGTTCCAACACCAGCCGCCTTTTGACTTTCGGGTCTTTGCCAAACATCCCCATTACCCTCTCTCCTGGGCCTACGAATTTTAAAAAACAAATTCCGCTAGCACCAATATTGAAGACCATTTCACGCACTTTCGATAGATATACACAGCTTATAAACAGCATTTTAGCGTCGACTAGATGGAGATGGAGCTTCTGAAGTATATATCGATGTTTGTTGTATAGATTTTCCAGCATTGATAACAAACCACTTGTGAAAAAAGTCTTCATTTCTCTCGAGGCAGTTTATCATAGTGAAACAAGATTAGGGTAATGGGTCTTGCAAATTCATGAGCATTTCACAGCACTGATTGGTTGATCCAGGACCATTCAAGTTCGTTCGTTCTGTGATGAAGCACCATCGATTCCCATCTCAGTATAAAAATTTCTTTCATTCTACAAATTGTTTAGTGCATGGCAATCGTAGGTTGACAGAAGATCGATTAAATATTTCAGTTTTACTGAGCTACAACTTGGCTTACAAACCTTGTGAACCTAGTTACCATAAGGAGGGATCTTAAAGAGAGTTGAAAGTCAATAGAGAGAGAGATCGAGAGAGAAGAATGAGGAATTGTAGCATTTGCATCATTATTTTAAGGGTTGTTTGTTTAGCTTCTTGTTCAGCACTAAAACTCTTTTTGTTCAGTACTGAAAATTCAACAGTAATTTAAAAAGTACAAGCCATTTCTGAAAAAAATATTCTAAGAAATCTTCCAGTGCAGCTAAGAGGAAAGATTTTCAGAAGTGGAAAACTAACCTGTGAAAGTTGATTAAACCAAATGTCTTGTCAGCTTCCAATACTCTTTTCATCATTGAAACTGACTGTGGATTAATCATAGCAATATTTAGCCAGAAGCAAAATTATAAGAGCATCATTGTAACAAAAATTTACTGGAGAAAATTTCAAGGTCCTTTTAGATTTTACAAATGTGAAACCTTGATGCTTTGGAACGAGCTGGAAAAAACAAATATTTGAAATTAAATGAAACAATAATAACGGTTTTTTTCTATAAAGATTCAAATTTCATTATACAGTTGTATCTTCAACTAGTAAATCAAGTTTTGGAAAATAAAGGATTCTTGGTAAAAATAGTAAAGGAAAGATAGGTTGGGAAAACATAGCGTTAACAGCAAGAGTTGGCAGAGGCAGTATTCCCTTTCCCCCTCTTGATTTCCTGAGTTTTGAACTATAACTTTCATAATAAACATGAAAAATGAACAGATTCATGACCAGGGTTAAAATCTAAGAAGATATATAGAGGTAAGGGGCTGAGGCAATGTAGCAAGAAAGCTTGTTTGGACACACCCTTATCACTAGGATTTCTCTCTTAAACATACTTGACTTAGCCTGCATGCAAACATGGCTGTTCTTTAGGAAGTCATCCTAAAAATCCAAACATGCTAAGTAGCTTGGTTGAAGAAATTGATCAAGGGGACAGAGCCAATTGCCTCAAGAAAACGTCAATAGCTGCATCATTGACTCTGTGTTCACTTAAAACAAGTCCAAGATCTTAGAAGGGAAACTTTATTTTCAGGTACTCAGAAAGTGATCATTTTCTGGAAGAAATCTCAATACATCAAATTTAATAAAGATAGATTGAGTTTAAGAAATATAACTGCATGATACAAACCTGTGGGTGAAAGATGTGCAAAGGAACTATTTGATTCGGAACTAGGGTTACTCCAGGCAATAACACCAATGGTAATTTTACTATATCATTTGCCTCATGAATTGTCCTACCATGCAGCTCTTCCATTCCTTCTCCAAGGTACTGAAATGAAAATTTTTATAAATAATTGTCTTAAAAGATCTTATTAGTTTCAATAATTTAGACTTCACATCATCTAAATAAGAAGTTCCTATGATTCCAGCTATCTAAAACAAGTAAAGTCTAAGAAAGATGAGAGGTAAAAACTTAAAGATGACACCATAAATACTTCTATCAAAAAACTTTTTCTTAGAAAAAAATCCAAAAAAAATTTTAGATCAAAGGTTCAGCTTTATTAGCAATGGGTTATAGAAACTGCATAACACGCTTCTTTTGAAATTGTTTCATTGAACTTTAATTTTAAATTTCTTTTATTTTAAAGAGACAAGCTTTCTATATCAATTATCTGCATATTGTAAAGTTTCTTATTAAATCCTATATAATGCTAATTCAGCTAAACACTGTATTTTTTATAATATAGTTTGGCATTCGATAATATTTGGTAATATTTTTGGTTTGAAATTCTTCAAACTGAATTGCAAACATATAATATGTGCATATTATGCTTTAAATGACAAAGCTTCAAATAGGTAAATGTACATCTAGGCTGTTTGTTTGTGGACAATTCATCCTCTTCACACCAATGTTTTATCTTGTATTTAATTGATTTATATTTAATTCATCAATCATAATCTTGTCAAATAGGTTATCACAGTGTTTAAGAAGAATTTACTTCCTGCATTTTCAGTAAACATATCTCTATTTTCAAACCATCACTGACTATTTATTAAACAAGAAAGCTATCTAATTAAGCCATATTTCTACTGGGCCTAATTAAGCCAAATTTTTCCTCGGTGCTAGATTGAGTACCTAGAAATTTGAAGGTGCTCTGTTTGTCAAGAACCTGATTTTTTTCTCCCCTTGCATGACCTGTGGATTTGAGTATTCATTAGGCAACTAATCACTTCAAAAAATTCTAGGTGAAGTTCAAAGCAGTTTGAGGCTGGTAGACATCAGCTTAATAGGAAGTAAAGTTACATAACAAAAACATATATAATTACTGAATGTGTGATAGGAAGGGTGTTGTCAAATCCAACTGCTTCATTAGCACCTTCTTCTTCTTCACTGCTTGAGGAATCATCTAAAGAAAAAAGTGACTTCACTACTTTGATTGTCCAAGCAAGTCTAAAAAATGTGCAGGACTCCTGCACCTTCAAGACAGGAATAATTATATGGGATTGGCTCATTATCATACTATATATAAAATAGCCTACAACTTATAACAAAAGAGGAAGGAAAAATACAAGTTGGATATTTCAGAACTCAGATGTCTGGGGTAGCTACAGACTTTACTTGCAAATTACACAGATGTATTATGGTATACAGTAAAAGCATTGCAAAATTGCACATTCAACGAGCTAATGCAAATGCTGGAACTGGTCTTTTTTTCTAATCTATAAGAGGTAACTTCTACAGAGCAGATCAGTGCAAAAGCATTACCTTATATCTTAGAAAATAAATTTTCTCCAACAAGGTCGGAAGTTGTTCATGGCTCGAAAGAAATTTCCAAACAACTAAATCTATCTATTCTAGAGTAATCTGCAAGATATTGAGTAAATTAGTGCTAATAGCACGGAAAAAAGATTTGGTCAGAGAATCATCGTTTGTATTTTACCTTGCTGGATAACGACATTATCTAACATTAGCCACTCATCTATTCCTAAAAGAATAAGCTCATCGTTTTCATCATCATCTTCGTCTTCACTCGTTGATGAATCTGCTTCTTGTTCTACGTTCTGTTCTTGTCTGCCATCACTATCGTCGCTTTCTTCCTCCATATTGCATGCATTCAGCTCGAATGTTTTTCTTTGGTGAGGACGTTTAGTACCCGATGTAAATCTCGCCAAATGCTTCGCAGTTACAAAACACATTGACAAATCAGGCACCGCGAAGCAATTGGCACTTTTTGCAAAAATGCCAAATATTAAGTATCAAACTACCATAAAAGCCTCTTTTTATATGGTTTTAGCCCCCCACTTTTTTTAGACCCCCCACTTTTCTTAACGCTCCGCGGTGCCTGCAAATAAGAACCATGATAAGAACACTAAACAATGTTCTGTTAAAACATCTCTTTTGCTAACGTTTGATTGTTTTGGGATATTGTTTTAATGAGATATTGTTTGGTGAAAGTTTAAGTTCGAAGAAAATCGAATTTTTATCAAAGCGTACTGAACCTTGCTACAGAAGCCCCGGTCAAACGAACCAATATTGCTGGATGAAAAATTAAAATATCTGTCTATTAAAGATCTTTAAACTAACCAACGAGAAAGGATATCAAATGAACCAAAGAAAATTTTAAAATTTGGTATCAAGAAACAGGGGATAGAAAATTCAAAAAAAAACCGTCCACTTGTAGAGATATCGTTCTAAGGTTTTCAAGCAACATAATTGAGTGATTATTTTGTAATCTTTTAAATTACAATTTTTAAAATGAAGACCATTACATAACATTGCATTATGATTGGCAGTAAAGTGACCAGGATTTTTTATGGGAGGAATGTTTAGAATAGTAAAAACAAGGTATCAAGGAAAGAGAATTCTTGAAGAGACATTCTTTAGAATCATGTTTTCATGCGCATGTACCTGTTCATGATGATTTCAATGTGTAAATTAATTCAACCTTGGTAAGCCCCGGACAAAATGTGATGACACTCAGTTTTATTTGAATTCATATTGATTTCTGAAGACTATGTTTTTTGCATTTTTTCACCTTGATTCGATAACTTGTTCTTATATCTAAAAATTCGACTGCCTTCTGTAAGAACTGTAAGAATGCCTGGATCCGCCCCTGGATACCTATACGATATGTTACTTAGCGGTATCATGTGAACAGCTGATTTCGATATGATTTTATCGCATATTTGGATAAGAATGTGGACTTTGCTTCCTTTGCTCTTGTTTTCTTTTTATAGGACTTTAGTTTATACTTTTACTTGTTTTAAAGAACCACACCTTAAAATGCAAAGTGATAGGGACATTCAATGTAAATTCCTACCAATGAATTGTTGGGTGCCATTGGGCAGTATGTGCCAGGTTTTGAAGTTTTAGAATCATTTCAAGATGATTTAGGAAAAACTATCAATAGAAAGGGACCCAAGCAGGATCATTGGGAGACTCCAGATGTGGCAATATATAGCTCTTGGTTTATCTTTATCAAGTTTTCATATCACATCAATTTCAAACATTTTAAGAAAGTTGATTCTTCAGCAAAAAGCCTTACAAATGCCTTGTAAATGTCTAAAGTATCGCAGTGATGTAGAAGTTGGAATTATACTCCAAAATTGCATCTACAGCTCTTTCCACTTCCTTTTTAAAACCGCCAGTGAAAGTGCAGAAAGAGCATGTTCTTTTATTATTTGACAAAAAGGCTACCAAAAAGAAACGCTACAATTTCCATAGAAAATATTGTTTGAATAGGGAATCATAAGAAGTTCTTTATACCTTGAAATTGTTTCATTATCCTATACATAAAAAATGTCTCAGAGAAAGAAAAGCTTTTGCTATGTGATACATCACCAGTAAACCTTATCAACCGTTCGTAAGTAGATTGCTGCTCTATTTATGTCTTTGCAGAAGACGATTCTAGCTAAAGACGAAAGGTTTTAATTGATTTCTGTCTACTGATTATGTCAAACTGAATTCGTCAAAGCATGGATTTGTAACTAGAACGTCTCACTGAATTTGTCGATTTTGTAATGGATCAGTCGTTCAATTCAATTGGATCAAAGATGTTGAAGCAGAAATTTAAAAATGTCTCTTTTTGTCCCGTACTGGATATCTTCTTTATTATCAAGCTGCCGTTTCCAAGATCTGAATCTATTGTCTCTTCGTAACTTCATATCAAATCGTGCAACTTAGGTAACATTTTTGCAACAATGAAAGCATTGAATAATAACAGCTCAAGAACACATCATTGGGGTACAACAGATTTTGCATGTTTCGTGTTATCATACTCACACAATTTTTGAACCTCTTCAACCGAAATTCCTTCTGTTTAAACCTCAACTCTTTTGCAGTGAAGAACTAAAGTTCAAAGTTTTCGATTATTATTCTGACGTTTGACAGTCTGAACAGCATTAGACGGAAAGCTTCAGTGTATCTGGAAAAGTTTGCTTTTTCCAAAGTCATTTTTAAATTTTGTATTAGATGACAAAAATAGTTTTTCAATTCAATTGTCATTGAAGCTGGATAATATCATGGGAGGTTTTTTTTAAAAAATCGAAAAATGTCTCTGCCTTAAACTGCCATCTGACATTTATACTCTGAAGAGTGTCGGGCGAAAAGGACTTCAGCATGGTAAGTTTCCGCTTGGTTTGTTTTGGAGATACTATGCTAGATGGGGGTAGAAAATATTTGAAGATATTGGCCGGCTGTTGATTTTTATCTAAGCAGTAGTAAAATAGAAGAAATACTAAGTTTTAGCTAAACATGCAAGCATGACAATGTAATGGCCTTCAAGATGCTGTTCTTAAATCCTGTATCATGGTCTCTCCACACAGACAATTTTCTCAACCATGGAAGCCTTCTTTAGAGAACAAAGAAAATAACACGATACTTGGGAATGGGACACGTTCTTTTCTCTCAATCTCTTTGACCGATGATGCTAATTGCATTCTGGGTACTGATTGTTTCATCTGCAGCTACTTATGACGTAAGATATATACTTGATGAGAAATCAAACCGATTATTTTGACGTCATTATTCAAAAAATGAACTCTATGAATATATTGCAATATAATTTGGAAAAACAACGCATTCTAGGCTTTGTTAGCTGGAAATAGGTAGCTCATTTACAATAGTAAAATTCTTCAAAATTTGAAGTTAATGATAAGTAACTGAACATGGATTTTCTAAAAACTCCTTCGAAGACCAATTCGGCGCATTCAAAGAATTCTGACTCTAGCAACGTCAACAAAGGAAGTGCTACATTCTCCATTGACGAAGATGACGATATTTCAAGTAAAAACTCTTCGCAGTCTGTGAAAGTAAGATTTACATTTCTTTTTACATTTACTAGATCTATTTATTCACTAAAAAGGAAATTAGATTAATATATTGAAAAATTTGGTCCTCAAACCCCAGCAAAGCCCTAAGAAGTTTAGTCTAGGAATGTTATCGCACCATTTATAAGATATAACGAAATAAAAAATATTTGATACAGTTTTTTAGTATATTTCAAAATTGAATGATAGAGTTTGATGATAGGGGTGCTCTCGTTTTGATTATTGAATGTACAAAAAGAGCTCATTTGAAAATTTCTTCTACAGACAATGCCCAACTGTACCTGTTTGTTGTGAATTGCTTCATTTTAACTTCATTTAGTTTTTGAAGCGTGCATAGCATACATCTAGTTAAGTTTTAACTGAACTGCTAACGTTCAAAGTAGTTTTATCTCTCAATATCATTAGGCAGTTTAATAAAGATAACAACATTTGGGCTGGCAATATATTATTATTTCATAGATCTTACTAGTTAACAGATAGAAGATTACACATGACAGATTTTTTCCTTGTTTCTTCGACTTAAAAAACTTATGAGATCTCAAGTTTATTGGCAGTATCTTCCTTGCAAAATCGTATTTCAGAATTCTATTGTAGTAAATAGATAATTTTGTGAACGATGGATAAACGTCTTCAAAAAATGTCAAAAGTCATAGAGCTTTGTATAATCATTAATGTTTTATTTGAATTCATTTGAAGATGAGAAAATCAAAATCTCCAAAAACAAAAGGAAAGATTGAGGACCAACTAAACAATGAGAATCTGAAAATGCTACAACAAATCTTTGAGGTAAATGTTCTCAAAATTATATGTCATGATAAATAGTGTCAACTTTTTGTTGATTAATATTTTATGAATTTTTTTTCTGGATGTGTTCCACTGCTTGCTCAAAAGTAGCCATAATAATGGCAAAATATTTTTGAGCAAATCTAGATGATAATTGAATTCATTGTAACATGATTTAATAACAATTCCAAAGAACACTATAAACGACTTTATACTTGGTGAAACGCTCTTATATGCAAGTGTATATTTTTACAAAAATTTTAAAATTTCACAAACAATTTTTTAATTGTTTTTGTAAATTTTTCTAATGAAAAATGCAGAACGCTGATGAAGATTGTGGAGGAGGCCTAGATATTGATGAATTTGGCAAAGCCCTGAAAATGGCATTCCAACAAGAAGTAAGCGGTTTTAATAGATGTTTTCTTTTCAGGATAGTGAAACAGAAAAAGACCACCATCTTCCTTAAAGGCATGTTTCTAAAAACGTACAAAGCATTACATCTATTGTTAATACAAATAAATTGAAGAGATTATGGCTGTTTACCATATTCTTAAAGTGGTTGAAATCAGTAACATATTAATTAAGCTCATGAAAAGTATGTTTAACGGTCTGTCATAAAGTGCTCGATGCCTTGGAGGTGGTACTGTATAGGCCTTATGATCGCATTAGATGTGAAACACGGAGTAGCAACTTTTAACCCAAATAGCGTGCTTCTTTAACTCTAAGTTCACCAGCTTGAGTTTAAAGTACGTTGCTAATGAAAAGTTTCCATATAATCAATTAAAATTGCTACTAAAGGGACTTAGAGTATTTTCCTGATATCATTCAAATTTTAATTGGACAAATAGTGATTTCTATGTGAAATTTTTTTGGCAATTTTTGATACAAACAGTGGGCACCCATGTGTAGACTTTGATAAATTCAAATCTTTGCAACAACTAGTTACTCATGCATTTTTTCAATTATTTCTTCTTCTAATGGCAATTGTAATTGCAACATAATATTATGAAATTTTCTTATAACAATAAACAAGGTTACATTATCAAAACAAGAAAGACAATCTATTGTAAATATCGTGCCTAAGTAATGAGCCCTAACCCTAACCCATGTTAATAATTTTTTAATATATCACTGCTTTCGCACACCCTTTTAAGCTATGCCACTCAAATTCATCCTTTTTGACAATATGATTGACGGAATGGAAATAATATTATGATGTCACTGACTAGCGTGGCATTTTCCAAATATCAAAGGACAAAAATAAGCTTTATTAATTTATGTTTTTTTTTCTTTCTTTGCCTGTAGCTTGATGATAAACAGCTAAATATGCTGTTTATGAAGGTTGACACGAACTGTGATGGAACTGTGGACTGGGTTGGTTGATCCTCTAAACCAAATTTGATCCAGACTATTTTAATAAGCAGTTTGTTATGATAAATTTACCATTGTAAAATTCAATGAATATCATACCCAGCGTTTTTCCATGTCGTATGATTTTTGAAATCTGTTGTTGTACAGTTTTTATGGCTACTAGGAATCCTAAAATTAACTTTATCTTTCAATTTACCTTTTTAAATCTTAAATGCATAGTTTATCTGCATTTGATTTTTCTTGTCGGAGTTTTAATGGCCTACTATCTATCACATCTTTATTCAGTATAACTGTAAATTTTCAATCATTTAATGCAAATATCGATGAATACAAATATTTCTATTTATGATAAATGGTTTTCTTATACAGGAGGAATTCTGCAACTACATGTTGTTGGAAAATCAACAGAAAGACAGTATGAGCCGTGATGTAAACGAGGTTTGAAAATTTTATCGTTGATAATATTTTATTGGTTTTGTAAAGCACAGGGTCACAATGCTGCTTTGGTTTGAAAAGAGCTTTACATCTTTGTAATTGACACCATGCCAAAAATATCAGAGAAATACACCAAATGGCATTCTACCATATTTGTGTATGATTTATGACGAATGTGGTAAGAGTTAATACGTTTATAAAAATGTAGAAAGGTAGCCATTTACTTTACGGCTAGATAGCTTCACTTGATTAAGTTTTCATGGCATCAGCAGGGCGTTCTTTTCCCCGTGACCGTGTGACCATTGGTCACAGGAAATCAGTTAGAAAATTTTTCTCGCAGGAAATTTTTCAACCATAGATGAATAATAGAAAAGTTTTATACATTTTACAAGAAGGTAAGCATTTTGGAAGGAATCTAAATGCTCAGAATAAATCAACCCATTACACTGAAAAAGATCAAAACTATGTTTCGAAAAGTAATACTGTGCTGTGGGAGCTCAAGGGGATCAGCTTTCGTTGCAAAGTAACAAATTATGTCATTATTGATATGTCATTACGACCCCATACCGTTATTAGTGTTTGAGATATTTTTTAAATGCAGGCTATAAAGAAAGAACCAACCTCCCGTATCACAGGTGTATTTTTGCAGGGATTTCCTGCTTGTAACTCACTCACAACACTACAGATAAATCTCCTTTGTACAAAGTTGTAGTTTTTGGTATGAGTCTTTCATAAAATCGCTTCATTTATCAAGACGCAGGAATTGCCATTTTAATGCTCGCTCATTGATGCAAGAATGGCAATGTTCCACATTTCTTTGCCAGCCCTTTGAAAGAGTTTTGACAATAGCATCCAATATAAGTGGCGCTGCTGAAAGGGGGAATGAGGGGCAAAATGCCCCAGGGGGCCTCAGGGTTGATTGCACGATATTAGGATTGGAATTAATCAATTGTAGCAAAAGTATGCTTAAGAACGTAAGATTTTAAAAAATTTGCAAGAAATGACTGCAAGAAATATTCTGAAATGCATTTTAAGCTAATCTTAAGGGCTTGGTGACAAATATTTTCTGTTCCCTCCGCTCACTGGGGGCTTGACTTTCGGCTTTGTCCTAGGAACTCCGAAACCTCTTTGCAGTTCTGATTATAAATATGGCAAAACATTTCTGATAAAATCTGTACTTTCATATTTTACTCATGTGACTCCTTTTGTCTTCAACAACATAATTTTATCGCATTATTGAGGTTTTTGAATCATAAAATCGAAACTAATTTCACAGGAAATTTTTTCAAAAAGTTTACGGTCACAAGAAGTCTTGAAAAAAATAGCACTCTGGGCATCAGAGAGCTTTTCCTTATATTCTAGAGGCAGATTCTGGTTATTTTTGCTAAAAACTTTTGTAGTAAGATAAATCAATGGCATAAATTTATATTACCAGATTTCATTGATTTTACATTATCCTATTTCAGCGTCTTAAATTTCTTTTATAGGGAGCCTCTCTTTTCTCTTGAACGCCAAAAGTATTCTAATTTGTTTGAAGCTGTTACTGACTATAATTATGACATTTATCATGACTATTTCAAATAGTTCATTTAACAATCATCCTGCCTTTGTTTTAGCTGCCATTCCCAAACCCTGATCGAACAATCACCAAGTATGTTTAAGATCTAAATGTTTCTATAATGAAATATCCACAATCGTGCGCTGCTAATTGGGACAAAGCATTTAACCTAAAGTTTTATAACTATCTAATTTTCAATGTTTCCTTGAAAGAATTTTCTTTTGGTATCGTGCACTGCTAATTGGGACAAAGCATTTAACATAAAGTATTATAACAATCTAATTTTCAATGCTTCCTTGAAAGAATTTTCTTTTGGTATATGTTTTGAGACTAGAAAAAACATTTTCATAACCTTACTTTATCACAATGAAAAAAATCATATTTCTTGCATCGGAAATACACTTTTTCCAAAGGAAATTGAAAATAATAGATAGAAAGAGCATGTAGAAAAAGGAGGGAGATTTCGCATTCTTTTGTTTAAAATCCCCCGAACATCCTCACTTCCATTATTTATTGCTTCTATGTGATGGGTAATTTTTGGTGAAATACTCCGTTTACACTTTGAATTTTATAAACGGTACGGTAGAAGTATGTCGATAAAACCTTGGAACAAAGTAGTTCACTCTCGTGTAAACCGATGCCATTAGAAATGTACCTCTTCAGCTTCTTTAAAACTGAGAACAGGCGATTTGATAAAACAATATTTTTCTATAGCATTTGATGAAATATTTTATCATGATATTTCTATTGTGCTTAATGTATTCATTCATCTTAAGTCTTCAATACTTTTAATTTCTTTTACATTAACATTTGACAATATTTCAAGTCGCGATCTTTTTATTTCGTTGAATTCATTAATTCATTATTAATATTTTATCTTATGTTCCTGAGTTTTTTGTTCTAACAACTGATAAAGATTTTTTCCATTGACAGCCCTCATCACGACATTCTTGTCAGCGTAGCCTATCTGCCATCATTTGGAGCAAACCATGGTCAAAATTCCGACGAAGTAGACTCCAGTTCTGGTCGATATCTCTCCTGCAGCAAAGATGGAGCGCTGGTGTTTTGGAACCTCGACTTCAAGCTGCAAAAAACTGTCCTCGTATGTGTCTAGAGATTTGCTTTGCTTACCCAGTGTCACAACCAGGATACTCGGGTGAATGTTTGGTTTCTGGATCTAGGGCAATTTTGTTGGATCTGCGAATTTAATTAATTTTTTTATAATGTCTAGGCATACCTGAGTACTGCATTCAGTATTCTGCCTCATGGAAAAGCCATGATGTTTTGATCCTGGCGAGTTTGTTTGGTTTACTCAAGCAGAACTACCGGGGAAGAAGGGTGGGCCACATAAGTAGTCTGGAATGGGAGAGACACTTTTCCAAAAAGATGGTCCTTAAGATTCATGCATATCTAGTGAGAAATTTCGGGGAAAGGGAATGTCGGGCTGTACATTAACTAGATATAGCGACATTGGCAGTTGCGTTGGGGATGCCATCAAGCAATATAAATCTTTTTATAACACGTAAGCGATTTGAAATTATCATGTTTCAACGAGCAACACCAGTGGCGGTTTTAGGGACTGCGGAGCCCAGGGAAAAACATCTGCGGGGCTCCTGTTCCTTACAATTTCTATCTTTTTTCATAGATATGGGGCCCTTTTGGTTATTATAAGCGCGGGGCCTGGGGCCATTGCCCCCCTGGACCCACTTAAAACCGCCACTGAGCAACACGATCAAGACTTTGTTGCAGATTTAATGCAGGGGTTATATTTATGTGTAGCGTTATTTGTTGATGTTAACGTGACTATACACACGTTAATTTCCAATCTCAGAACTCTAATGTTAAGTTATAGTCAGCAACTTTCAAACTGAACAGTATACTGAAAGAAATTAATTGGAAAAATGTTTATATCCTATTGGAAAATGTGCGTCTCTTGAAGATATGAGCTTTATGGTTGGACCATATTTTAATTCTTTTCTAATTAGTTTTATTTTAGCTTTTCAAAGTAAAAATGTATAATTCACTTTAGCAAACTTTAGGTACTGTATTGTTAAATAAAGAGTATTAAGTTTTAACTATTTTCAAAAGTGAGTGTGCATAAAGCAACTCCAGGGATTCCATAAGTCAGAAATTTTACTGCAGAAAGAATATGCTACTTGTTTTTAAAGGAATCAAGTATTTATTAGGCATAAATATTCTACTCTACAGGGAGTAGTTTATTTTCTTTTGCGGGCTAATGGGAATCAAACAAAACAAATGCTCAGAGACGGCGCCACGAAATTAAGCCTGGGGGGCTAAGATTAAGTGGGGGGCTGAAGCCTCCCCAGCCCCCCAGTGGCGCCGTGCTTGATGCTGCTTGTGAGAAAGCCTTGCGATGTTGGCAAACTATTTCAGCCTTATACAGAAAGCAGATTAATCTCAAGTTTTCCTTATAGCTTGGTGACCACCATTCATCGTCGAATAAAACAAGACCCATCTGGGTCACTTGTTTAGTGGCACTTGGCAACGTAAAGAAGATTGCGGTATCAACGACTGAGCGAGATCTCTGTATGTTTGTTTATAACGCAGTTTTAGTCTGCATCTTCTTGAAATTAATGAAATAATAGAGTTGTAGTTTCCAAACAATTTACAGAATAGTTTGCTGAAAACAATTCAAATTTCTATAACTAGAGGGACTCTTAAAATATTCTGCAGCAACGTTAAAGTTGAACAGAAAGAAACTCGATTATGAATCGATCAATGAATGTGTGTAAAAATTCCACCCTTGCTTATGTGGCTTGCTATGAGGCAGTGGCAGAAATTTAGCTTTTTGAGTATAGTGAATCTATTCAAGTTGCTTGTTCGATATGCCTCTTCTTGCAAACTCCATTATTAGTTGAGTATTGATGTACAGTGAATTCGTAGGGGACTGGAACACAAGTTAAGAAATTGAGCAGCCGCGACGCATTGTTTTGTTTTGGTGCCCCATTGCAATTGCTTTTATTGAACAGTATACAGAGCAAAAGTGTGCCTTTAACGATAAGTTCACTTTTACAGCATTTTATGACTGTTCCGGGAATAATTTTGACAAGCAATACATGGTAACAGGATTTCAGCATAGCATTTTGTCAATGGATTATTGGTATGTTTTGCGCACATTTTGTACTTTTACTTACATGCCAATTCTTGTGATTGTTGAATAATTTGTGTTCCATTTCTAGGAGGTCAGAAACTCATAATCTTCTTGTAGAAGGAGTAAGCCTTTATGATGATTTCTGTCGAAGGGTTAGCATTCACGCTTGTATTCCCTAATCACGGGCCTGTGGCGTAACACAGTTTAGGGCACCTTGTTTCACCTCGGTGTTGACCTAAATTAAATTGTAGAGTCCTTGAAAAGCATCAAGTCCATTTCTCATTGACTCACTTCTGCAAGACTCAACTAATGACCAAGGCAGTCCTCCATTCGCTTTGCCAAGCCCTCAGCTTTGCCGCTTATTTTAGACCGTCAAAGCATTTGCCAACAAGTTTCTACATACGCTTTTAAGCCCAATTTGTAACCTGCTGAAGACTGAGTTTTGTGAAATTTAGCAAAAACTTCCTTTCGTACATCATTCAGTGCAAAAATGACACAAACTGACATTTATTCGTGCTGACGAAAGTCAGATGTTTCATCAATTATGCCTGCACAATAGCCGCTTTCTTTTACTTCTTCGACAATCCTCTCAAGAAGCTTTGAGTGTGCAATTTTGTTATTTTTGCTACTTTATGAAACAGTTCTGCCAATATATTCAAGCAGCAATGATGTTTTTAAATATTACTCAAATGCCTTTAGGTATAATCCAAGGAACCTGAATGAAAGTCTAATACTTCTTGGTGACACAGGCGGTGGAGTCTCTTGTATAATGTTCAAAGAGGCGACAGTAGGCCTATTTGATGTCAACATTGGTAAACTGGAAGTTTTATCGCATGGTATGTTAAAAATATTACAGTACAAGACAAAGTTTATTAAACAATGTAAGACGTCTTTACCATCTCAAAATTAGGTATCTGTCTACGTTGCATGCATGAACGAGTAAGGATACGACACGACACAACACGACACGACACGACACTACAATACACTACAATACACGACACGACACGACACGACACGACTCGACACGACACGACACGGCACGACACGACTCGTAGTGTCAAAACATTTCACGCGAAAACATGACCGAACTAACATTACACGAGATGACCCGACGCGATGCATGAATGAATGCTTACGTATACAACACATCAGGACATGATACCACAGCATACGACATACAACATACCGCCTACCACATACCAAGTACAACAAACCGCACACCACATTCAAAATACCACACACCGAGTACCACATACCACATACAACATATAACATACTACATACCGAAAACCCCACCCATATCATACATCATGTCATACTATATCGAATCTTGTTAATATACTGCTATAAATTGGCATACGTTTTTTCTGCTGCAAAGAGTTTTAAAAGTCAGCTGACCATTTCAGCGTACCTATAATTCACAGCAATTTCTAAATTCGTTAAGTTCTTTCTTATAGTAACATTTCGACGAATATCATTCAAAGAATTGTTCAAGAAAAACCATAGATCAGTAAAAGTGATTTCCCTACCAGTGAGTATGTTTAAGCCAGATGCATGGTGTAGGAAATAAAGAAATTTTCAAGCATTAAGCCTTGGCCAAACTGGGCAACATTGTTGCCCGACAATGTTGCTTGAAACTTTGTTGATTTTTTTGTCGTCGAAACATGGTGGCCAAACTGGGCAACATTGTCGTGCAGCATCTTTTGCTGATGTTGTCGAAACAGCGCGCCAAATTTAAATTGATAAGTGGTTTTAAAAGTTTGGATAAGTATGGCTGAAAGAATGCAAGCTGCAGCCACTGGAAGCTGATTTTGACTCAGCTCAGCACAACACCATCGTGTTGCTTTTAGCACCCTTTGGTTGAGCACTCGTAGAAGCAGTAGCATTTGGCTGATTTGTTGTTTCAAGAACTTGCACTTGGACTTGTTTCAGACGAGACCTTTATATTCTTCCTCTCCATGGTTTACTTCCCATTCTGCAAAATCAACTTCGAAGCTTAAATTTTGACAGGCTATTTTAATTGAATCGAGTTGAGGATATTGTTTTGCAATACAACACTGCGCATGTTTATTGTTTTGCAATACAACACTGCGCATGTTGATTTTTTCTCAGATGGTAAATTGAGGTGAATTGTTGCCCGATAATGTGGCCAAACTGGACAGCAAAGAGCTGAGCAACAAATGTTGCCGAAAAATGTTTGAGCATGTTCAAACATTCGAGCAACAAATTTCTTAATGATTTGTCGGCCGACATGGTGGCCAAACTGGACAAAATTTGAGCAACATTATGAATTTGTGAATGTTGCCCGACAATGTTGCCCAGTTTGGCCAAGGCTTTACAAAGCTAAAAGTAGCAAATTGCTTTATAACTGAATAACTGAGTTCAATTTCGCTCCATTATCTCTTTATCAGTGGGGTTTAAAAGGATTAATTGAATTAAAACTCTATCATATAATGATCAATCCAATTTAAAGAAATTCTGCGATAGTTTTTTAATGTGTTGGCGCTACATATCAAAGTCATCTCCGATCTGATATTGCTACTTCTAATGCCAGCGGTAAATTACTGGAAATATTCGCTGTCAGCTGATCTTAAATGAAAGATATTAATGAAGTACAGCAAAAGAAATCTTTCTCATTGAAGTTCAGAAAGGTTTTTTAGGCACCATTTAGAACGTTTTAAAAGAAAGATGGTAGCATCATATTTATGCAAAAAGAAACATCAGTAATATGTTTTGTTCAAATGCAGGGACTGCACGATGACTGGGTGAGAAAAGTGAAATTCATACCAAATTTGCAATGCTTCCTTTCATGTACAAGAACAAACAACACATCTTTGTACCTTGGAGACTTGCAACGAAAGAAAATGTATGTACTCCCAAACTGGATTTCCGAGCGCCTCCGTTGGGACGCGGTCTTAATTAAGCAGCAATTATTTCTTTGGATAAACACAAGACCGGGTTAAGCAGGACCCAAGTCAAGAAGAATTTCTCTGAAGCTAAGTGGCCCAAAAATAGGCCCTTTCATGCTGCAGCTTCAGACCAAATGTGGGCTTAATCCAGCACAAAGTAATAATATTTTGAATATTTCAAAACATGCAGATAAAAGTAAAGATCTGGGCTTTAACATTACTAGTAACTTTATTATTTCAACTTTTAATTTTTTTGTGAACAGGAACTCCTATTTTCGCGTTCGTAAAGGTATTTACGCTTTTGACTACGACAAAGACAACAATGTTATAGGTGAGTGCAGATCAGCGGCTATCGTATTCCATGATTTTAAGATAACAGCTCTCTCTGTTTTGATAACATATTTGAAGTTTAAACGATGGCTGGTAAAGTAGGGGCGGATCCAGGAAAATTTCTGACCGGTGCTCAGTTTAAGCACAGAATAGAGTTGTCAAGTGATGACGCCACAAAAATCTATTCCGCACTTGTATCCTGCCAGAATCTTGTTTCAGTGAAACGATTGTCAACCGTGAGACATATGTAAAGTGTTATTTTGAAGTATAATGGACTAATCCAGGCTTATCCTAGTAATTTATTAATGAAACGTGAAGTAAAGTATTGTGAAGTAAAAAGACATTACTTAATATTTCTTCTTTTGTTTTGTTTCAGTAACTGGTGGTCCTGACCGAATCATTCGTCTTTGGAATCCATACGTAACCACGAAAGCAACTTCGGTAAAAATTCTTCTTTCAATAGCCTCAGTGCAACTATTGAAAAAACACAGGTAGACCAAACGCAATTTCAATGGTTGTAAGTTTTTTACATAATATATTTGGGCATGCGTCGTAAACATGATTGAAAAAGGAATGCTATTATCTTTTTTTGAATTCGACTGCAAACACTTTTGTTGTATGACACATCGCTGTATTCACACAACGTACCTCGTCTACTTGTTTTTATTCATACTTAGTGCTGAGCTTCAAATCACGTTAAATGACATGATATTTCATACCCTGCATGCCACTTTATCTGTATATTCTGTCTATCAACATCGATAAATGATAGACATGGGCTTCGACAAAGGTTGAAAAATGCAAGGACAAAGGGGGGCAAGGGAAAATTTAACACCCATAACAAAAGATTTTGAAAAAAAACTCTATTGTTTTGCAAAGAAGTAGGGGGGCTAAGGCCCCCACCCTTCGTCGGAGGCCCTGATAGTGTGGCAGAAAGTTTCCTGATTCCGCATTCCATATTCAATGCCATTCCATATTCCGGATTCCTGATTCCGTATTCCGCATTCCGGATTCCGTGTTTTGAAGGTAGCCCGCGACAAATGCCCTCTAACCTAAATTCCAAATTTGCGTAGCAAGAAATGAATACAAACAAACGGTCGGTTGATTTCAAAGTCGACATCCTTTTTGTCTTTTCATCTGATCAGGATATGATTGATTTACTGCACAATCAGGATCTGGCTTAAGTCAATTTTGAATGAAGGAACACAATTTACAACCAAGGCCTGCAAAATTTTTTGATAAGATATGTTTTGGTTTTTCACCCTTGAGCTATTTTGTTGAGGTTGACCAATCAGTGCCGCTTGCCTACTGATTGGTAGCTTTCTTCAGTGGCTTTCTTCTATACAACTCTTCCTGCCGACGTTTTGCCAAAACTTGGGGAAATCTATACTTAAGGTTTTAAGCAATAATTAATGAAATATAAAATAAAATGCGCAATCAGTAAATATTATTGCATGTGTGCTCATAGGTACTCAAGGGACATGTTGCACCAATTTGCCAAATCATAATGGACAGCGAGCACCAGCAAATAATCAGTATATCAAAGGACAAGGTAAGGAATAAGAACATGTTTTAGGAGGTTCGGGGGAATGAATTGAAAGTCATCAGGGATACCTTGTAATTGGATTCAAGGAACATGGCTGCGAGCCTGCCAAATACTACTGTGGAAAACATGGGGGTTTGAGCAACTACCACTTCCAAGGAAAAATTTAGCTAAGGTATTGACTTAAGATGTCATAGCATTGTTACTTTGTGTGTTTTGTATCTGTATCGCAAGAACAAGCATTTTTGCATTTAATGGCTGTATTTCTATGTCATTAGTGAGATTTTTTCTATGGCCGTTAATTTCTTATTCTGTTCACTGGCAAACGTTGGTTTTGAATCTGTTGCCATTTTTTTTAAAGATGATCAAAATTTGGGACATGAGGGACCAGCTATGCATCCAAACGATTCCAAGCCGACTGGTACACATTGGGAGCACGCCTGTCACAACAGCTCATTATAACCCAAAGCACATGACATTGGTCCTCGGTGGTACATCGGTACGTTCAATTTTTTTAACTTTTTCACTGTCATCGGTGTGGTATTCGTAAAATTTTAGGAAGTATAACGCGAAAGTTAAAAATCAAATCAACGCTTTGCTACCTCTTTTCTTTCAAAATATGAAAACTATACCATAAAATTATACTTCTGCCTTTCATACTCAATCAAAACTTGGGTGCAACAAGTATTGAATGTCTAATGAAATTAAGTAGCAGATATAGCTTGGTATCTAGATTTAAGCAAACATTTAAACGCCTGATGCTGTTGTCCGTTTGAGTAGGAAGAAGCTAGTACAACGCCAACAAGTTATGCCGCATTACTTCTCCACAGCATTCCACTGCTGTTCGCAATAAATAGAATAAAATTTGAAAATTTATTTGTCACATTCCGTCAGTTCGAAGGAAAGGCTGCTAACAATTGTAAAGGCAATGCCTTAATTTTTTAGGATCGGCTGAATATGTGCTGTGATAAAATTTTTTAAAATAAACCTTGATTTTGACAGCCAAAAAACTTCCTAATTCAATGATGTAATCGAAATGTGAAGTTGAGCGAATAAGCAGCAATCTACAAAATGATACTTTAAATACAGTTGAACAACCATTACTGTTTTTAAACAACCTGAGCCAGAACACATCATAGAAAGCCAACTAGGGTCATGACACCATCAACCCCGCACCCAACCCCCCCTCCACATTTATTATATTCTAAGCCATTGAGTACATGAGTGGATCAGCACACTAAGCATTAAAAGTTTTGTTAGCAATAAGTCAAATGGCCTACTGTTAGCAATGATATATATATAATATATATATATAATAATAATAATAATAAATAATTTGTTTAAAGTTGGCGTACTAAATGAACGGCTGATAGCTATAAAGAAGCTAATTAAGGCCAACTATCTATAAAGAGTTAGTATGAAATAAAAATATATGATACAATATTAAAAAGGTTTATGCAACGACTGATATGGTATATGGCTAAAATGTTTATGCAGCGTTACAATATTAAAAATGTTTATGGTATAATGTTCTAAATAAAACCTAACCCAGCAATAATTTTTTACACAATCTACAGTCGCATTCTTTAGGGTGTGCTCTTAATTCTTTTTTAAATGTTGCCAATGATTGGGACTCTCTTATACTGTGAGGTAGTGTTTGCCACAGTTTTTGACCTAAATATCTCACAGTTTCTATACCATAAGGAGTTGTCCTGGCTTTTGGAATGCAAAGATTATTTTTAGTTCGCAAATCATGATGTACATTTCTTGTTTCAAAAATCTCACTCATGAAACTAGGGTTCAGGTTATGTTTGGTTTTGTATATTTCTATCATCAAGTACTGTAGATTGCGTTGGTGAATTGATACTGCATTATCCAAAGTCAGCAATGCTTCGCAGTCAGCATGACTGTCTTTATAAACAATTCTGAGTGCTCTTTCGTGGATTTTATTCACTTTAGCATTCAGACATCTGTCATGGAACCTTCAAGTTAGGGAGCAGTAGCTAAACTGAGCTTTTATGAAGCTGTTCATTAGGAGACGCAGTTTATCAGAACCCATAAATGGTGAAACTCTAGCAAGAGCATGCAGTTTTTGGCTGGCTCTTTTGCATACATTTGAGACGTGACTTTTGAAATTAAGATTTTTATCTATTATCACCCCTAGCAGTTTTTCTTCAAAGGTTTTTTATCAACAATGGCCTCACAGATTTTGATCCTAAAGTCATCTTGATTTGTTCCAAAAGTAAGAAGATGACATTTCCCTGCATTCAATTTCATAAAGTTTTCTGGAAACCACTTTGATAAAACAAGAGCATCAGTTTCTAGCCGTTCTAAAACTTTATCCAATTGACAGTCAGCTGCGAAAATCGTAGTATCATCAGCAAAGTTACATACTGCAGTATCAGTTACCATTAAGAATGAATCATTAATGTATAAATTTAATATAATGAGTCTTTAATGTGATGATTTTTGCTGTTAGTGCAACCCTTGGTTATTATAGGGTAATGTTTTACCCCGTATGTAGGTTCGAAGACATATATAGATGCTAGTTCAACTTCAAGAGCTTTATGATGCACACTCCATGATTACAAGGTTAAGGGCCTGTTTACACGGGATCGGATCTGAAAATACTTGCGTTTACACGGGATCGGATCCGTATGGATCCATTTACACGAGACCTTTTTGGGATCGGATCCAAACGGGACCACCTTCAAAAGCGATCCCAAACGGGTACGGATAGCAGATCCAAATTGGATCGGATCCGCCAGGTCCCGTGTAAACGCAAAGCCTATCCGTACCACTTTGACTTTGGGTACGGATCCATTTGGATCCGATCCCCTGTAAACAGGCCCTAAGACCCCGTTTACACGAGAGCAGATCCGAACCGGATCGGATCCATAAGAGTACGGGATAGGCCTTGCGTTTACACGGAACCTGGTGGATCCGTATACTTTTGGATCCGCTATCCGAACACTTTTGGGATCCCGTATGGATCCGATCTGGACCGGATCCCGTGTAAACGGTTGGTTGCAAGAGAATGGTTTGCTTTCCAGTGAGCCTTATATTTGCCATGGATATAAAAGAAGAAAGCTTTGCGCAATTATCAAAAAGGAGATTCAACAATGGCACGGAGCGCGGAAACGCGGAAACGTGGAAACGCGTCAGCTCTGTCTCTTGCTACCCAATTTCTAATGGTTCATAACTATTAACGATCAACCTTGGCTAATCCCTATGTAAAGAAAGTCCAGTTGTTTATCAGTTCAACATTTACCAACCCTTAAGTATACGTCTGAGCTCCTTGTGCTCAGTCACAGGTATTCATGGTAATAGAATTGCACAGGTGCAATTCAAAACAAAAGCTTCTGTTATTGCTATTGCAAAGGTGTTCAGAAATATGCGCACAGTCTTAAATATTTTTGCTCATGTAATCAATAAAATCGAGCTTTTATTCATATGCAATGCAAGGTTATTACTTTTTTAACGATATTGACAGGTGCAAGTAATGATTAATTCAGATCACCAACCAGTGTCCATTTACATAGGGCGCGTAAGGGGGAGGGGGGAGTTTCACCCAGAATAATTTTTGCAGTCAAATCCCTTTCAAGTTCTCAAACTTCATTTCTTCATATAATCTAAAATATAGATACAAACAATATGAAAAACTGTATCCGACCTTGAATTATGTCGACAAAACCAAATCTGAGCTTAAAAAAGTCGTATAATGAAGTCCGGAGAAATTTCTAAAACGAGGTGTTAGGTTGAAATGATGTATTACCCACTGGGTGTAAAGCAGTCCCCTTGGCAAATGTCTAAATATGTAAATATGAAGTAAACTAAAATCCCTGCTTGATAGCATTCGTTCAGAAAGGGCAGTCTAATCTTAAAGGGTAATTAGTTTCCTCTTGATCTTTAACTAGGGCTACATTTTCTCTATTCAAGAAGGCTGATAGCGTTGTCGTGCGACTTAAAGCCATTACTGAGAATTCCTACACAGACACAAACTTTGAACTCCCTTTACTTAATTATTCGCGTTAAAAGGCACTAGTCACAAGTAAACAAAGATTCACAAAGATGTTTGAAGCCATGTAAATAACCCTATCTCTATGGTGAATACAGATAATTGAAACAATCGACGATAAGTGCTGTTTACAGTTGTCGAGGAGAGGATCAACTTCACGAATTTTTATCTCCTATAAGTGCAAGCAAAGATGTCAAATTTCATAAAAGGCCTATTTGAGTAACATGTTCCTTTTAAGTTCCTTGGTTTTTTTAAGGTAGGTCACTGGTTCAACTAGGTCACTAAAATCTTTGTCTTTGATGATAGAGTTTTGAAAATTGCTGTCGTAAGGTAATCAAATGTGCTGATTTGAAGTATGACATCAAAATTTCAATCAAATTAACGGTTACTATGGTAACAAGGAAACAAAGGGTAAAAATATGCCTTGCTTAGTGCATGCAAAAAATTTTCCTTCATCAGGGAATAGCATCTTGACATATACAAAGCAGCCCCCTGAATGTGTGAGAGTGCACTTTGGCCATTTTTTTCTCTTCTCAACAATTCAGAGGCTATTTATAAACATTTTTAAGTTTATCGTGTATATCCTTCGAAATCGAACGATTGTGAACAGTGGCGGATTTAAGGATGTGGGAAACTAGGGGCAGTTGCCCCTCCCTTAACGAGTTTAAGCAAGTCTGGCGCCGGTTTTTTGGAAATTGTGCGCCCCTTTTTAAGAATGAGAATCGGATGAAAAAGGTTCTTGGACCGATAGGTTAATTTGCTTTAAGGATTACCTCAAGGTTATGTTGTTTATTTTGAAAAAGTATCTGAAATTGTTGTATACAGCGCACACTCGTCACCAATTTCTGAAAACTTTTCAGCACCCCCACTACCAGCTGCCCCTCCTTCAAATTTGCTCTGGATCCGCCCCTGATTGTGAATAGCACATTCCAGGGCAGCTCAAATATCAACAAGAATGTCATTCTTGCGCAACCCTTTTAAGAATATATTTTTTTAGCTTGTAGTGCTGGACAAAAGAGCGAAGATCGACTATGCTGCCGGAGATGATGAAGTAACGAGTCATTGCAAGCCTCTTTGTGCAGCCTTGTATAATGATCTATTCAATCAGGTACACACAAATGGGCAAAACGATCTTGATTTAGCGTAGAATTTGATTCGAAATTTTTTTGGGCTTCGACCTACTGATATTCAAATTTGCATCATCCTTTATGCCCTCAAAAATTTTCAGTAGGTAGGTACACAACCTTTGAGCACAGGCACAAAGTTATATTTTTTCAAAGGGGGGGGGTTACTAAAAGATTACCTGCAATTGCTAATGGTGGCTAACAACGGCACAGGGTAAAAAGAGGCTTAGCTTTAGGGTTCTAAGGCGATTTTTTTTACATTTTTTATTATCCTTGTTATTTGATCTTGATTAAATCTCTTGAGATGATTTTGATCCGTGAAACCAACAATATGAAAAATTAGTCCAACAAATCGATAGCCAGCTTCCTTGTCTCCTGCCCCAATTTTCGCTTAGCCCCCTTCCCCAATTTTTTGTCAGGGGGCCTCAAGCCCTGATGACCCCCTCCTCCTTTAAGCCTGCGCCTAAGGTTTTGAGCCAAACATACTCACTGTCAATTTTCATATTTTCAAATTTTTACATTTTGAAATCTCATGCAAAATTAATTTCGTTGAATTCCGCTTGGTGTAACAAACTTTGTTAATCCTATGCATAGAATTCTAGAATCCTTGTGAATCCTTCCTTCACTCTCGATGTGAATCCTTCCTTCCCTACTCAAGCCCTAGGCCCTTGGAATTGCAATCCTTGACCACTGAACCACAAGCCTCTGGGGATAACCTTTAACTCCTTAGTGAAAAATTTGATTTTAGACCATCTAATTATCCATGAATAAAATCTAAAATAACTTGCAAAATAAGGCTAGACACTGAATTTGTGCATGTGGAAAAAAGACCTTTTTAGGTAGATTGATTGGTTAAAGATTGTAGCATTGGAAATGCCAAAGATTGTATTTCTTTTTCTTTTTATATTTATAAATAGTTGGTATTAATTAGTTTTACATAATTATCTATGTATATTAACTATTGCTCAAACCAACTGTAAACAAAGAGATTATTATTATTATTATTAGCATTCTGCGATAAAATAGCAGCACTTTTTTACTAACTTGTCTTTCTGCTTTGGTTATATCAAAATGTCAGATGCTCAAAATTAAACACTTAGCAAGAAACAACGAGTAAAAATAAAACGCAGATTGAGCCTTTCAAAGCTCCCAGTGTTTAAGAAAATGAGATACCAAAAAGAAATGTTTCGTTATCGGTGTTTTAAGCTACTAGCTTAGTTAAAAATAACCAATCATGTTGTAATATTATTATGTTTCACTTCTACATCACTTGTTAGTTGTATAAATACATTTAAATTTTTTTCCTGTTCTTAAAGTAGCTTTGTATGCTGTTTATGGTCAAAGATTTTCGCGGCCTCGACAAATTTTGATGATAAAAAGTATATGATGTAACTAATTGACTTGAGAAGTTTAAAAAGTGCCATTTAATTTTCAATCATTTAATTCACACAGGTTGTCAGCGCTTGCCATGGATCAGTTGTGAATGTTTGGCAACTGGAAACTGGAGAAAAATCGATTATGTTCAAAGTAGCTGATGATGACGTGGAAATAACTTCCATTTCTTTTGACCCCACGATGAGGAGATTGATAACTGGTACAGGTGATGGTACAGTTAGAATCTGGAACTTCAACAATGGTGCCTGTCTCAGAGAGCTGCAGTCAGCCGATGGTAGTGAGGTATGAGTTATTTGCAGTGAGGTATGAGTTGTTTATAGTGAACTATAAGCTTTTTAGATGCCAAATGTCTTATTGGAATAAAGATAGAAAATGTGCACAAAAATTCTACAGAAAGTAGGCTAGACACAACTTCAGTCCATTATAAAAAAGGCTCGTTCCCATTCAAAAAGCGACAGTACTTTAAAGACTAAAAGTTCCGAAACATAAATTGTTAATGCCTATGAGGATAATTGCTAATGTTCAAAAAATGTCAACAGTAAAAGTTCCAAGACATAAATACTAAATGTTCCAGGTTCCAGAAGTGAAGAAAAATGCATCCAAAATTTTACCCATGTTTGTCTCAAGACAATAATTGTCATTGAATTAGAAATATACGCTTAATGTTGCAGAAGAATTACTGCTTAGGTTCTTGTTAAATGCTAGGAGTTATGATGTCGTTTCCAAGAAAACAAAATAGTTTTTCAGAAAATAATAGAAATTGTTTTAGTAACCATGATTACAAACGAAAAAGTTTCGAACGGAATGAGGCAAAGTCACGACGCCGGGAAAGTTGAATCTGTCAGCTTGAATGTGTGTGTACAAGAGGTTGGTTTAAGAAAGAACAAGGAAATTGGCTTTGAAAAAAGCAAACATTTAGTAACCTAAAGCTTTTCGTCTGACACTCCTCAGAGTTTAAAAAGTCAGAACATAGATCAAAAACTCTACGCCAGAACATAGACCGAAAACTCGATCCCAGTTGTGGATCGAAATAGGCCAATCAGAAACACGAGCATGTGACTGTTGAGGTTGACCAATCAGTGCCGCTTACCTATTGAGAATGTTACCGATGGAGTCCTAAGGTGAAAACGAACTCCTTTTGTCTAAACAGTAGCGGGTTTTACGTGCTTATGTAGATAGATTCCAAAACTGCTAGGTGGAACGACGATCGGGCTTTACCAATAATCCGAAACATGTCGCCATTATGGAACAAGGAAGACGCGATATGGAAAACGAAATGTGGGTCTCTGAACAATTCCGTTGCTAATGTTGCTACACAAATAAAACGCTGTATAGAGGCAGCTGTACCATCGTAGTAATAATTTTGCATACGAAGTCTCAATAAGGATAAACATGAGAAATCGCAAGGATTAAGAGTTGTCTTGGAAACTGGCGTTTACTGGAGGTATTTTCGTAGTTGAGCGTAGTTTTGTAGTTTACCTTTGAAGTCAAATGTGTGATTGAAAGTTGAATGCAAAAGTTTTACCTGTGCTTGAGACAGCTGAGCATAAAGGTAAATATACCGTGGACACAAAAGTATGAAATTTCTAGAAGTAAACAAAAAAGGCAGAAGTCATGTTATGAATGTGTCGATCAACATTTCTAAAAGGTTGGGGTTAAGATTTTTAACGCCCTACCTCTCATTTCAAAATTGATATCGTTGCATTCGAAAACCATAGACTTCAACTTTGAAAGGGAGGCGTGAAAGGGGAAGGGGGAGATGATATTATTGTTCTATACATGCTTCCTATTCGACCCAAGGAAAACGCGAGAAAACCTGATCAGCAAGAGATTCGAAACACGGGTTGGCATTCAACCGGTTTTTTGTCTCTTGACAAGGTGTTCTTCTTCAGCTCCCCAAAAAATAAACACCTGCAACAAACATTGGTGTACACTAGATTAATGAGCGCTTTCTCTTTATATCAATTAGCACTTTATGACAGCTTCTTTCATCGTTTCATGGTGGCAAATTCAATTAACTTACAATTCAATTCAACCAAGTTTTCACACGAAAAGAAGATTCAAAAATAGAAGCAAAACAGGTGCTGCAGGAAACGATGCACCGCAGAATGCATTGGTGACCTCTGTACAAGAGGTCAAGGTGAAAAGCAGTCTTAAGGGAAATGATAAGCCAGCCATAAATAAATTTGGAAACCACCTGAAACCAGCCAGAAAATTGCGGGAGTGAATTCTCTATGATATATTTTGAATTCAGGTTATAAACCAAACAAAATGTTTAAAGAAATATAAATGCTAACAGTCCAAAAGGTACATGCGTCCTAAAACCTTCAGAAACATCAATCATGTGTCAGAAATAGCAATGAAATTTTCTGTAATATATTTTGAATTCAGATTACAAACCAGATAAAATGTTTTTAGGAACATAAATGCTAACAGTCCAAAGAAAAAGTCCTTGAAACCTAAATTCTAAAAGCTCAAGACAAATGAATGCTTAAAATTTTAGAAAACATTTACATACAATATATTTATTTATCCTCAAAACCGGTTAGTAGAATCTGGAATTTACTATTATGCTACAAAAAATAATTGCTGAAAGTTACAGGAATAATTGATAATTATATAACAGATATCGTTATATAAAAGTCAGAAGATTGAAACTTGAATGTTAATACTAGGCTTTATGAGGTTGTTTTTGAAAAATAAAATTTGTTAAAAAGTAATTTAAATCTATTTATGTGACCAAGATAAATTTATAGGATGGACAAAGACGCCTAAAATGATAATTAAGTAGATCTTTCACGCGGGAAATCGTATAACTACGAGAGGTGGGTAGAGAATGAGAATAAGTGTGACGTTATAAACGAAAGTAAACAAAGGGCTCTCTTAACGGCTCTGTTGCTAATGTTGTTATACAAACACAATATTCAACAAGGAATATGCGCAGCTATCATAATATCGTAATAGTGCGTAATATCATAATATGAGCAGCTATCATAATATCGTAATAGTGCGTAATATCATAGTATGAGCAGCTATCATAACATCTTTCTGTTTGATTTTATCAAACAGAAAAAAGACTGTATTTTTGACAGGTCACGGTTGGAATAAACACCAGTCATCGCCTTTGTTGTTATTTTTAGATCACACATCTTAACTACTGCAGAAATACTGAATGAAAATACAAAACAAGGTCAATCTCTCAAGACAACTGCCGCTAGGCATGCCGGTTGCGCAAGGGCCTTTAATGTTGACTTGCCAACTGGCGTTGCTTCGAAGTATTCCTTTTTAAACATCGCTGACTTCTATCGGCTTTACGAAGATGTGAAAGCTAAGCTTACAAACACGTGTGCGTCCCATTTCAAGAATATTTATTCACTATTTGCGTCCCCTATACGAGGCTAAATCAATAGAGATCGTTAAAAGAACCGCTGTTAGTTTGCAACGATTTTCAAGGAACGCGAACCAGGCTTAATATAATAATAATAATCTTTTATATAAATACAGGTTAATTTGTTCAGCAAGTAAGTTACTGTTATCAACAAAAAACCTGTTTATTACAAAGTAAAGTTTACAAACGTAAAAGTTTACATGGATAAAAGCTGAAATATTTACAGGCTTAAAAATTACAATCAAGAAAATGACTAAAATTCACGGCTAAATTGAAAGAAATTGACTTGCCTTCGCTAACGGGAATAAAAAAGTAAGCTAGCTTGACACAATTTAGGATAATGGAAGAAGTTATTCTGTCATAGGACTTCCAAGTAATATGTGATGGAAAAGACAGCACTGACTTTTCTAGATTCATGAATTCACAATGTAGGACTGAATCATATAGAATAATTTTCTTCATGAGAAAAATAGATTCTTACAAGTTAGATCTTGGTTATTAGTAACTGGATAAGGTATTTTTGAAAATCTCTAGCTAAACTTTTAGGTTCTTCGTTGAATCTTATGTTTGGGTCTCTTTGCAGTAATAACATTCGTTCTTGCAAAATATTGATAAAGATGCAGATATAAGACGTATTTTCCTAAGGTCAAAGATGTGATAGAATTTTGAATGTCATTTGCTATCTATGCTTATATCGGGTAAGCACAAAAAAATACCGCAAACAAAAGAAATCTCAGCTGATATCCTCAAAATGAGGAAATTATTATTAATGTGTCAATTAATTTGATCTAACACTCTAGGAAAATTAGATTCTACTTCATCCTCGATACTTCAGCATCGGTTTTCATTGTTTTATCGTGGCAACATCAATTTACTTACAACACCTTAAACGACGTTTTTCATACGGATAGAGGCTTTATAGCAAATGAAACTTTCAGAAATAACAGGAAAATCAATAGGTGCAACCTGTAGCAATACAGCCAACCTAATGTACCTCAGTAGCACCGGTAGAGACAAAAACAAGCATTATGAAGCGGGATGATTCAGGCACCGCGCAGCCATTGGGCTAGCAGGGGCTATAGTCCCCCTCCCACTTTTTTGCAATAATAGGCTACACATTTTTGGAAGATTTACTCTAATGCATCTTTGCATAATTTACTTTTATGTAGTAGCAGTTCTTCTTGACTGGGAACCTTCTTTTTTCATTTTCTAGGTGTTTTCTCTTCTTTAATGATATGATGTATTTTGTTATACTACACTTTAACTACAGTGCAACTATGTATAAAATAACTCACGGCCCTTTTCAACTCGACTTGTGGCAGAGTGGAACAGAGAGACAACAACTTCTTTCGTCAGCACTTTGAACGAACAGCAAGATGCTTCTCCCAAAAAGTCTCCCTCTTAAAACTACTACAGCGTATTTATAGATACAAGCATTTTACAAGTATTAATAACAACTAATCAGCTAAAAACACGTAAGACCTACAACCAAAAGAAACATAGATAATTAACAGCAAAGTTATCCGGAAATAAAGTGTTTGCCAAATATTCAAATTATTGCCTACAATGGTTCGAGTTCAAAATGTCAAAGTTCAAAAATCAACAACGTTCGATTTGGTGTACAACAATTTCCTAGTTTGGTTAGCTTGGTATTTTGTTACTCTCAAGCTAATTTTATCTATTTTTATAGTTATTTATAACTTCTCTGAACCAGACTGTTTATAAGAAATTAAGTAGAAATGAAAAAGTATTTTCTAAAAGGGGCATTTTCCGGCGTTCTGGAGGGCGTGGCCTCAAATTTTTTTTTATCACACCCATTTCAGCCCCTCCACTTTTAGACTGGTGCGCGGTCCATGGGATAACTTACACCAACTAGCATCTTTATTGAAGATAAATGTGCTCAACAAAGTGCTTAAATTGGAAACGAGAATAAAAGGTGTGTCTACCAAATATGGCCAGTGATAAAGTAAGAATTGAAGACCATCTGACAGCAGATGGAAAATAAACAGAACCCTTTTTTGCTTTTTGTTTATTTTCAGAATCACAAATGTTACAACAATGTTGCTTACGTCTACATATTTAATCATCCAATGTTTAAGTGTGCTACGGAGTTAGCACAATCAAACGCAATTATGCTATGTAGACAATCTTTATTTTTTACAAAAGAAATTTAGCATTCCTGGGGATAGCACAAGGGTACACCTTAAGTCGGTTTAAATATAATCAATGGTATGAAATGCTTTCACGATGCCGTAGAAAGAAACTCAAAATGTAAGGGTTGTACGAAAGACAGCAACAATTTATATAGAGAAAGAGGATGTGGGTTAGAGATTTGGTACATTGGTAACTAGGCTTCAACCCCCTTAACCTTTACTTCAACTCAAAACATGATTTGAAATGCAATGAAACCAAACGCCTTACCCTAGATATTTTAACTCAAACACTAGGGAGGCCAGAAGACTCCCAAGGATTGCACCTATACTCGGAGAAGGGGCATAGGACAAGCATGGTGGAGCACGTCACAGTATACGAGCACGATCGATAAATAGAACAAATCAGATTAGCAAACCAACCCGGCTCGCAGGGGACGTGGACAATGAAAAAAATGCCCGGTCCATATGAATTTTCAAAAGATGACTTTCCAGTTTTAAATTCCACCCCAGCTCCCTCCCCCCCAGGAGCGTTTTTCATAGGGTTTTGTACACAGAGGGGTACTTGATAAACCTATACTAAAATAATTCAAACGCAACATAAAAATTCCAAAACAATATCCTGCAAAACTAAGGTTTTGAAATACCTATGTATCTCTTCAATATTTTAAATAAGAAGGTTGATCTAAGCTAAAAATACGAAGGTGGTCACATCTTGGCGCAGTTCTCTACTTTTATTGTTAGTTCATACCCACCGTGCACTTCGTTACCTTTGTAAATTAATTGATATAAGTGTGAACAACGGCTCTAATCGTTCTTGTATTGTAAATTTAAGTTTATGAATACTATTAAGACCGTCTACATCTTGTTTAGAAATCTTGTTTACATACAATTTTATATTCTCAGCACTCCAGCCATCACTGCGAAAGTGGTGCTCCTTATTCATTTTGAAACGACCAATTTCCATCGATGGTCGCTTCAGCTTCAATCCTTTACCAACAATACGAGAGTAAAGATTGTCATCTTCGGCCCCCCACCCCCAGTAAATGTTTGTGTATCCATTGATCTTCACATAATCCTCCTTTGTGAATGCTTGTATTCCTCCAAAAAGTTTTGTATATGGCAGTCTAAAACAATTGAGATATGCATTTGTTGAACTTGTCAACTTACATTGTAGACATTTACACGAATAGAAATCCATACTCTTAAATAATGATCAAAAGTTAAATTTCCTGCCCATTCTCTAGGTTGTTTAATGACATGGAACTGCCCGAGTTTCTTCTGAAAACTAGACAAAAACACGTGTAAAAAACATATCTCCTGCTTTTGGGCAAGCTCCAGATTAAAATAGAATATTCCAATCAAGTGCTACATATTTTGGACTTTTCAAAGGAAAAATGCATGTCTTTGGGTTGAATTCAACTGTAGCTGGCTGGATGTTGTTGCGATAAGCTTATACAGGGACGTAAAATGACACGAAAAGGAGATTATTCCGTATCTACACCGTATCTACATGCCTGGCAGAGTGGCGTATCTTTGGCGACTTGCATTTTCGGTTTTGATATTTAGCATACAGAATTAAGCCTGCTTCAGAATCTATTTTGCATATCCTCAAATAGCACTCTAAGTGGAAAGGTTAGGCTCGGTTTAGCTTGATTAAGACCGGTTTACATTAAAAATTTCTCAGGATTAAGACCGGATTTTTATCCTATTTCTCGGTCATCGCATTTCTAGCATAGAATTCAAAAATGTCTTTAAACAATCCAAAATTTCTTTGCTTGGTGATTAAAATATATAGCTTGATCATATATACATCATATAGGTTATTTTCTGACTGGCTGGCAAGTTATTTTACGAATTTTGAAGCATTCTTTCAAAATATCCTTTAGATGACTTTGGCAGCCTTAACTGCAACTGACGTTATCAGTTACGTCGTAAATGATGACATCATCTGAAACCGAGGAGAGGTATTTTTCGGAATCTATAAAATTTTCGCAGTATATAGTAAGAAGATGCCTGCAAATTCATATACGATAAGATATGGAGCCAAAATCCGCCGACATCATCGTTAGACATTTCCCTCGGATTCTTTTGCTCTACGATAATTTTTACTTTCAATTTCAAAAGAATGCTCCTTTGACCAATAGTCATTAAGAATTTTCACATACTTCTTTAATATTTCTTTATACTTTCATACTTAAAAATTTCACTTACTTGTAATCGAATTTGTCTATAGAAGGGGACATGTGCATAGGAGACGCAGGGCAACCATAGTAGTTGAGATCATTCTCACACAAAAGATCGACGTCATGAAAAATGTAGCAATCATAACCATCATAACTAAGCGACTGATTGAAACCGATGTTGTAAATTGCTCCTTTGTTGAATGTAGTTGTCCCAGCCTTCAAGAAAAAGTTTTCAATGTCATAAGAATTCAAGACAGTCTTTTACAATATTTAATTCATAAGTGGAATGGAGTGTTCTCTTACGTCTTTTCTTTTCCATTTATCTGCTTTTATGGTTTAACGGATCGTTAACCCCTTTGTCGATTTGAAACAGTGGATTCATTGCCTTTTAACTTCCCTTGTACTGCCTTTTGGTTTGCTATATGCTTTTGTTTTTTTCCCTATCGTCTACCCTTTGCAAAAAACCTAGGCCAGTCATTTGTTTTTGCGGTAGTTTACAGGTGTAACAATTGAGCAGTGTTTTGATATTTATCAAATATCTTTTTAAGGCCCAGTTATACGAAAGAAATTCAACGATGTAATCATGTACTTTTATAATTCTTTTTTGTATTCCGATGAAGAATTTAGAAAAAAATAATCTAAGGATAAAGGTCCTCGAAATAAGATTTTGTTTTCAGTCAAAAATTGATCGTGTGTGAAGTTTCAGCTTTCAAAAAACTTAAAACTGTATCGTATATTCCAGGCTTAAGTGTATATAAGAGAAACAAGAGAGCCAAATTGCGTAAAAAGCTGCAATAGGCATAAAAAGCTGAAGCCCAAGTTCCAATTTTAGCCTGATGAAAGAGTAGCATAAAAATTGCAAAATTAAATCAAGGCAACGATGCACTTTAGTTCTAAGAAAACTTTCATTTTATTATGGCCTATGAGCAGGGGTGCAGGAATCTTCATGTTCAAATTAGTTTGTGCTGAAATTTTCATGTTGTTTGGGCCGTCAGGCAGTGAATTATCCCATTTTCACAATTTAGTTTTTTCTATACATTCCAATGGAATTTGTTGCTGTAGTGAAATTTTTTCACTGCAGCAGCAAATTCCGGTCAAATCTAAAGAAATATCTAAATATTCAAAACAAAGTAACCCGCGACCGAACGGTCCAAACAACATGAAGTTCTCTATATATACTAATTTTCAGTTTAAGATTTCAAATCTGAAGTCCATTTTTTGAAAAGTTGTAGATACCAAAATGCAGAATCGATGATATCAACCCGGGACGATGAATTTAAGCACTCCTCAGAATAATTTCTAGATCCACCCCTGAATGTCTGTTGTATTTTGGGCAACTTTTTCCATAACTAAGGACCCCCCGATCAAAAGAGTCCCTAAGACACCCTGCCTTTGAGACTTCGCTCAAGTTCACCTTGTTTTCATAAGGTCTAACAGTTCTTTAAATAAAGCATAAGAAAAAGTATCATTCTTGCACCTTGCTATTGTGCTTGGCATGCTCTACTACAGTTTTGGACGACACCTTCTTTGCAGTCTGCTAGTAACAGCCCGTATCAATTTTCCCAACGACCCCGGGTTTCTTCGTCAAGCCACTGTTTACATTAAAAGTGTTCTTACCTGTTCTATAACGAAAATCCTGTAGTCAAGCCGCTGTCTTTGCAGTATAGGGTGAATGTGAGTAAGAAAAGTGTTTAACTGTTGAGGCCTTTTACGATATGGCACTAAAATTGCCACTTTTTTTATTGGGATACAGTCTTTCGGTGACCAGCTGCCTCCGATATCAATTTGCAGGTCTTCGTTTTCCGTGTGATTGAGCGCGGCAGAGTTGTTGAAGTTGAAATCTCGTCTTCCGACTAGCGAAGAAGGCTTATCGCTACACAGTGACATCTTCGGTTGTTGTACCCATTCGGTTTTGATTATTGGGATCTTCGTTGAACTTGTGTTAACAACCACTGTACTCCTTGAATTAGACTTCAAGAATGTCCGCTCCTTTATGTATCTACGTTGAATTAAAAGTTGACTGAGAATTAAGGCTGAATACAGCAAACATGCAACCACAAAAAAACATTTAAGTCTCCTTGCAGTCGCTCCCAGAATTGCCATTTTCTTCGGGATTCTCCCAAGCACTTGTTGTTGTCGAGTCAGTGCAGCCAGTGCATTCTTTAGTAACCATACAGATTCTGCGGAAACCAGCTGGCGTGGATATATATAACAAGCCACAGGGCTTCCATACACATATTTTGACTGGACGCTGCCCATTGTATTCCTTTTCATTCAATACACTTAGATAAAGGAAATATGGGCTACAGCCCCTTCAAGCCAGTGCCGGGGTGGCTATGTTTCCCCTGGGATGGCCAAGTCGATTTTTGCGCCCTATCTATATATTGTGGTTATATAATAGATGTGTTTCTAGACGAGAAATCACGGTTGGCAAAACATAAAATACTAATCAAAAGACATTCTATTCAATTACACTGATGTGTACATACCGGCTGGTGGGCCTTTGAACTCGTTTATTATATCCAGAATACCAGTTTCAGAGTAAAATAGAATAAAGCAAATTTTTGTTTGGGCTCCTCAGATTTTTAACTAAAGGTAGCCATAGTCTATTTACTATTTACGGCATTTCTTATGGGCGATTTTATCAAAATTGAATCTGGAGAGCTAAGAATAAAGTTTAGTGACATAGGAGGACCCACCGTGGTACCCGGGGGGAGGGGGGGGGGGTACTTAGTATATTTTGCTGACGGGATGTGCACGTCTTTCCGGGTATCATTTTCAGCAATTTATTCTCAGGCCGGGTATCTGTTCAAAGGATATAATCTAAAGCCGGTTGCCTGATTTTCGCTGCCCGCCCATTGTTTTTGTGGTGTTCTGGCAACCATGGCAACTGGCACCAAAGCTTTTGTTTTCCTTTGTTCTTTTTTCCAGAAATTCTAAAGCCGGGTGTCATTTTTAGCTTTTTTTTCTAAAGCCGGTTCACCAAAACAATCTTAGGAGTGCACACCCCCGTCGTTTTGGTATCCAAGTACCCCCCCCCCCCGGGCCGTGGTAGGATCCGATGGCAAGAAAATTATTGAAATCAAGCCTTCTAGAATGGCTAAAAATGCACCTCCCAGACTAAAATTTAACAAATTACTATACCGCTCAGAATAGACAATTTGACGATTCTCAGGAAAACATTGATTATTGATTTTTAGAAAAAAATTAGGAGGGGAGGACTCATGCTTTGGGGAAAGAAAGAAAGGGTGACCTTTGCTTCAGCGTGCACATCGATGAAAATAACAAGAAGCTGTTGCATTGATGGTCAGGGTGCATTCCATTTACTTGTGCCCAAAAACCTTCGGCGTACACTCACGTTTTGATGTCAGCTCAATAAATGGAGCTGAAGAGTGTCATAAACTTTAATAGAGCAAAATTAAGTGGAGGCATTTACAGTTCGCAATATTTTCGATTGCAAGGAGGGAATTAGCATTAGAATTTCTGACCAACTAGGAGTTAAAAATCTAGACATTGAAATTGATATTGCTGGAACTTTAGAAGGAAAATTATGAAAAGACCGAAGAAGCAACAGCAAAGCCAGAGAAGATATTATCTACTTTTTCTTTACTTCAATTCACTTCATTCAATCAAACCCACTGCTTAACAGACTACTTACGCTTTCTCGTGGCTTGGATGTTTTCTCCGTGAATAAATAAATCAGAGGAAGTCTGTTGGGATATTTCGCTGTACTAATAGCAGCTGAAGACACTGGTTTTAAAGTTGAAAAACTGAATGGAGAGAACTATCATAGCTGGAAGTTCCAGATGAAAATGCACCTTATCGGAAAAGATTTATGGGAATTAGTTACGGGAGAAGACACCCTGAATGCCGCTGCAAATCCTGAACAGCATTTGAGATTTCGAAAGAGGGAAAATATGGCCCTCACGACAGTGTGCTTGTCTGTTGAAACAAGATTGCAAGTTCGATCCGCTAAGAATGCTAAAGAAGCTTGGAACAATCTTGAGCAACATTTTGTGCGAAAGTCGCAGGAAGCTATATTCTGCACAAATTTGCTCCGACAATAACCTAAAATTTCCTCCGATGGGGGGCTAGATGCTTCCGACGGAGGGGCTGTAGCCCCCCTAGCCCTCCCCTGGCGCCACCACTGGAAGCAGTGGATGACGAAATAGCTGTAAAAGATTTGGATATCAATTTAAACAGCATTTTACCAGAGGATTAGAATTATTTGATCACTGCTCTAAAAACAATTGCTGAAGAAAAATTGCTATCTTTGCCTTCTATCGCTGACAAAGATGCAGAAGTGCAGTTTAAAGGTCAACATTGCAAGATAATCATTAATGGCAATGTTTACAGTATTGGCCACAAGAATGGAAAACTGTATAAATTGAATGTAGATCCTGAGCAGTCATGCTGTTCTGGATCAACTGATGCCAATGATGATAATGCACTGTGGCATTATTGGTATGGACACCTTGGTTATGACAATTTGAAGCTGCTGCACAACAAATCTATGGTAGATGGACTGAGCTGGAAACTAAATGAGCAAACTGATAGAAAATGTGAATGGGAAACAAAGTCGCCAACCATTTTCAAAGAGCTGTTCACAGAGATCAGTTAGATATATTCAAAATTGGGCGAAATATGGCCAACGAAAAATTTGCTAACGGCTTACTGTTATTCTGTCTGGCCTTGTTCATAAATATTTTTTTTGCAGATATTTATAAAGTTCAGCATTCAGGATGTCTATCCCTGGACAATTATATTTATACAGTTCATACAGTTACAAGCAAAAAACGAGGAAGCGTGGCGCAAGAGACAATTACGAATAGCAAATAATAACAAGAGAATTAGACCCCGTTTACACTAGAGTGTTTTATCCGGATAAATTTTTATCCGGATAAATTTTTATCCGTTTACGTTGTACCAGATAAAATTTTATTCGTTTAGCCCCTCCGTTTACACGGTGAAACTAAATGGTGAGTTTTTTAATTGGGCATGCGCACAACCCTTGATTTAAAAACGCGCGAAAATAATTTTCATTGATGTCAGAGTGAACACGTTCATATTTCTGTCATAAAGTCGACAATGCCAAAGAAATCGGAGAATACATCGACAGGAAGTAGCAAGAAGGCTGATAAGAACTTCACATGCTGCTCCAAGGTCTTTCCCAGAACCAGCGAGGTCGTCGATTTCTTCTTGAAGCTTTGAGAATACGATTATTCTTTGTAGCCGTGAATTGCTATCGTCAACTATTGATTCCAAGTTGCGTTGGCTAACTCTATAGGATCTCTCAGATAGAACAGCTAGCAGAGCGTTTAGCCTTGCTGCAGCAGCTACAGAGCTTCAAAATGCACACAGAGATAGTGTGATGTTTGAAGTGAACTTTCATCCATGATAGTTCAGGAAACAGCGAAAATGACATGGAATATTAACAAAAGTGCGCCGATTTTTTCTCTTGCGCCGTTTCGTTATCATATTTAAATGGTCTCAATATGAAACAGAATAGCCTCACTGTGTATGCGTATAAAAATTTATCCGGATAAAACTGTTTACACTCCCCTTTGCCGGATAATTTTCTATCCGGACAAAAATTTATTCGCTTTCGTAGCAGGATAAATATTTGTACGGCAAAGCGGATAAATATCTACACGGATAAAATTCGCTCGTGTAGACGGAGAGCCTATCCGCATAAATTTTTATCCGGATGAAAATTTATCCGGATAAAACACTCCAGTGTAAACGGGGTCTTAGTTAAAGCTCAAAAGCCCTTCGGGAAATTAACTCGGGAGATTAAACGGTTCTTTAAATCTTAAAAAGCGTGCAGTCTGGGCTCTAGAAAGATTAATCTGGCACAATGCACTTGCGCATATAACAATTGTTTTGACCGTTGACAGCATCTAATTACTCTATTTAATTCGTCAACTACCTTCGGGTGCTATGTAGCAAAAACAAACAATATAATCAGTTCTAACACATTTACTCCTTTTTAATTTTGATTGGCTATTTTATCACCTCGATTGTACTAAGGGTTGCAAAATTAACTTCTCTCAGGCCAAATTTTCAATTTTGGTCTTCTTCAGATTTAAATTACCTGGAAAGTTAACTTGTTATTGTTACCTTGTATATATTCTTCGCTTGCTCTTTCCAATTCATGACGTTGTTTATAGAGACTTGTGGTTTTTATTGAACCCCTTTTTTCGGAGACGAATCGGGGGAAATTGTATATTACTTCACGATATTTAAAGGATTCATAACACTACGGTTTCTGAAAAGTAGGGAGGGAGCATATTTTCGTTGTGTTCCAAGTTCCAACGTCTATGGATGGGACAGTTTTTGAAGCAAATTTTTCTAAACATGTAATTTTTGCCTGCTAAGTGCGATAATGACAAAAATAAGACATCATGCATTTCGTTCATTTCAGATTACTGGAATTGCGTGCCCAAAACGAGCAATTGTGTTTGTTGGTTGGAATCAGCAAGTCTCGATATTTAGGTAAGTTGCGCATTTTCTCTCTGCCTACGAGACTGAAAAAGTGTCTAAGAACAGCCATGAGACAAGCAAGAGCATATCATTTGATGTCCCTTTGGTGTTTCTACAGGGGCCAAGAGGCGTTTCTACGGGTGGCCAAGGGGGCATTGCCCCTCCAGAGTTTATCTTGGCCCCTTGCTTGGCCTCCATTTTTGTATAAAATATTCTATTGATAATTTGATGTTTTCTTCTACAGCTGTTCAATCGTTTTTTGTCATTGTTAGAACAACTCTCTCCTGTTTTTTTCAAAACGATCTTTATTACATTTATTTAACAAGCTAGGGGCCCCGGTAAGTAATTTTGTTTGTAGTCAAGGTGAACATTAATGAAATTTTGATTCCTTCCTATAGTTACAAAAAAAATCATTCTTGACAACCATTTTTTCTTTTTGCTTCAATGATTGTTTTTTATTATCACAAGATACCGCTTCTTGGGGGGATTGATAAGCCCAAACCAGGTTCCCTGCATCCCGTTGAAAACCCTCTAGCGTAGAGAAAAGGCCCCTCTAACTGGAAGCTAGCCCCCCCAGATTTTTAAGTATAGATTCGTCATACATAAAGATATCAAGGAAAATTGCGATTTGTACCAGAAAATGTTTTTTTTTCTGGGGTCTCTTTCGCATCGAATCCACCCTGTCCCCCTGTGGTGCGCCACCATTGTTGCTCATATTTGACAAGTGTTGAAAAAAAGTTTCTCTCTACCAAATGGTGGTGAAATAACGTGGTAAAGTTTGTGGACATCAAAAATGGCTTTTAAGGCAAATAATCGCATCAGTAAAATTTGAGAAGTTTGACAAAGGCTGCATTTTGAAATTATCTTAACGAATATGGTGTGTAACCAGCCAGTATCTTAAAATCTAAATAAAATTGGTAATCCTGGCTAAACGAATAATAATAATACTATCAAGTACATTTCTTAAATAACTTTGAGAAACCAACTTTGTAGCACTGGGGAAGGGAGTGGCCTAGTTAGCCTTTGAAAACTTACTTTTGTGTTCCAATACTTTTGGCAGAGATTGTACCTAGGGACAGTAGCTAGATGTAAGGTATTACAAAGTTATTCTTAACGTGCAATTCCTTACACGGCCATTACATTGCACAACGGTACAATTATCCAACAGAGATACTACTGGAAACGAAGACGATCAGGCAAAGATATTCACACACATCCATAAAGATGATATTCTTTGCATCGATCTATATAACTCAACGATGGCAGCTTCTGCTAGTTACGATGGTCAAATAGTGGTCTGGAACGTTGAAACGGGCCATTTGTATTATCAATTCAACGTTAACACAGTGAAGGGAAACAAGAAGTATCAAGGTACGAGAGCTTCATTTGCAACGTTTTGTATGTGTTTTGCATATGTAGGATCAAAGGAAGAGCACAATCCACGTTAGATGAAACGCTATAATAAGTTAAAGTAAGTAGAAGTTATTCCACCGATTGATGCTAAACAGTGATTATTGCTTGGAAAATACCACTTTAATTAAGTACCAACACCTTTACCTAACTGGTTGATGCTGTTATATAAGATGAGAGGAGGGTAGGCTTAATCTCGGAGGGGTGTTAGGTATAGAAACATGGGTTAAGTGCTAGGGGGTCAGGGGGTATAATAGCACAATACCCCTGTATAGAAATGTTGCGCAAATACGTCATGACGATGTTCGAGATGAGAGTCCTTTACCATTATCTTTATTGCACAAGGTTTTCTTGCCAATGAAGTGGAAGATGAAGGGACTAAGACACTGTCCATGCCAACTAATGCAAAATTTGGAACACACATCAAGAAGGCTCTATCACCAATATCTCCGAATTTACAACAAGAAAAAAGGCCACCAACAAGCGAAGAACTGCTAAAGCATGCCTCAGAGCATTTATCTGTGGATAAGGTGGATGTTTTAATTTCAATTTTGACACAGTATCCAAGATGACTTTCTTTTGACTAAGAATTTCACAAACGTTTCCACCAAAGTGCCGTTTAAGTAAATTTAAGAAGTCTAAAACCAAACATCTAAACACCACTATTTAACTTCATTGCATGGCTGGTAGGCTTATGCGCTTTTTTGTCAAATAAAGATTTAGTGAATTGGCTGTGATTGCTCAGCTTGCCATATCTCACGCAGATTGTTCGTACAAGTTTTGGTGACCATTAAGGTAGGAAACAGGGAGTCTTTGAGCGATTATTCCCTCACTTTCATCCAGAAGCATACTCTTTCCACTGAAAAGGATTCATTTACACCCCCCTACATTACCCAAGGATGTCTAACTTTTAACATGTTTCTACACCCTTGGAAAACCTTCTTTAACAAGCCTTTTGTGTCTGTTATTAGGTTCTCTTCCTCAAGAATCGGGAACACGATCAGAAGACTGCATCACTTCTGACAAGTGCAGGAGGCTTGATTCAAGCATGGAGTGTTCGAGGGGGAGGCTTGCTAGGCCAGTTCAGAGCTGCACACACTGCTGGCGAATCCGTTTTGGGAATGGCAACAGACTCGAGGAGTCTTATGCTCATCACTGGAGACAGCATGGGATACATAGCAGTTAGTTTTGTTTCATTGAATTAAAGTCTTTTGAAAAAAGCTTTAATAATAATAGAAGAAAAATGGTGATAAATTCTACAGTAAGAGAAGGCATCTATGACTCCTTGAAATACAGATAGAGTGCTTTGGAACAGAAGCAAACAGATATGCTTTATCAGCAAAACTTTCAACGAAAGGATAACTTGCGTACTCTTATGTCAAAGCGAGACCCACCGTCGCTTATCTTTGCTCGTAACTGTACTGTTTATCATTGTCTTTCATTGTGAAATTCTGTCTTTTAAAGGCTTGGGATATCTCCACTTATTCTGTGCGAAATGCTGAAGGAATGCCCACGCCCGACACCAAGTCAAAGTCAATGTTCAGCTCTTTGGTGCGATCTAAACTGTTCAAAAATACATTGAAACCTGCAAACGAGGCAGATGATAGTGCTGAACAGTCCGGGTTTTCAGGCCTCATGAAAGACCTGACGTCCTCTGTGAACACCACACCCCCACAGAAAATCATTTCTTTTAGGTAAGATTGAGTTATTTGAAGCACAATGCAAGTAGACGCATTGAACACAGCCTCAAAGTTAGCGTATCATTATTAAAGAAACAGCCTCAATAACAGAGTTTTGCTAAGTCAGCAATATATGAATATCAGCAATATTTGAAATCGTTTGGATTTCAAAATGAAAAATGGACATGTTCAATCAAACTTTTGTTGAATGAAGTTCTATAGGTTGGGCAGTTAAAAACTCTTGATTTCAGGCAGAAACGCTGTGGTTTTATTGGCTATAAAGCATCAGTTTTGACAAAAAAGTTTGGGAAATTTACCCACTTTATTGGAATTTGTTGGAAATTTAATCGTAAACCTCTAAGAAAGTTCCACTGCGTTTCTGCACAGAGTGGCAACAAAATGACGTAAGGAAATCTATATTTTAGAATTGTTTTAATTTTGATCGAACGAGAAGTATAACACAGAGAAAGCCTCTAAATGTGCAAAATTATTTATATCTGTTACAAATTTCCTGCGATATAACAAATGACAAGTTTACAGTTTGCTAAGGGGCTGCTGTTATTTAGGCTTGGTTCAAACATTTTGAAAAGCCGGTACTTAGTTTGCCATATCTCATAAATCTATAACTGATTTGACACGTTTAGCAGTATTTTATGGTGTCTTCGCAGGGCAATTAGTTCAAAATCCAAAAATATCGAAAACTAGATTTTGTTGACATCCCCACTTTGCCACTATAGAAAATATTCTACGTTATGTGTAGCGGTTCTACATAACTTTCCACTCTTACTAAATTTTGCAGAGGCCATACAAAAAGTATCGTCAGTGTAGACTACGTGGAGAGCAAAGAATTAATGATAACTGCATCTACAGATTGCTGTGTGAGAGTGTGGACATTGCAAGGACGGTTTGTGGGTATGGACACCATACATATTTCATGCGTATTTGTAATTTCTCCAGGAATAGATTGCTATTCATTTACAAGACTGTTTGCATAAGATAACGTAAACAGAGCGGATTTTAACACAGGACATCTTTCTGAAATATGCCCCTTTATGTGGTTTCTTGCTATTTAAGAACGAATTTAAGATAATTACACAAAACCACATCCACCTTGTCGTTTGAAGATGACATGTGAAGATGCTATATTTCAGAGGATAAAAGGTCAATATGTGAAAATTAATTCTCAGGAACGTTTGGAGAAAAAGCACCTTGGGAGCCACTGGAAAACTTTTATCATCCAAAGCACGAGAAGAAAGTTCCTGCAGATATTCAAAGAACTGCTTCGCAGGGAACACTGCGCGTGCTTACTGGATCCAGTTCGAGATGGAGGTGCAGTATGCTCATGTTTAAGTGTAACTTAAACATTTAAAAGACTCCATGTTTCATGGTCGGATGGGGGCAGCAATAATATAGAAGCAAATAAATATAAATGATAAGATTAGCAAAAATAACCGAAACGAAACCAAAATCAAAATTTCACCTGAAGTTTCTATTAAAAGTTTAAAAGTAATATTAAAAACAGGGCAATTGTAAGTAAACATTTAAGAGCTGGCTTTGCCACCAGAAAGACAGGAAGATCTCGTACTGGCCTCGCCACAAGTCTCTGCAAGTTCAATCAGTACATATTTGTAGCGAGCGAGATGTTGCAGACAAAAGTTAACTTGAACAATTAGTAGAGCTTTCAAAAGTCTTCTATAATCTTTTTATGAACTTTCTTCGATTCAAAATTTCACTGTGTTAAGAAGCGTTGTTATAACGGGGTTGACTTGAAGTCCCTTACATTGTCTTACACTAAAATGCCTGATTTTAATTTCTAAGAAAAGGACGTGGTCTAAAAAATGTTCTTGTTTGTTCCTCTAAATCCCCAGCCCTTGTTTGTTCCTCTAAATCCCCAGCCCTTGTTTGTTCCTCTAAATCCCCAGCCCTCCCCATTTTTCGGGGGCTGACGCCGCCTTTGCTTTCATGTGATATATTCTGGTGACTTTCGTAATAAAACGCTTATTTCAGAATTGCCACCAACGTCCTCCGTTTCCTTGGGATGGGCCGAAGGCGCTCTACGCATCCAGGGCTCCTGTGCAGCAACCTCGGAGATGGTACGCTCGACAAGGAAGAACTTGAGTTGCAAAGACGGCTGGAGACGTTAAAAATACCAGCCACTAACATTCTCGGAAAAAACTATCAACCCAAAAACAGACACAAAATACCACCCACCAATATAAAGCAGAAAATGATACAGAATCAATGCGTAGTCTACGCTTCCCTTCCTTACACAGAGCTGAGAATCCCTAAAGAGCCTAAGATGCCACAAATCGTTGCCAAGCGACAATGGGAGCGATCTGCCGCGATACTTAAAAGTGATAATGTCAGGTTCAAGCATCCTTTCCGTACCAGACGAGAAGGCTCAGTATTTCAAGGCAGTGCATTCGCAAGGCGTCAGTCGATAATGAGAAGATAACATAAAAAGATCTTGTACAAGATCTAACATGATTTAATTTAAAATAAAATGGTGTTAGTAGAGAGTAATTGCTAAGATGTATTCTTATCACAATAAAATTTCATATTTATTAAAAGATTGGTTTTTTGCAAAATTTCGTAGTCTGTATTAAGAAGAAACTTCTTCTTTCTTGATTTGCATGGCGCTGCCAGTCACAACCAAGTACAGTCACTGCCAAAAAATCTAGGAGTACTAACGACAACTTCAAAATCATTATCAAGAAAATCGTTCTGGAGGTAGGGACAGCATACTGTTGTGATGTAGAGACATACAGTAGCTATCAAAATCGCATAAGTGAGTGATGCCAATTGAAAGTCACAAGCCTTATTGTTTAACAAATGTTGCAAGAACCCCAGTTTATTTTACCCGCCGCCGTTTACATGTCCAGACTTTATGCTGAGCTTCCATCGTCTATTTGGATGCACTATTTTGGATCTAAAAGTACTGGGAAAACAGTAATCTTAAGAAAGATAACCTCAAAATACGATGCTACACTCCACAAGGAAATACGTTTAGTAGATATGAGAGTTGTCGTGTGAAATCGCATCTTAGATTTGTATTGTATGTACTGTTTGCAGCGTTCTCGGACTTGCCAAAGTGTCATATTTCTCAAGCTTCAGAATGCAGGCTCTTTGGTCCATCTTCATTATTACTGTCCAGGCAAACTCGGGCCACCGCCATGAAAGTTCCCAGAGACATCAGATTTACTGAAATCAAACCCAGGATTCTAGAAAATAAAATGAAAATGATAATTATTTTCAATATATATTGCTTAAAATTTTAAAGAATTTAAAGGTGCTATCGAAGCCAAACGCCAAAGATTCAAAGAAATACAGTGGAATCCCGATATAACGAGCCCCGGATATAACGAACTTCCCGGTATAACGAACTAAATGTCTGGTCCATTGGATTCTGTCTAACAAACTCCTTACAAATTCTCTCGGTATAACGAATCCCGGATATAACTAACCTCCCGGTATAACGAACTAAATGTCTGGTCCATTGGATTCTGTCTAACAAACTCCTTACAAATTCTCTCGGTATAACGAACCCCGGATATAACTAACCTCCCGGTATAACGAACTAAATGTCTGGTCCCTTGGATTCTGTCTAACAAACTCCTTACAAATTCTCTCGGTATGACGAAACCCGGATATAACGAACCTCCTGGTATAACGAACTAAATGTCTGGTCCATTGGATTCTGTCTAACAAACTCCTTACAAATTCTCTCGGTATAACGAATCCCGGATATAACGAACTCTCGATATTACGAACCAAATTTAGGGTCCCTTCATCATAATTACCCTCGATTTAACGAACTTTTCATATATTCTTCATCTGCTTTTTATACTTAACCTGGGAGACCAAATTGGAATGTGAAAAGAAGAAAACAAATAAGAATTTGAAGTAATCGATTACGTCATTCAGCCGCTAACTAGAAGTAAAGCGATATCAGCATTGCCAATGTCTTGGTACCAAATTGTAAGAGGAGCATAAAGATCTTCATTTTCGATGACTAACCATTATTAATATTTGAATTCAGCTTGTTTTTGGGAGTGAAATGTGCACAGAAGTTGGAGATAGCCTAAACAAGCCCAACGCAGGTTTTTTAGGCGTGAACTGCGAAAAGACCTAAAAACCGTTTTCTCCCTGTTTAGGGAGCTCCGTTATAACGATCCATTTTCTAGTTCCCTTCAGAGTTCGTCAAAACGGGATTTCACTGCATTACAAAATCAATTGACATATTTAAAGAAATAAAAATTTATTATAATCAATCTTTTCAAAAACCTTGAAAACTGTTTACCCATTATTTCCTATCAAAGGAACTTAAGGTTTGCGAGATAAACTACTTGAATTAAGCATTTTGTCTTTATAAAACATTTGGAAACCAAACTATAAATATTCAAAAAGGATTTTAATTATTCACACAATTTATCTTACTTTACAGGTATGTTGAGACCCGGGCTTACGACAGATTAGATCCCAATATAATACCTAATATTAGACAGCAGAACAAAAAAATGCGAAAAGTTGACAAAAACAGATTTCTAATGTGGAATCATCATTAAATATTAATTTGGAGAGATTCTTTTAAAATCAAATTGCAGCCAAAAATTTAATTCTTACTTAGGACGGATTAGAATCTATTGAAAATGATTCACAGGGTCACCAGATGCACATCGGATGTTATGTTACTTTCTCTTTTCACTTTGTTGCATCCAGCGTAGGATTGTATTGGTCAGAGCTTTATGGGTAGGATAGGGTTAAGGGTAGGACAAACTCTGCTTTTTTATTGAGAAAAATAGATTGAATGAATGATAAATCAGCACAACTTTGTTTTTGAGTGTTTTGGTGTCATAAAGAACCAATTTAACAGAAGAGGTCCCTTTTTAATTCGAATTTTTGGCGATGTCCAATGAAGCAAAGTATTTTTGAAGCCTCTACATTTTTGGCCCGCAGGAAAACACTGAGGCGGGCCCCTATTTAGGCCTGTAAGAAAGTCCCTTCTAACGTTGTAAAGCAAAATTTAATTACGAGAACTTTCCTCGTTAATAAAGTAACTCAAACGAAGTTTAGAAAAAGTTGCAAAACATATCAAAATATTTGGGGTCCCGCTTTGGCTGGGGTCCCGCTTTGTCTGGGGTGCTTAGCTTTCGAACTGAGGTGTCTAGACTGCGCTACACCATTGACATCACCACCACCAACAAGCTATCTATTTCCGATGAATATCTGATTTAGGTACTACAACGAACCACAGATTTGATATGTACTTTGAGGAATAAAGAGGACACATCTTTAAGTATAAATGCTAAGGATATAACATTTGCACTTATAGCCAAGGGTCTAAAACAAAATAGAGATATGCAAGACACGCGTTGTGAAAACTGGCCCACAATGGAACGAAGCTCAAAGCATCATTTTTTGAGATACCAACAAAAGTTATGTAATTAAAATAGCTCACTTCTCTTTGAAATCTTTCAAGCACCATTTTCTTTTCCATTTCACTGAAAGTCCATGGATCAACAGGAAATTTGTCTTCTAGCAATGATTTCCAACAATTAGCTGCATCTTTGTTGACTTTTACAAGAGTTATCCTCAAGTCTTCGCGATCCTCTATGAAGAAATGTGGAACTTAGGGCCTGATTGTATAAAAAAATGCCATTTAAAAAGGGCAGGATTTGGCACTTGCAATCATCTAGTTGATGGAGAAATAAAGACTTTTAATCTATAATGATTAAAAGACTTTAAAAAAAGTTATTCCAGTTCTCTTGCAAATAGAGGCTTGACACAACTTTGCATAATGAAATTTCAACTTGCAATACAGAAGTTTTGAAAATAAATGCATTGTAAACTGTTTGATGCAAGCTAAGTGTATACAGATTAAGTCGTGAACTACCTAGTTTGGAAGACAGGCGCAAATTTAGGTACTTCCTTACAGCCTTCATAAGCTCTTCACCGAGTCAAAAATTGCTGCTGGTGCAATCTTTAAGTTACCGTAAACAAGTGCTGCAAAACCATGACAATCTGTGGAACAAACATACCCAATGTCCATATGCACTCATCAGCTACCACTTTGTCAAAGAGATTCCCCTAGAGTAAAAGAAAATAAACTTGTTACACTTCATTTAAAACTAAAACACAGCATATAAAAGAATATATTTGATGCACCTGAATTTGTCTTTGGGAAGTAAAAATTAGTAGCAGAAAAGCTTTTACTCTACTAGGTTTTAAGACCTTCTCTGAAGATATAAGCTTGCCAAGGCAAAATTTGTCAATGGTTACACAAAGAAAGCACATCTCTGCGCCTAACTCTTGACCCATTGCAGTTAGTTTACGCTGTACCAGATTTATCCCTAGATTCATCCCCAGATTTGAAGACTTGTTTGTAAAGCTTGAAATGTGTCAAGATGTTATTTCCGGAGTTTGATTTCAGTTTCCACTTGACAGAAGCATTCTTCTTGCCAATTAATTTTTGATGTATTTAGTTAGTTTTGCAGTAGGTTGTAAGCCAGCCAAGATAGCCAGCTGTCTCTCTAATGGATTACAAAAGAACATCAATGCATTCTAACCCTGCTATCGAGGTCAGTGATAGAGATCTCACCTACCAGCACTGGCACTGCCTGTATACTGTAAATCCTCAAATTAGCCCCCTGGGAGCTTATTTTTTTAATATTTTTGGATGGGGGCTTATACAGGAGGTGGGCTTATATGAGGGGGGCTTATAGAATTATTGTAGACATTAAGAAGACATTATTAAAAGACCTCGTTTATTTTAGTAGGAATTTCTTTATGAGCATTTAATTAATTACTACCAAAAGTATCAAAAGTATAAATTTGTTGTGGTAATTCAATAAGACGCCATAGCAACATCAGATGACAAAAATCATCAAATGGAGGGGTCAATTCAAGAATTTACAGTAGCAGTGGGGGCTTATTTGAGGGGGAGGGGGGCTTATTTACAATTTGTAGTTCTAGGTGTGGGGGCTTATTCCGGGGGGGGAAGCTTTTTTGAGGGGGGGGGGGGCACTTCAAGGATTTGTAGTATAAACAAAATCTAAAAGCTATTTGCATTCACACTAATGCCTAAATCATGGCAAAAATTGTCCATCCCAATTAGATGGTAAGTTCTTGCCTTAGAAGAGCTTCAGAATCATAAACAGAAAAACACATTCTGTTGTCGCTTGGAGGTAGCATGCACGACAAGAGAATATAAAAAACACATGATCAGTGATATAGATGGGCACAGAAAAAATGCTCATATTTTTGCGACTGTTTGCACATCATGATATTTTAATTTGATTTTTTGTGCACTGTGGATGATTGCCAGTTGATTGCTTTCTTTTGATACCAGTAATTCATCTCTCAATGAATTCTCACTGCTTGTGGATGAAAACAAAAATATTGTCAATAAATGTAAATGTTGTAAGTCTGAGAGTCTTGCAGTTGAGCTGCAGATAAAGTGGCAAAAAGAGAGTCAGAATAATAGAGAGCAAATAATAGTGAGCTTCAAGGAAGACCAGCAACAACTTTCTGGTAGTCTAACAAATGGAAAGGTCACTAAATTAAAATCAAATCAAACTTTTTCATTCAGCAACAATCGTACAAGCTTTAAAGGTATACAATTGCACCAAAAAAGTTTTTGTGCCCAGTGCCCTTCATGGGTTGATAAAAAATAGAACCAATTTGGTTTACAAAATCTAATACACTTGTACATGAAAAATATTAAGATGTAAACACTAAAGCAGGATTGATCAATGGATTGAGAAAGACAAAGTGTGGCTAAGTAGGTCTTAAAAAGAGAAAAAGTAACACCGAAAAAGAAAAGGAAGAGAAAAACAGAACCAATAATAATAACAACAATTTGTTTGATGTTCTTTCGTCTTGGCATAGGCTGCATCGGACCAACTTTATAAGTGGAAAATGAATGTACGTACAGTTCATTTCAATTTTAAAAATAGTTTGAAAAGACTGGTGGGTGGAAAAGGCTGCTGATGTTTGTTGATAACGATGATCATGATGGTTATGATGGTCAAAATGCTGGTTAGCAACTTATGAAATGGAAGCTGTGTCTGTAGAAAGAGATTGAAATGATATTAGAACTCGTGTACTTTCCAAATCTCTATCAGTGGTTAGGAGAATGTATTGTCAGGGGCGGACACTTAATAAAATATTGGGGGGGCAAGCCTATTGTTTTAAAAATATGACGTCACATTTCTTATTGTTTTAGAACAAAAGACCATTGTCCTCCAAAGTATTGGGGGCGGTCGCCCCCCCTCGCCCCCCAAGTGTCCGCCACTGTGTATTGTGTAGGTGTTGATGTATTAATTTTGTGAAGTATTGAGTTGAAGGTATGTATTAGTTAATTTTATACAATTAATTTGAAAAAATTGTATGTTATGTAAAGGTATTTAAAAATAGAAATGTCCTAAAAGTAATTACAAATTGTGTAGGCATAGGCTACCTCAAGAATGGTATTTTCCTTTATTACAACTCTTATCTTCTTTGGATATATGTTGCATTTAATTGCTTTTGAGACAGTTCCTTTGTCAACCTTTATCAATATTTGAACATCTTCAATGGTCTGTCCCCATTTTCCCCAAGGTGCTTCACTAAAAATCAAACCTGACCTCTCGTCAAAGTTATCGGCCATATTCTTTCTCTCTCTTTTTCGAACCTGAAAACGAGGCAATTTAGTCATGTGGTGTCTCTCCACTGCCCTTTTCGCCATCTTGCATCATGCAAACTGAATGAAAATACTGTGGCAATACATAAGGGGGCTATCGTACTTTGTCAGGACTTCACCTTTCCATTTAGAAAGAGTATTGGCTAGGCCCAAAACTAGATTCTCAACGATGACGGTAAGTGTTACAGTATGTGTATTATAAAGAGAAATTCAGGACAGGAACTGAATGAATTGACTCGAAAATCAATCTCAATTTTAACTGTCCAAATATTGTCTTGTATTTTTCTGTTAAAATACCTATCTATCTGGTTTTTCTCAAAGCTTTTTTTGCTTTTTATTGATGAAGCCACTTGCTTTTTATGTAAGATTTCAACCACAACAAGTAAGTTTCCTGAATTTCGGAGTTCCACAAGGCTCATGCCTTGCCCCTTTTGCTTTAGGTTCTTATTAATGTCATGAATAAGGCTTGCGCTATTTATTTATGAGCTCCTTTTCACAATTATGTCGTGTATGCATGCTGATGATTTAACCATCATCTGTTCTCAACCTAAGATATAACTCAGCTGATTGAAACAATTCGGAATGATTTCGAAAGCTAAAATTTATGTTGTTCACACTTGAACTGAAACAATTGTCTTCAAATCCCCAATTTTGCTCACTCCATAATATTTTTTAACCTTGTCAGAAATAATGCACTCAGCTTGACAAGCAGGCATTCTCTCTTAAAAGGCAATTGAGTTTTATGATTTGAATTTGTTGCTTTTTGAGTTTTATTCCATGATACAGCTTCTTGAAAGTCGCAACATATTCTGAAGGGACCGTCCCCTGAGTAAAATGAAATGAAATGAAAAAAAATCATGTCAGTGTTGTTGCTGAGGCTTCTTTGTGATAAGACTTCAAAAAATGAGAATCTGAAGCATTGAAGAATCTTTACGAATGATCTCTTCCTTTACGCTTTTACTCTGAGCCACCAACAAATTAGATTTAAGAGCAAACCAGTTGATTTCTTGCAGATAATTTTAGGTATTTGGTTAAAGGCTATGGGCATTTAAGCAGAACGAAATTTTCCTAAGGGGTGCTTTTTTGTGAGAAATACATGACAAATAAATATTTTTAGGGCATATTTTGATTAAGGTTTGGTTAAGTTTCTGCTGGTATGTATGGGTTTTTACATTATGTATTCTATATTTTTCAAAGGAATTGGAAAGGAAAAGCCAAGTTAAATTAAACACACTTCTTGAAATTGAAGCAGCTGTTCAAAAGCAGTGGGACACAGAAAGGATATTTGAAGAAGATGCTCCTCAGGTGAGCATATTTCCTTTGTTTACTTTCTAACTTTGTTGGTAAACCTCCCTGTCGAGTATGGCAGATGCCTCCTCAAAATTAAAATTTTTATAATAAGCAATTGTGGGGGGGGGGGGGTCAAAATTAACATCTATAGTTGACTATTCACCTTGGCATAAGGCTTCATCAGAGCAAAAGCAAATATGCTAGTCAAGGAGATGAAAATGTCTAAATGTGAATGGATCACAGTGGAGAGGAGACAGGCAATGGTGGGCAAGGAAGAGGTGACAGGTCATGTGAGAGCTTGTGGATGGTAGTGCTGGAATGAAAATGGCAAAAATGTCAAGAAACGTTGGCCAAGCCTGATCTTTGACTTGTGAAATAATCTCATGTTTATCATTTGGTTGAAAATGCAGTGTGGTAGCCAGGTTATTGATTATATATTGTGGCCACTGAAGTGTTCTACAATGCCAATCTTGTTTTCATTTTTGTTGATAATGCCATGTTGTTGCTCACTGAATCTGTCCTTAAGTTGTTAGCTGGTTTTTCCAATGAACTGAGAAGGTTTAAACCAGGGGCAGACACTTGGTCAAATATTGGGGGGGGGGCAAGCCTATTGTTTTAAAGAAGATGACATCACATTTCCCATTGTTTTAGAGCGAAAGACCATTGTCCTTTAAAGTATTGGGGGCGGTTGCCAATCCCCTCGCCCTCCCCCCAAGTGTCCGCCACTGGTTTAAACATGGATTAGATGACTGTGCACACGCAAGATCTTGTGAAGAGCTGCTATATTCTGCAGATAGGGTTGTGTAAAGATTAGCTTTTTTCTCTATGCTTTTAGTGGCAGGTAATAATTTTGAAAATCTGAACACAAGTGGTAATCAATTATGTTGTTAATTTTATGCCAGAAAAGCATTGTTTTCACATGTAGAATATTGTATAGATTGTGTCGAATATTTCTGATTTTTTTTAATTATTATTGTTTGGACTCTAAATAATTTAGTTTTTTATATTTTTCTTTTAAATAGGATGGGAACAAAGTTGCAGTGCAGTAAGTTATTTTACTATTTTATTTATTGTATTTTCAGCTTAAATAGCATTCCTATGAGAAAAGTTCTAGGTAATTTATTTTTATTCAGAGTGGCAATTTTCTTCAAGAAATGTTTACATTTTTTTTAAGGAAATGAGCATATCTAAACGGCAAACAAAAATTATTTTCACAGGGAAAATAATCATTTAAAAGCTTGTTTATGTCATAAAAGATGCCAAAAGAAAATATGTTAGCTAGTGACCCAGGGGTAAGAATGCACAAAACCTGGTGCAAATTTTGGTGTATATTTATACATTGTTAATTAATCTGACATTCTTATTCCATTGAAAAGGATCAAAGCAATATTTTGCTTTAGTTTCTGTTTCTGGTCACAAATTCCTTTTGTTACAGCTCCTTGAAGTTTGTTTCCAATAACCTGTGAATTATATCAACAAAATTGATTTTAGATTAGATATTTTTCTATCATTAAGTCTTTTATTTGTAAAAAAAACTGCTTTTAAATCTTTGTTTCTTTCACAATGTTTATCTGACTTGTTAGAATCATACTTGAGGTGACTGTTTGATCTTCAAATCTTGTTACAAGAGGGTCTTTTCTAAAAACATTGTGGCTAAATTATGGGTTCATTTGGCTGATATTCAGTTTGTCTTCAGGTTTTCCACACCCATGTAGGTTTTTTGGTAGGCCACTAAGTGAAAGATGGTTAAAATATATAAAGGCTGGAGAACCACAATTTTTGGTTGAGCTACTACTTAACGAGGAGATCTATAAAAAGTTGACTTCTCAGAAACTAGCTTACAAAGTAGTTAAAAGGGTTATGAAGAAATTATATAAAATTTGCTAAAGAGCAGATGTTATTTTGATTTTCACAACAGTAAACAAAGTAAACAGATGATTCATCGAATTGATGATCCAAATGATCCTTCTCATCTTTTACAAGACCATGAACACAATATGAGTGATCCACAATCACCTATGCATAGGCTTCCAACCCTTGTATAAACCCCTGTTTTCAAGTAAGTCCACACCATCATCCAAAGCACAAAAAGAAAGTTCCTGCAGATATTCAAAGAACTGCTTCAAAGGGAACACCGCTCGTGCTTACTGAACCAAGGGCGATGTGTAGTGCTATGCCCCCCCTCCATTAGCATCAGCTCTGCAATGAGCATGTGAGTGGAATCACATTCACTGATTGGAATCACATTCAATTGTTGATTGAAAAATGGATTTAGCCCCTTAAGTATTTGTCTATTGCCTTTAACCATTGTTTTTTATTTCTTTTAGAAGGGAAAAGTACTTGGTGACATTCCCATACCCATACATGAATGGGCGACTTCATTTAGGACACACATTTTCTCTCTCAAAGGTACCAGTATATCTTTCATACTACAAAGACTCAAATTGTAACAGCTTCAGAAGTAGATCTGCTCAACTTTTGATTTTTACTAAAACCACAACCTGTCTTGCATTAAATACAACTTTATTTGACTACAAGGGAAAAATGTTTCACAAAAACATTCTTATTCAGTGTCCCATTTATCTAAATTTGTTTTGTTTTTATGAAGTTGTTTTTCTGAATGCAGGGTTTGTTGAAATTACCTGACTTTTTTGTTGTAGTTTCTAGCAAGTGATTTGAAATTTTGATACTTTTCAAAATATATAAATTACATGTGGCTGATGTCATTATAACAAAACATACTGAAAATTAGGTTTTTTGTGTTGTTTATCTTGACTAACTTGTTTTTCTTTTTCTTTCTATGATCACATCGTGTTTTTTCTTGAAATCAGTGTGAAGTAAGTTATGCAGACGCATTCTGTTTGAAAAGTACTTTATCTTCTGCCAACCTTGTATTTTTTTCTTGGCATGGAAGTTGAAATAGGTTAATGCATAACGGATGATTTTGCAAATTGTCTAAGGTGGCTCCTTTTCTTTACCATCCAGATAATGGCTCTCCAATTAAGTTCAAGAAAGATTGTTTTTAATAATTAATGAGTTTTTTGTTTTGTTTACACTCATATAAGATATTAAATTGAATTATTTAAATAATTAAATATTTACTGAAAATAATTCAAAGGAAGTTTTAAAAGTTAGCTTTTTACAATTTTGTCATTTGCCAAACTCTATCTGTTATGCATTAACCTAAGGTTTGGGAGTGCAACTTTTGTGCCTCAGATCAGTAATGCATTGACCTAAAGTTTTAGGATTCAGCTTCCGTTTCTCAGATAAAGCCCCTCCATCAAATAGGCCCATAATCCTAAAATCAGCCCCAAACCCAAAATATGCCTTGCCGCATTCTTGAATGAGTCTCACCCTAAATATGCCATTAACGCTCAAATAAGCCCCATCCAAGCTGTATTATAACAAAATGTTGTATTCAAACTGTCCTTTGTGATCGGTTTTCTTCTTAATCACTTTTTGAGCCTAGTCTTATCAATCTGGTTTACGTAACAAACTAATGTAAAAAGACCAAAAAGATTCACTTGTTTCCATTTTGAAACAAAGTAGTGTGGATAAGGGCTTCAAAATATCGTGGAACATGCTCTGCAATTTGAACCTCTCCAAAACGAACAAAAAAAGAACCAAAAAAGTTTTTGTTTTCAACAAGAATGTACAAATTTTAATTGTAGTAAATACCCTTTAAGTTTTTAGTTCACAAAACTAAGAATAAACCAGGTGATCATTGAGAGGGTCGGATCGGCGCAGTGCCTTTAAGTGAGAAGCCTGATGTATTGGATCAGTTTGTGTTTATGTTTTAATGTTAATGTTTTTATCAGGTTGTCACTTTACAAGAATTGACTAATGATTTCTTACAGTTTGCAGTTGGTTATCAAAGATTGAGAGGAAAGCAATGCTTGTTTCCATTTGGATTTCACTGTACTGGGATGCCTATCAAGGTAAGAGAAGTTGTTTGAAAGACACTTTCACAAGTTTCGATATCCATTTATGTGTATATAGCACATATGGAACTGGAGACCAGCTGAGTCTTTCCAAAACAAGTCGATTAAGTTGAGAGTAATTTTGCTCTAGAATGCAGCAAATTTCCTGGCACATATCTGTGATTCTAGTTGTAGAAGGCCACTTTTGATTTAAAAAGACTTGAATAAACCTAATAAGAATGGAATGAAGCCAGATTTAAAACATGACATAGCCCAATGTATTGCAAAACAATCAGGGTGGTGAGAAAAGCTTTAGCATTGAGTTTATCAAAATCTCAGTTTTGCAATTTGATTAAGTAATTGATTTTAACATTTGTCGAAGGTTTTAAGCCTAGAAATAAAATGGACTGAGTTTTAGGGGAAATTACTTTATTTTGTAGGCATTAACTGAAACTGAAACCTTTTATTGGCCAAAATATTCATTCGACGTTATAGTTCTCCTCTTCCATAGCCTATTGAATAGCTTAATTCCAAGAGAAATAAGCTGCGGGGGCAAACCTTTGTTTATTTTTGGAGAAGGACAATAGCTTATTGTTTAAAACAATAGAAATTCATTGGGACTGCAGGGGCAATTGCCCCCCTAGTTAGTATTTTAAAAAAGGCCCTGGCCTCTTCGTGCGCGTTCTGCGCAATTTTTTGTGCTGAAACATGAACATTATTTTTTGTAGGCTTGTGCAGACAAATTGAAAAGAGAAATGGAACAGTTTGGTTTTCCTCCTGTATTCCCACAAGCCAATCAGGTTGACCTTGAAGCTGCTAAGGTATTTCTTCTTTACTTTCATTGTCCGATTTGTTATTGTTGAATAGACAACGTGTAAAATATTGTAAAAAAGACAACGTGTCGATTTGTAAAATAGACAACATGTAAACTCTAATTGCAAAATTTTAAAATTGAACGAAAATTCCAAGCCATGTTTCTGACATTTTTCCCACATTCAGCAGAATAAAAACTTTACATCCATCAACATACATTTATATCCGATAAAAAATAACTCGAAAGAGGAATAATAACGCGAATAACAAAATTGGATAGACACCAAAGAGTAAAAGTTTTTGCGATCCTATATCCCTGTTATGCTGTTTTTATATTCCGAAAAGCCTTGACCTTACAATGGTAATTAAAAAATTAGCATGCTAACGTACTTTTCGTTCGAAACTCCTCAAATTATTGACATCAGATAATGACTTATGGTACAAAGAAATTTATTTCCATCTTGAGCCTTTCAACTTTTATCTCCCATCTAATACTCAGTCTTTTGAACACTTCTACTAAGTTAGAGATTAGCCGATTGGTCAAGGAACCAATAAGACCCGTTGTCTTCAGCTCAGGTCACTTTCCATCCGCATCTGAAAATAATCCTTTGCTTACCTTGGGTTATCCAACGCTTATCCACTGACGAGTGTCGGATGAAAAGTACTTTTAAGTATGCTATGTTCCCACTTTTCCCTACTATCTTCAGATTTTGCTTTTTTGACTTTTGTAGAAGCTTATAAGAATAATGATTTTGCTTTACGCAATCACCGTCCAATTTTTAGTAAAGCTTTATTTGAACGATTTTATTTCATTTAGGATATGAAAAGCAAAGTTGCTGCCAAAACAGGTGGACTGAAGTATCAGTGGCAAATTATGAAGAACATAGGACTTAACGACGATGAAATAAAAAAGTAAGTATAAAGATAAGAGAAAATACATTCGAATCGTTAACCTTGTTTGAGTTCTAGAAATGAGGAACTGTGTGGCGTTTATGATGAGCAGAAATTTAGTGGATCTACTTTCTTTTACATCTGTGTAGAGGTTTCAGTTAACTTTGACAGTGTTTTTGTATTGTTTGTTACGTTACAGTCAGTATGTGAAGTCTCTTTTTCAATCCCTTATTTCTTTGTGTAAACAACCAAGTAACTCTCAAATGTTAAACGGATTGCCCATGAAAATTTTACATAACCAATCCTGTTGCTGAATTTTGTTGACTGATGTTACAGCAGTCTGTAAATTACATATTATAAATTTGAAAATTACAATCGATATTATAGAAATATGATATTTGTTTCTTTGCTCCAGATTTGCTGCTACAGATTACTGGCTGGAGTATTTCCCACCAAAGGCCCACTCGGATTTGAAAAAGATGGGCCTGAAGGTTAGTTAAATTTCATATGAAGTAAATAGTAGATATTTCATCAAGAATATTGTATCAAAAAATAGTCAGCTGGTCTTTTGATGTGATTAAAATTTTTTGATGTGATGGTTATTTGTATTCTAAGATTTTTGCTGTGTTAGTTTCTACCTTTGACTTGTCGCTGAGAAAATTTCTGTCAATTACAATATGCACAAGCCTCCCTGCTGATACTTTTTAGAAAATAAAACCGCATATATGGTAAAAATTTTGCCAAATCTTAGCCAAGATGTGTATCTTTATTGGGTAGTAAAGACGCTATCAACTTTACTTCGAAAATTTGCACCCTCCCCGTAATCTTCTATCTTTTAATATTGCTAAAGTGATCACAAACGTAATTCTAAGAAATCCGTCTCCAATGGATAATTTTAAATACATTACCTTTGTCACATTCCAGTTTTTCAAATATAATGGGGAAGGGTGCTGGAGAAAAATGTTGGAATTAAAAAAGTATTTTTTGGGTCATCAAGTTTATTGTGTTATTGCTGTCATTTTTCCAGGTTGATTGGAGACGATCATTCATAACGACAGACGCCAACCCATATTACGATTCTTTTGCAAGGTGGCATTTCCTTAAACTGAGAGAGGGGGGCAAAGTGAAGTTTGGAAAGAGGCAAGCTCTGTTTCATCCATATCTTAAAAAAACTTTTTCTTCCCATTTCATTAATTTTGTATTGAAAAATTATGATGGAAATTTAAAGATTTAGATTTTCCTGTTTAGTTTGGCATAGAATTTTTGTTTTTACAGGCTCATTCAGCATCTTTATTTTATTTTCAATGCCCTGTGTATTCTTGTGCTTTATAGCGGGCAAAATGAGAACAGATCTTGCCCTAAGTTCCTATATTCTTTATTTTTGTTGCATTTCCGGCTCTCGTTGGTTGTAGCAGCTCAAACTGCGAGTCTTTTTAATCTTCCGTAGTATTACGTGAACGGTTTTTTAAACAGTTGAGGATTTTAAAGGAATTTACATTTCTAGATATACGGTCTACTCACCAAAGGATGGCCAGCCTTGTATGGATCATGACAGACAATCCGGAGAGGTATTGCAGATTTACCTGACTCAATTCAGTTAAATGCAACTTCGTCTTAACTTGAAATCAGTTGCTACTTTCTTGAAAAAACGTGCCGTTCCCAATAAAATACTGGAACAGTCTTATTAAAGTTTGATTTTAAAGCAAGACTCCAGTGATGTTTTGTTTAGTTGACCTTACGGCCGATTTCTTTCAGATTTCTTGTTCAGTCAAATCAATTAGCTAATTTGTGTCAGAGACTGCCAAGGTTCTATGTGCTTGCAGTAAGATTTTATGCAGCCTTCAAAGTTTTGGTTATATATATAAATATTCTATATGAAAGATTTTTTTCTGTTTTCAGGGTGTTGGGCCCCAAGAATACACTTTGATTAAAATGCAAGTTTTGGAGCCGTACAAGGGAAAACTTAGGTGAGTATCGTTTATTTTAAACCGTTGAATTTGATTCATATATTCAGATAGTTTGGTTTAAATTTAAAAATTTTTGTATAAAAATTTATAAGATTCGATGTTTTCGAGTCTATTCATATTTTGGCTATTTTAACTTGTCAGAAATTTAATTAAATATTTCCAAATAACTTGTGTCTTGTAGTCCTCTGGCTGGGAAGAAGATTTTCCTTGTTGCTGCGACTTTGAGGCCTGAGACCATGTATGGCCAAACAAACTGCTGGGTGCGTCCTGATATGAAGGTGAGTATTCAACACGTTTTCGATATTCCTTTAATCAAATACGCTGTGGCTAGATTCTACCAATGAAATTTACCAATCAAGAACAAATGTGTTTGTTAAATAATCATGTTTTACGATAGGAGATTACAAGTAGATATTTTTCAAGAAAGGTTTCGTTTTTGTTTCCTACCTTATATTGATAACGATTACTGTTTCTGGTAAAACCGTGGAACGTGCCTTACTGTAGTGACTGACTAACTATGATAGAATACAAACCTCATGTAAGTTTCACTTATATTTAATTGAAATCACCAACTTCATCATAGCATCAAATGTGCTAAGTGTTTTTTGTTGTTGTTTTGAAAGCAGAATAATGTATCCCCCATTTTTGCGGGATCTCGTTCACAGAACAGTATTACATGAATGCGAGGCAGTCATTGCCAAGAGGATATTCCTGTTACAACATATAATACTGCAGATAAATGGTTCTATTGAAAGTATCAAGTTCTATAAATTGAGATATCAGGAGACTGTGTGATTTGGTACTAATCCCACCCAGGGTGTAATGTTATTCTAGAAGCGATGTTTATTTAAATTTGAGTATGAGTTTCCAGTATTTTTGTACTGTTTTTCCTCATATTGCTGACTCCTATTTTGGACCATCTCCAATAAGTTAACTTGATAGAGTTGATTTGTTACGTAAAACCATCTCATTTTCTTATTCCGTACTCTTTAATTGCCTTCTTTTTTAGTACATTGCATTCAGAGCACGACAAGCAGATGAGGTCATTATTTCCACAAAGAGAGCTGCACGTAACATGGCGTTTCAAGGCATGACACACGAAGAAGAAAAGATTGATGTCCTAGTAGAGTTAACTGGTGATGACATCTTAGGCTGCGGTCTCAAGGCTCCTCTCACTGCCAACTCTGTCATTTACGCTTTGCCAATGTTGACCATCAAAGATGACAAAGGTATTAGAAATTATCATATATTTTTAGATCATAAATAAAATCAATTTTCTAAGCATCTAAAAAAAAGATTTGCTTGTATGTCTGTTAATTTTATGCGCGTTGGTCACAAGAAAACACAAAGTTTGTGCATTTCATCTGATCTCGGTGTCTCGCCGTTTTTTAAAAAGGGCTCTTTGCCAAACTCAGTTTTCGCACCTGCTCTCGGATGTATTTAATTAATTTTTATAAATGTGACGTCAAGAACATTTTCTCGTCTACAATCTTTGTATTCACCACTACAAATAACCTCAAAAAGGTCTGAACTAGCCTTATCCACTTACAGCGAGGAATGCTGATAAAACATGTTTGACTTTTGTTTCCCTGTCAAGAGGATAAAGTTTAAAAGATGGCAGCAGTAATATTTCTCCTGGAAAAAAAGTTACCAGTAGACCAAACTTTTTTAGATATAACTTTATTTTTTGATTTACAGGAACTGGAATTGTGACATCAGTTCCCTCTGACGCTCCAGATGATTATGCCGCCTTGAGGGACCTTAAGAACAAAGAGGCTCTTAGAAAGAAATACAATATAGCCGACGAGATGGTGATTCCCTTCGAACCAATACCTATCATTGACGTCCCGGGCTTCGGAAACCTATGCGCTGTTACAACATGTGATCAGTTCAAAGTTAAGAGTCAAAATGACAAGGATCAGTTGCAAGAGGCGAAGGAGCTGGCCTACAAAAAGGGTTTTTATGAAGGTATTTCACAATATTGTAAATGCAGCACTGTGTACATTTCGTTTCAGTTGGGACACTATTCACTGTCTAAAATTTTTATAGAGAGTTTTTTATTGTTATTTTTCTATATTAAGGGAGAAAACCATTCGGGAAGCTTGATTTAAACAGAAATTTGTTAAAATGTTGCCATATCCTTTTGATCAGTGCAGTGCTCGTTTAAAATTATTAACATATAGTCTTTATCAGTGTCAGCGACTGAAGCTATCTATATGTACGTCTGAACATTCAAAAACCCCTCTGAACTTCAGCTGTTTTCTCTAAGACAACCTGTGTACCGATCCTCTACTGCATTCACATACTAATTTTCTTCGCAATAGGTGTAATGATGATTGGAGAGTTCAGTGGGATGAAAGTGCAAGATGTAAAGAAGAATGTCCAGAAGAAAATTTTAGATGAGGTAACTCTATATGCTCTACTTTCTTTCTAATGAAGCCCCGTACGCCGGGGGAAATACTAGCTACCTTTAATTTACTTGTTTTGGTTGTTGTTTGTTCTCGGGGGGTTGCGGTGTTCCTAAATTTCTATAGTAAGTCTTTATGTCGTATTGACTCTGAGCGTACAAATGCCTCCTAAATTATTTATTGTTTAGCTGGTAACATCAAACTATGCCATAAAACTTGTGATATTATTAAGATTAAGGAGTTACCTGGGTGCTAGAGCGGACTGTGCCTAAGAAAGCTTTGTTCAAATCGATAATCAACATAACTTTTCACACAGTAACCATCCTTTATATCCTGTATATTTGTTTTTAAGATGTAACTATTTTGATTTTTCCTTTCCGGGCGTGTTAAGCTTTCATCGATCACATGTGATGCAAAATTATTAATTTAATAGTTATTTTAGGTTTAATTGTATTAAAAAATAAGTTGAATTTAGTTATAAAACTGAAATTTTTTTCTCAAAGGGATCTGCCTTCATGTATATGGAGCCGGAAAAGAAAGTCATGTCCAGATCGGGTGACGAATGTGTTGTAGCTCTCTGCGACCAATGGTATGATGTTATCTGCAGTCATACTTTTGTATTAGATTACCTATAAAAGTGCATGTTAAAAAGGACCAGATGCTGCATGATGAAAGAGTGATCAAGGTTGTCTCCAGAGTTAATGAAAGTTTAGGGAACGTTAATAGAAATTTTTTCAGGGAACTGCAAAAATTGTATTCTTAAAAAGAAATTGGGAATCTCACCCCTCTCTTTTCGCATTAGGCTAACGGCCATAAATAATTTTATCTTCGCTCTAAACCTTTATACACCGCTACTCTTTTAGACAATGAAAATTCATTGCCTGTTAGAAATCGAAAGATTTGTTGAAATTTATGAAAAAATTAACACATGTACATTTTCTGCCGACAGTCAAAAGATTATAACTTGAATATTGGCATTATGTGTTTTGCTTATTAGTTTCATTGTAAGACAACCTTTTGTGTTATTATAGGTATCTAGACTATGGAGAGGAAACGTGGAAGAACCAGGCAAAGGACTTGCTGAAAAATGTTGAAACGTAAGTTTAATTTTCATTTTACTCTGATTAAGCCCTGTATGCCGGGTGAAATATTAGTATTCGTTTAATTTAATTTATTTTGGAAAATTTATCTCACAACATTGGATTCTCGTCGCCGTTTTGCTTTGTTTCTGAATTTTATCCTCGTATTTATATAAACTCATTGCAAGATTCACCGAATCCGGCGGATAGCCTATCCCACGGTTCTTCCTTCTCACACATAATTTTTATTTGATGGTTCCCCTTATTTTCAGTACAATTTCCTTTTTGTCTTATGCCGGATAATTTGAGGGGTCTTGAATCAAATTGTCTCTCTAGATACTGGGCTGATAATTAGAGATATTTTCATTTCTATATAATATATAACTACGTTACTGATTATAGTATAATTTTATTTAATAGTCATGATCTTCTTATTTATCGTGTTGCAAACTTTCTTATTCATGTACAGTTTCTGTGACGAAGCAAGGCACAACTTTGTTGGCACCCTCGATTGGTTACAAGAGCATGCCTGCTGTAGATCTTATGGGTTAGGTAAGTTCGTAATACGTTTTCATCCGTTGTAAAGACTAGGTGATTTCTGATTAATCTGTTTGAAAAAATCCAGGTTAATAGTCAAGGTCATTAATGTCAAGACCGTTCGAAATGACCCATGAAGGAGTGAAACTTTTTTCAAGCATTCAGAAAAAGCCACTGAAATTCAACGAGAAACTTCAAAGGATGAAACCCAGAGTTTTCTTTTCTGAACCCTAAGTTGTTGTAATAGCAACATCCAATACCTCACTTTATCTACCTGCAAGGTATATGGGTTGGTTTAGATGCAAGTAATTATAAATATACTGAAGTGTATCCAGCACTTAATGCAACCTTGCCTGTTGTTTATATCTAGGTTCGCGTGTGCCTTGGGATGAGCAGTATTTGATCGAGTCCTTATCAGATTCTACAATTTACATGGCATATTACACAGTTGCACACCTCCTCCAGGGTGGCGTTGTTGATGGATCGAAGCCGGGACCGGCAAACATTCGGTATGGCTTTATGAGAGCAACAGTTTGACTTTTACTTGACCATTTCATCGTGTTAGTTTCAAATTTTCCCTACTCATACTATGACGGTAGTGTAATGAATTGTAAGCGGAGTATGATGCTATGATCTTTTCAAAGGCCCTTAAACATTGTTGTTTCCTTTTCTGTCCTCAAAGGCCCGAGCAACTGACAGAAGCAGTCTGGGACTTCATCTTCCTCAGCGATGCCCCGGAACCAGCCACGGACATCAATATTGATTCTTTAAGGTAATATCTTCTTGAAAAAATGGTCATATTTGAGGATTCTTTGTGCTTTATTTACGCTATTTCTCATATATCATTCTGAAAACGGCTGTTGAGAAACACCCAAACGCATTCTGGGTAGCATCCATATATGGTCAAATATCTACCACCTCTTTCTCCCTGAATATAGAGATGGAGTGTTTGTATTTTTATGTAGAGAATCGCTGACACTAACTTTGCTCCTCTTTTATAGGAACTTGAAGCGTGAATTCAATCATTGGTACCCTGTGGACTTGCGTGTTTCCGGCAAGGATTTGATTCCGAACCATTTGACTTATTTCCTCTACAATCATATTGCTGTATGGCCAAAAGAAGCAAACAGGTTTGTTTTTGAAAAACAATTTATTTGACCATGACAGCGCTTTTCAAAATTGGATGAAAATTGCACATGTAAAAGATATAAAATTGAACCGCGTAAGCTCGGACCTTTATTGGGGGGGGGGGGTATGTTGGGGCTGGTAAGGGAATGGCCCGACATAGCGAATTCCCGACTTACCCGGCGTACGGTTCTTGACATGAACTAGTGAAAGTCCGAGTCATCCGGGGTACGACGGGATACAAATGTATGTTCTTGTCGTGACTTTCTTTCAATTCCAAATTTATTTAACACTCGTCTTGAGCTGAAGGTGTCAGATTATTGAGAACTTCTTGACAAGATTTGATGTAAACAATAGCTTGTTTGGTTATAAGCCATCGTTTTTTTATGCACTAAATGCTCAAGTTTTCAATTTTAGGTGGCCTAAAGGTATCAGGGCAAATGGACATTTATTGCTCAACTCTGAAAAGGTAGCGTAGAAAAATGATCTTACCTTGACGTCAGCCAAAATTGCAAGAAAAGCACCATAATCTTTTTGGCTGTCACTCGTCGCTTAGTTCTTAAACGGCTAGCGGGTGAATAATTGTAAAAACAGCATGATTTATCGTAGTATACCTCTAAAGTGCACCAATATCAGAAGAGTAAGAAATATATATAGAGGTTGAATGATTCAAACTTGTCTTAAGGTTACGGTAAACGTTTTCTGGATGAAAACATAATTTTTTCGATTTTTTCACATTCAACCAGCCGAACTTTCAAGGCACACAATGATACCAAATTTGAAACATTTGAAACAAAATAACATTTAACATTATTTGCCAATAATTTTTATCTGGCTAGACACGCCATAATCTTGTGCATCGAATGATATATAGTTTATCCAGATTCCTTGAGCCGTTTGGCCTTTAGGAAGGAAAAACCAATTTTCGTGTTCAAAACGTTTACCGTAACCTTAAAGCATGACAATTGGTAGCGAACGCATTTTGCAGATGTTATATAATTTAATAATTTAGGTTTACTATACAAAATTGCAAAATTTTATGCAAACTGAATGTATAGGTTATTCTATTGGAATTCCTTTTCTTTTTCTTTAGATGTCAAAATCTACTGGAAATTTCCTCACTCTTTCCCAAGCAGTTGAGAAGTTCTCTGCAGACGGTAACATATATTTGTTTTTCCAATTCATTAGTTAGAAAAGGTTTCCTTGCTATGAGGTGGATCGTTATCACGTAATCTCATTGAATTGGAACCAGAGTTTTGGTAAATCTTTGAAGCAATTTTTAAATTTTTCTTTGCGTGTTCAACTCCCGTCCACATGTGTTCGGCGGATCTGCCATCGAATCTTGAACATTTCAAAAATTTGCCCTCAAGATTCGGGAATTATACTGACTGGCGTACTTTACTAATTGCAAAATGTACTGGCACATTTTATGGTGGATGCTCTTTAGATGATTTTTTTTCATTTCTAATTATTCATACAGGTTTTGCGAATTTACGTGTTAAAGGGAGGGTGCCGATCACTGCCTTCTGAATATTGTAGAAAATGATTTAAAGAGTTATAGGCCTATTTTTAACTTTATTCAAACAAATTTCGGCAAGGTTTGTAAGATTGAAAAGCATTACCCGGAAATATTCTTGCGGTCCAGTCCCGTATTAGTTTTCAGACTTTGTATCGTCATTAAATCTACAATACGAACACAAATAATATGGAAGATTATGTCCAGCCTAAATGTTTGGAGATAAATCCTTAGATGAGCTCACACAAGTCGTATAAAGAAGTATCGAGGGATTTCAAAAACACATCCGTAAAAAGATTCGGTGTTTTAATGGTATATATAGGAGAATTGTAGAGCCACATCTTGGTTACTGTTACTCTGTTTGGAGTTTTTTGTTGTGTGATTAATTTGAATCAATGGCAAAGGGTACACAACAGGGCTGCCGAAAGGCAACTAATACTTCTTTCAATGCTCCATATAAACTATTTTGCATTTCATATCGTGGGACTGAGATTCGGGCCGAACTAAACGACCTAAGTCCTGACGAATAAGCTTTTGGTAACATGTTGAAGATTATGAGTTTTCTTGTTGTTAAGTAGCTTATCATAATCTTTAATTTCTTTAAAAGGGCAAAGTAAGTTTTGAGTAAAATTATATTTATATTACTTAGTTGTGAATGCATTTTTGGATTACGCAACAATCTCGTAAAATCATTTTGAGTGTTGGACCTTGCGATTGTGATTAAATTCGAATGGTATTCATGCAGCATAACATTAGTAATTGTCATGATTTTTGGTCGCAGGAATGCGTCTTGCCTTAGCTGATGCTGGTGATGGCATTGAAGATGCGAATTTTGTAGAGAAGATGGCTGACGCGGGTATCCTGCGTCTTTTCACGCTCCTCGAGTGGGTCAAGGTATGCAGAATCGTGTTTTTTATGGTGTATAGATCTGCCCTGTATCAGGGCAATACAATTGACCTAAGAATTGAATTTTTTAAAGGAGATAAATTACCTTGTTCCAAAATTTCTTTTCAAAAAATGATGTTTTAGAAACCTTCCAACAACTAGGGGTGTACCGGATCAGGATTTTCAGAATCCGGCCGGAACCGGATTTACCGGATTTCTTCATGGAATATCCGACCGGATTTTACCGGATAATCTGGCCATTTATGGATTTGGCGAGAAAATTTATAGCGAGAGGATCAAAGAGACCCATTCAGGGTTGCCAGATTGAATTTACAAACGAAGGCTAGTCTGGTGAGCAATTTAAGCCAAAATGCTCATAAAAAGGCCAAATCAAAAACTTTCTCAAGAATCCATCAAGCCGGCACTGGTTATTTTTCTACGCTTGTGCCTGTTAGGTAATTTCTACGCTTGTGCCTGTTAGATAAATTAGATAAGAATCTTACTTTTTTCCAAAACCCTTTGCTAATATAAAGATAATATTTAGGTTAGGTAATAAAATTTGAAATTTGGTTAACACTTTGTAGTTAACTACTAATTATTCCATGAATGTAGTAATTACTTATTAATTTTAGACGCTCTGCTGAAAAGGACAACGAGGTCAAATTTGAGTATTAAGCAAAAAACAATTTTTTCAGGCAATCTAAATCTAAAATCCAAAAAAGAAAAATTTGGCCTAAAAAGCCAATCTGGCAACCTTGGATCAAATTTGTGAATTATATCATCCAGTCTTCCTGTTTCGTGATGACGAGCACTTTCAATTCAAATCTGTTTTCAAGGCGCTTGTTTTATCATAAAAATGTTATCGTCAAGTTAGTGTAGTTATTTTTTTATTGATTTGAAACATGAATTTGCTTTTTCAAGCTTGTAGAGTTTGTCAAAGTTCAAGAGTTATAGACGTTATAGAAAAATTGTGTCACTTTGTGCTGTGTACGGAGCAAAGTCAGCTACTCTGATAGCTTTTCGTCAGCTGTGTTTTAGAAGATCTAAGGTTGATTTGTTTGCACATCAACTTACAATAATATTTTTGAAGAGAAGCGATCAAGACTTCTTCCAAGGAATGGCGAGAAGTTGCTTTTCTTGCATCACAACCTGGGACAATTGTAGCTTTTCTATGTTTGACTGTTTTTATGTTTATGTTTGACTGGGACGCTTCTTTTTAACTTTTAAAACTTCGTTCAAGTTTGTTCTATTGCTTTTAATTTTTGTTGTTCTTTGTTTATACACTAACTTGTTTTCTCTAGAGATTTTCTTAGTTATGATTAAAATTCTGGAAAATCCGGCAACTGGCCGGATTTCGGAAACAAATCCGGCCGGAACCGGATTTTCAAAAAATCAGCGATCCGGTGCCGGATTATCCGGCCTACCGGATATCCGGTACATCCCTACCAACAACATGCAGTATTCTCTTCCTACCAACGTACGGTAAAGGGGCTCTGCTACTTTAGTATGAGGACCAAGACGAAAAGCATTAGTTTCATTTCAAAATGGCGATCTAGACGACGTGTAAAGGATGTTTAGGAATCTATAAAAAAACACATGAAGAAACTTTTGCATTTGCTCAACATACTCAAAATATGTTTTGACTAGGCATGTTTGATACTAGTAGATTCTGCTATAGAAGATGCCATGTTGGTTATAAAAATGTGCCAATCAGTGCAACAAAAGTGCGGCTTGGTGAAGTGTTGTAGGGGATTTGTCAGATTTTTGTGTTTTAACACATATGAGATTTTTAAGACTTTATATTTCACCTTTAAAGTCGAGACCGTTTTATTTGCTGTTTCAGAATTTTACTTCGATCTTGCAAGCACATTTGTGTCATGCAAAGTTATATCTGGTAACCAGTGGCTATAAAAAAATTGAATATGCTTAACTATGCTTAATAACTTTATTTCTACGCGTGTTAATTCTTCTTTTCTTTCTGCCAAAGGAAATGATAGCTGGAAAGGATTCGCTTCGATCGGGTGAATTTGATTCATTCAACGACCGTGTCTTCGAAAGGTACGAGGACTAATATAATAGATATAAACTTTCGCATAAAACAAGTTGAGTTTTCAAATTAGTGTCTAAATTTATGTTAGTTGTGATATTCTATGATGTACTTAGACCTTTTTCTGACACCCTTCAGAGGCTAAAACGTCGAAACATTGATCGAAAACTCTAATCTAGAAAATATATATACCTAGTTGAAGATCGAATAAGCAAATCAGAAACGCGAGCACATAACTGTGAAGTTTGTTCCAATCAGTGCCGCTTGCCTATTGAAAATATTACCAATGGAGTTCTAGAGTGACAACAATAGTTTCTGTTAGACAGATTTTTTCTACTAGACAAATATTATTATGTAGTGCAAAATCCAGTACTTCGATCTGAAAAATAAACAACTTTATCCCTTTCTTGATAAAAAGCATGCATGTAACATTGACGTTTCGTTGCTTGAATTACTATGCCCTTTCTACAAACTCATATGTTAAGTCATAAGAAAAATGTGCCAACAAAGTTTTGTTGTGGTCTTAAAGCTCTATGTCTGATTATATCTTGATTGCTCTTCACAGCGAAATAAACCTCGCAATAAAACAAACGGAGAAAAACTACGAGAAGATGCATTATCGCGAGGCCCTCAAAACTGGCTTCTTCGAGCTTCAAGCTGCCAGGGATAAGTACAGAGAGCTGTGCATGAATGGGATGCATAGAGACTTGGTATTTAGGTATATTGAGGTGAGGCAAAAGTTTGTTTGGCTTAAAGTGTTGTACGTAGTCATTCATACATAACTATTCATAAGGTTCGATGGAAAATATGTATTTTTAAAAGAAAGATAACGTCTTTGATCGTATTTTTCAGGCTATTTTTGTATTAGGGTATGGGATGTTTATATTTTGATCTGGCCTTTAAGCACGACGAATGGTAGAAAACGAATAATTTATATTTCGATTACATATGGAGCTATTAATTTAGTACTTGATGTGATACTTTGATGTGAAGTACGAAGCTCGAACAAGTCCATTCATAGTACCTAGAATAAACAGAGGTGATTCGGAGGCTTTTTGATGTTGATTGATGGTCGATTTCGGATTGTCAAGAGGCTTTAATTAACTCCTAAGAGGCCTTGCACAAAGGGGCTCATAAATGAACGAAAAGAAGATTGCCGTCTTCATACCTGTTTTTCGGATTTCTAGAGGGATTGAGCCAGTAGCATTTTGTTGCAAAACAGGTTTTCGAAGAAAAACAAGATGGCAGTTTATCTCCTCCATCGATGCATGGCAAATCATAGATGTGCTTCTAGCATTCGTCTACGAAAATTATCTCTCTTATGCAATTAATTGTCAATTGCAAACGACCTTTTCATAGCATCATTTTATTTTCGAGCCGTGAGCAATACCGAGAGGAATTAAAATTCTGCGTCTATGCTTAACAAAAGCATAAAAAAAAGCAAGAATTTAGTTCTTAAAATCTTCACTTTTGTCTGCTTTGACAATTGTCTATTTCCAGTTGTTAGTAGTTTCTTTGATTTCAACTTTATTGTTTTTCAACATTTTACTTAAAGGTTCAAGCTGTGCTACTCTCTCCAATATGTCCTCATATCTGTGAGCATTTGTGGAAACTTCTGGAGAAGGTAATTGGCCTTTGTGCTCATTTTTGCAGATCAACTGTTAATATGTCATGCAGGTTTATAATCTATTTTGAAAATGCACTGATGTGCCAATTAAAAGGTTCTCCTTGCAGTGAGAAAAGAAAATCTAGCAATACTCAAGTAAAATTCATTTTAAGTTCTGTTTACCGAGATATTAAACTCAACAAAGCAATGTATTTTGCTATAAAACAGTAAATTATACCAGAGAGGAATAATTACCTTTGGTGAAATAATTACCCACAAGGTTTTGCAGAATTTCTGAGAACATCTTTGCAACATGGGATAACATGCAATCTTGTAGCTTATGTAGCAGCTTCAGAATTCGATGGTTGCCTGGCTGTTTCTATGAAATTGATTATTATAACAGTAAATGCTATTGCAGGGAAATTTTAGTCATATATAAAGTTGCTGGTTTTGCAAAAGTGTCGTTCGAGGATGCAGACATGATGAAAACAGAAGAAAGTTCGTGAGCCCTGAATTTCCACATGCGACGCAAGGGTACTCCAGAGCTTTACCTGCGTCTGTGTTTAGGGCTAAATAATATGATGTTTGTTACTATTCTGTAATTTTTCATCGTATGTAGCTTATTGTCAATTGTCAACAGGCAATCTTAATTGATAATTCTAAAACTAATGTTTTCGAGAACCATTTTTCATTTTGAGCGTTTTATGCTGAAGAGAGTCGGGTTTTATGCAAATGGCGATGGAAATTTCGTTCTTATCACTACTCTTCCACAATCCATGCAAAAATACTTGAAAAGTACCCTAAACTTTGCACGCTGCACTTTAAACTGAAATGGGGGCGAATGGTGCAGTTTTCGGTGTCATGAGTTGGATAGTCCAGAGAGATAAAAACAACACTGTATTGTATTTCTTTCAAGAGGTATTGGCAAGAATTATGGTTATGGTATAAATCAACCACTAATATTGTCTTTAATATCATTTTTCACAACTAGAGATCCAATTTCTTTCAGGAGACGAGTATCATGAGGGCGTCTTGGCCAGTTGCTGGTGAAGTGAACGAACAATTCTTAAAGTCTTCTCAATATCTGATGGATTGTGCACGAGAATTTAGACTGAGACTCAAAAACATGTTGATGGCACAAAACAAGGGAAAGGGGGTAAGCCACCAATTCTTGTATACTGTATTACTTCAGGCGAAAAAACTTAAAGCTTTTTTAGTATTCTTAAAGCCAGTTTTATTTAGACAGATTTTGTAATGGGTTTGCCGGTCGTATCTTTTTCTTCCTTCCCCCTTAGCACATTGTTCGTTACAACTGTTTTTCACAACGATACCAAAACACATAATGATGACAATTCGAAATATCTGCGTACCAATGGTTGCTTTAATTTATAACCTGCTGAGGTTTTGAATTCTTATTTTCATTAATGTATTTTGCCATCATTTCTTTGCTTAAACCCGTTAACCTACTGCATAAAAAGTCCCCTTAGCCGTAGCTTTTATTCAAACGCTTTCTAGACGGGTCAAACTATACTAGAGAATGATATAACCAGTTTTGTGTGACTTTAAACACACCAACGATCCTCGTTTCACTTCTTTAGAAGGCAAAGGAGCCAATACAGAAGCCAAACCACGGAGTAATTTACATTGCCAAGCAGTATCCTCCATGGCAGCACACAGCTCTAGTAACCTTAAAGAAACTCTACGATGACAACAATGAGCAGTTCCCGGATAACAAGCAAATCATGAATGTCTTGAAAGGAGATGACTCTGTAAAGAAACACATGAAGAAGCTTATGCCGTTTGTTCAACATGTGAAGGTAACATTTCATATTGACCATGACGTCACTTATTGCCCCATGACTCAATTCAAATTGCATGCTTTCTACGTGTTCAAGTTATTTACATTGCTTGTCATTTTCCAAAGTTTTCTTCTAATGGAGTACTGGATAAAGCAATCTTTAAAAATACATACGATTTGGCAATGCTTAAACACTAAACTTTAGGCCTTTGCAAAGAGACATATTTCGAGCAATTTCTTTGGTGAGCAGCCAATATAGATCCCTCTGACTACACATTCTTTTTCTAAAGTCTGTCAGTTAAAATCAGACCCCTAAAAACTGTGGTGTTGCTTTTTCACGTAACATTGTCTTATCATTCGTTAAGCGGAGCGCAGAAGACAAGGTGGCCATACGGTCAGAAGGGGTCAATGAAAATAAAAGAAACGATTTCACCATTCCAAAACCCTATCTTTTTTTAATTGTTTTTCTGAGAAAAGGTTTCAGAGCTCAAGGATATTGTCTGAAGGAAAGATGAACACTTTTCTGGTTTCTGTCATAAGGTATGAAGTGCAAGGCACCTCGAAAGCAGCAGAATTGATACACTTCGTGTTTTGCTGTCAAGTTTCAGAGAAAGACTTCACGTTGTTCCGATAGCTTTTGCAGCATATCTTTTATTATAAAAGTATCTTTTCAACTTTGTAGAAAAACGTAGAGAATGTTGGAGCCTCAGCAATGAACCTATCAGTTGATTTTGATGAGACATCTGTGCTGATGGAAAATCTACCATATTTATTAAAATCTATAGAAGTGAGTATGGTTTAAATTAAATAAAGCAATAAATCCGATTATATCTCCATCCCATTTTATTTTTTTGTGATTTTACCTTTTTTAGCAGTATTGTTTGAACGCCTTCTTTTATTTTTACAAAATTTAGAATAGCTCAGTAATACAAGATGTTGTCAAAGGTGTCGTGGTACTAGGCCTACTTAACACATGCACACGTGTTTCTTCAAATTGGCCTGAAGTAGAATTTATATATTGATAATGTGCAACTCAGGTCGTACTTTGTGTCATAGTATTCCAGAGATCAACTAGAAAATAAAGGGTACTTCGAGTCAATGCAAGCATCCACTACGTTTTTTCAATTGTTTGCTTTTTAAGGATATTGAAGAGCCAATTTTTTTGCTGCTCTCTATTTTTTAATTGTTCTTTTTTATTCCTTTTGCCTTCCTTTATTCTTCAAATCTCTATCTTTAAAACTCTCTTTTTCTTTCTCCTCCTCTCGCTTTTCTTTCACCCAATTTCCTTTTAAATCCTTGTGTTTCTTTTTTTTAAATGTCTACCCTCGCTCATTTTTTTGGTAAATTCTTCCTTTCTCTTATTGAACGCCTCTATTTCCTCTTTTCAAAACCTCCCTTTTCCCCTCTGTATTCCTCATTTTTTCTGTCTCTCCTTTTCATGACTTATAACGATACTTCTTGTTTTTTCTTCACAGCTTGACAGCTTAGATATCAAGCCTTCAACAGATGCCGATGAAAAAATTGCTGAAGAATGTGCGCCTGGTAAACCATTTTCAGTTTTCAAAGCAAAATAGATTGATGTAGTAGTGGTAAATTATAGTCAACAAATTGAGAATTTCAAAATTTGAAAATGGTCTTTATTGCTATTACCTCCTTTCTTGTGATATTTCAGTTTATCAGCTCCAAGCTTTTTGCCCAAAGAAACATCAAGTCTGAGGTTTTAGAAAGCAAATATTGTCATTCTAAAAATTTAATCATGCGTGCACTTAGAAAGCTCTGTTGACCCAAGAAAAAGGATTTGCTATCCGCAAATGTTACATTTCCTAATTGGAAGAATTCAATTTTTTGAGTTTTCGTTCGCTCCATGAAGTACTCTAAATAACCAGAAAATGTATTTGGAATCAAGCTGAAAGCTCCAATTTTGTTTCTTCTGATTTCCCACATACCCAATGAAACATTCTTCCTTCAAAACCGTAAAAGAAAGTGAAAAACTTTTGAGATGATTATTTTATCAAGCCTTCATTATTATCATATTACTATTAGAGCAATCTTTCTAAAAAAATTTGCAATGGTTTACCACCCCAACACCCCGCGTTCCCACCCCCAATTGCCCCTACGCTGGCTTTGAGAGCTCCCAACAGCTCGGCGTCATGCAAGCTCCACAGAAAGCAAATGTTGAGTCAATAATTGAAAAGCCAGCCGGAGGCGATCACGCAATCAATAGTGGTTGCTGCATTGGAAACCATCTTGTGTATTTTCTATGGTAAGATCGCTAGTGTTTTAGTTGGACTACAGACAAAATCAAGTCTGCGCAAATTAATAAAATGAATAATTTATTTATGTTTTTTTGTATTCAAATGTTCAACATCGTTCTTTTTATTGTTTCAATTTGTTTTAAGATCACCAAGAAAATGTTTGCAATTTTTCTAAATTTTAGCACTTGGTGTTAGTTTAATTTTTTAAAAAGGTTCTAAAATTAGCAAGAAACTGTTCGCAATTCTTCTAAATTTAAGGACTTTGGGAAAGTTCTGTTCGAAACTGGACAGTTTTCTAGCTACTTATTTCATCACCGCACACCTTCGGATTACCTTGGCCGGAGCAACCTTTGAAAAGCTGTCTTATCAAGCGTTAATTTATGATAATCATCAATATATTAAATTTCGATCACCAACTAATCTATGCCAGCAATCTAACCATACCTGCCATTTGCCAACTACTTACATGGCACAGCCGCCCGAGGAGCAAATTATCGTACCTGTGACTGCATAACAGTCACCCAACAAATCCACTCGGCCATTCAGAAAACTTGAATCTGAAGATACTGTTATCTTTGTAGGTTGACCTGGCTTCTGTATTACCTTATCACAAGCTAGGATATATTTCAAAATCATTCTCTATCTAAAAATGTATTTGAACTTGCTTCAAAATTCTTCAACGAACTGTAAAGTGAAGTTGTAACATTTACACTGTGAAGGAAACACTGGAAAACGTTTGACAGCAGGTAAATAAACCTCAGATGATTATCAAAACAGTAAGAGTTATTATTTAACAAACTCAAAGAAACTCGCATTTAAAGGATAGAAAATTTGAGCAAAAAAGTGGATGAATAAACGCAGAAATGGGTTGGGTGATTCTTTTGACCATTTTTCGCGAGCTTCAAGGTAATTGACATACTGTAGGGGCGCTATCTCTTAATCAAAAAATTGACCAATCAGCAAGCGTGATTCCACTCGGACGCTCATTGATTGGCTAATCTTTATTGACAAATGGTCGACTGTCTTTAAATCAATTTGATATCTTTTAAGTTCAGCTCAGCTTATATAGAAGTTGGAAAAATTCTGAATTATATGGAAATTAATAAATATTTTGAGAGAAATCTAAATGTTTGTTAAGTTGCTATGAAATGATTAAGTAGTAAAAACAAAATTAGATAAAATTTTGATTATCTATCGAGTCATTTATCTAACATCTAAGAGTACTAACTTTGTTAACTTTTTTAACAAATTTAAGGACAGTTAATGATTAGATACAAGAAAATTCAGATAACCATGGTCGAAAGAGTAAAACTGCCGAAATTGTATATGATTGCTATGTTTTAAAAACTCGCAAAGTTAAACATGATTCACAAAGTTTGGCACTTTTCCTGGTTGTGATTAACAGAATAAAAAAACATCCGAACTGGAAGGTCTAAGGTATCATAACTGATCGGGTATATAAGTTCCCTAGCTTAGAGTTTTCGGTCTAAATTCTGACGTTTTATACTCTCGCAAAGCTTTGTTATGTTTCAATAGTTTGCTATTTCAAAGGCAGTCTATACCCTTAACAGATAACGGATTTCGTTGCTTGCTTTGGCTGGCCTAGCTGCGGTAGTGGACGACATGTGAAACTGCGAGCAAAAAGCTATCGGGAATGGCAAGAAGATTTAATTACTGGAATTGAATGATGATAATGGAAGCATTTTCTTTTGCTGTTGACATATTGGTCGAAGAAACCAAACAGGGAGCGATATTTTTCTAGCCACAGCTTCACTACAACAGGAACACAGGCATTTGATTCAAAAGCACTGGAATTAAAGTTGTTTCTGATTGGTTTAAATCGTTTAATTATCGATCAAGCTCAACGATGCGTGAATTTCACTCCCGTGAAAATAAAGTTGAGCATAATAGGGGGCAGACTGCCTTTAAAGACATTAACTATAAAAGTAAAATATTGCAAGTCATTTTCTTTCTTGTCCTCGACTAGGCCCTATTTATTCCGCATGTGGCCTTTTTTCTGTTCCTACTTTTAGATGGGTTTTCTTTTCGTTATTTTACCAGACGAAATACCATTGATTGAGGATTAAGGCCTAAGCTTAAATTCGTTACTTTCTTTTGCATCCCCAAGTATAGATTGGTTTAGCCAAAATGCAAATTAGCTTATTGATGCACTCAACGCAGCGGCCAATTACTCTTTCATTCTGTTGCTAAGATTTCTGTTGTATCTTTTCTTTTTCTTTACAGGATGTTGATGAATTTAGTTTTTAGAGGGAAATTATTTTCCAGCTTGTTGTAGCATGTACTATAGAAGGCAATATAGAAGCAAAGGTTCTCATAAAAAGAGTAATGCGTCTTATGTGAAAGTAAAACCATACTTGGAAAAGTAGAAGGCAAACCAAAGTCAATGAAAATTTTGATACTAAGCTCCATACAAGACAACCTTTGACTCGAATTAGTGCCATTTGCTACCACCTAGCATTTTAAAGTAGGTTTTAGGCACTGTAAACCTGTGCTTATCGAGCAGTGTCCTGGTTCTTCTTCTCAAACTTTGCTTTTATTTTCTGGAAACTGTAAAAGTGGATGGTTTTTTTAGAATTCTTTATTCACTAAACTAATTATGTTCTCCATCTTTTCACTGTTACTTTTCTCAATATACTTCTTCATTTTGCGTTTAAACTAAAAGCATGAATTCAAAACCAAACTAGAAAGAATTTCCTTAAAAATATAACTCCTTATTCAATTCCTTATTCGGAAACTTTGCAAATCAGCCCTGCATTAAAGGCATTGAGTCATGATAAAAGGAGTGGGTAAACACGAATATGCTCAGTCGTGGCTTTCGAGCTGCAATGCTGTTTTTAGGGCTGAGACTGATCACATGAACACAGCTTGTACTGATTTACAAAGCACCTTCCGTGAATAGCAAATTGTTAACAACTGATCACATGAATCACATGAAACTACATCGATCACGTCGAAAGCAAATTGCCATCTAAAGAGAAGGCCTATTTACCATGACTCAATGTCTTTGTAAGTTTTATATCTAATATAGCGAAATTATTTTAAATTATGGTAAGAAGTTGTCGCAATATTCAAACAGTCTAATTTCTATCCTCGAGTTTTAAGATAAAAGCAACATCAGGAGATTTTTTTGACCCATTTCAATTTCAATTGTTTTAGCATTATTTCAGTATTGGGTAACTTATGTTGGAAAATAAACCGGCATTTCTTCAAGGACACTTTGACTTTCAACATGTTTAATCATATTCAGATGTGCAGTTAAAATCGTGGTAGGAACATTCGTGGCTCTTAATAAGGGATTTAAGTATTTTTATTTGTTGCTACCTAGCATCTGAAGGTAGTTTTAAGACACTGAGAAGCTATGCTTATCGAGCAGTGTCCTGGTCCTTCCTCTCGATGTGACCACACCTTGTGATTCCTACGCCTGGAATTACAGAGAGCTGGCGACTCTGCCCACTCTGGGTGAAAGTTTGGTCATGTCGGGGACACGAACCACGGACCCTTGGGTCTGTAGCCAGCGCCTCTAACAACTGAGCCATCCTCGCACCTCTTAAGGGAAGTAGCCAGTCTCGATTCAAAAGACGAAGAAAATTTAGAAAATACTTGCGACTTGCAAAAAATAAGAATGAAACATTTGGAAACTGTTGTCGCTAAATACTGTGAGCGCAAAGAAAAGCCTTCGCCCTAATGCGTATTGTACACTTTTCTCATTGGCTCAAACATATGGATAAACGATAGGAATTTAGACTCGTTTCCCTAGCAATAAAACACGACAAAATAAGCAGGGATGATGCTTTGGTATCTTATCAATTTTCAGGTAGCCAGAAAAAATGCAAAACTCTCATTTCTTAACACAAGGGAAGAGAGTGATGTTGATAAAAACACCTCGGTATTCAAGAGGTGTCGAGGCGAATATTGTACCTGCTTCAAGTCAATTATCGGCTGTATAAAAAACTAACCTGATCATCTTCTCAGACCTTTAATAGTTGCCCTTTTAAAAGTTTTATATGTAAAAGAAACAGTTTTTTTAGGAAAATGTGCGTTAAAAAGACTATTTTTAAAAATATGTTTATGCATTTCATATAATTCAACCAATGTTATCTTACTTACTTGACCTTAAACTCAAGTATTATTTAACCTGTAAAAATCTACAAAAGCTGCCAGCACGACAGGTTAGATATTTATTATTAAGACCAATGGCATCCATGATATTTTTATCTATTCCCAGTTCGTTGATCACATAAAAGAGGTAAGCATAAAATTTAAGCATATAGATTTCAGTGTATCAATTTCCTTTATTATTTTCTCCATGCTGTTTTTTTTATTAGTAGATTTTTCCCCTTGAAAGTCAAATTCATGCAAAATTATTATGCTTAAAGATTTTGTGTTATACCACAAGCGTGATAGCATGCAAAATCAGTTCCGAGCTTCTCATTAAACGGCACATTTAACTGTGTATAGAAAAGTTCGTGATCTTATATTGCTATGCAGATCTTACGAATATTTTCCCGATAAAGACCTGTCTCGATGTCTAGGTGAACCTGGTTGTTTGCTAACAAAATCTTTGAGACACAATAAGATCAGCTCTGATCATGACTGTTACTTAAAACACGATCGATAGACTATTTATTGATTAGCCAAGTGTGTTACCGTGATTCCCAATATTGCAGCCCATTAGAAACTCATGTGAGAAATCCGAAAACAGAAACGGTAAGTTTCCATTTTAAGAGTTCAAAAAGTAATTGTATGAATTATGAATTATGATGTATTATATGTTGCACGTTATAGTATGCAGGAAAACATGGTTGTAAGTTTCAGCCTAGGGTTTCACGCTTAATGCGATTATCAAACAGCCTTGGTGCACGCTTAAAATTTCTTTAACGTATAATTCTTGCCTGGTGATCGCATTAAGCGTGAGATACAGAGTTGCATCTTAAAAACGTCCTGTTCTACACAACAAATCGTGTACAACCTTCTCTGTGTGGCATCGAGCACTTTACAATACATTGGAAAAGTAGTCTTATTATACTCTATTCTTGATAAATTACTTAGAATGGAAAGAATATTTACAATGGAAAAATGGCTTCTAAAAACAAGCTGAACAACGGTCAAAGAATATCAAAGATACGTTTTCCATATTTGAAGGAAGAAAGTCAGTGATATTTGAAAAAAGATTTAATGGGTTTTTGTATTACTTTAACTCATGATAACTGTCAAAATAAATAGACGATTCATTACGTAAATGCAAATTGCGTAAAATATTATCTGTACGATTTGCCATTTTCCATAGAACGAAAACTAAACACAGAAATATTTCGGCCTATTGAAAAACTGTCTATAATCTTTTTATAGCCTATTCAAAAACTGTCTTGTTTCCTCACAATAATGATGCTCAAAATCGTAGACATTTAAAATGATTGTCATATACATTTTTATTACTCTTAAAATACTCTATTTTTATTTTTTCGCAGCCTTTGTACTTGGTCTTATTTAATCTTTCTGCAATTTGGCCTACACTTTGCTCCTACCGCTTGATATCAACATTTCCTTAATTGTTTTGAGATCCAAATATGTCATTTATAATATGGAAATGATATTAATCTCCAGATTTTTTCTATCAAACATTTAGCCTTAAAGGTATTTTTCTGATTAGTAAAATGGCCTATGTCTTCAAGTACACTATAAACGAAGGAAAAAAAGGTTCTCTTGCCTCCAATCTTAGGAATTTCTCTCGCATGTTTTTATCTCGGGGAGTCGTGTGTTTTTTCACATTCAAAAATACGTTACGTAAAATGTCACAGAGAAAGTACAAAGGTGATTCAAATTAGGCATTGCGATTTCCACGACATTTTTGTAAAGTAGATGAAGAGGTTTGTTTACACAAATAATTAGGGTCCGTTTAGTGATCCTTGACGTGAAGAATCAGTGAACAAAATTTGTGAATGTCACCTCATGCTATGAGATGAAGCAACATATTTCGCTATCTACACTCCTTTTTAAATATTTTAGATTTAAAAAATTTTTCTTGAAATCTTTTTCCTACCTATTATAATTTTTTTCATGCTCAAATTATGAATCTCGTGAAATTGCTCCGTGCGACATATCACAAGGACACTTTCTTGGGCCATTTGTGCTCATACTTAACCTAACCGGGTTTTAAATAAGTCAAATTGAAAGGGGATTCAATCGAAACGTTTTGCTTTGAAATACAACTGTTTTTGTCGCTTTATTAACGGTAAGTCGAAACATTTCTAACTGCTTGATTTGTCCTGATTAATATTGGCTATGTCGACAAATACTAGGTCTCAAAACAGGAAGGTTGTTCTCAAAAATATATATCAAGGAACAGCTAGCTCTTTCCACCTCGTGATGGTCCCTATTTTTATCATCAAGCCTTTTATCCAATTGCGCTTCTCCCCTGATGCTATAATCGTATATATTTGAAACATACACCCTTGATTCTAGAAAGGAAAAGATTGCGAAACGCTAAGGATATTTATGAAATTTTTTTACAAAACGTACGTTTTTATTAATATATTTTCATTGAGAAAGTTTGTTTACAGATGAAGAATGAATAATTAAAAGCGCTTTGCTCAGGATCTATTCTTAAGGTAGAAAGTTGTAAAACCTGGAGTGGGGATTGTGTAGAAAACTGCAGTGCTAAATGGCGTTTGATTTATTCCCCTAAGGTAAAAAGACAATATCAACGATATTTCCAAGGGATTATGTCTTTGACATACTACCTGTTCTTGGTAGTGCTGCTTGCAGCAGTACATTCAAATGCAAGAAAATGGCATCACAATGCATACAGCAACCAATACATGCTGCATCGCAGGAACGGCATCACACAGGATGATAGTGCAAAGAGAGGTAAGCTGCTGTGAAAATAATGCTCTCGAGAATTTTGGAGGTTATATAGAAGAAACTCGAGCGACAAAAAAATGTAACATGCTCTCTTATGTGTAACGTTATTTCTTCTTGCACTGTCTATACTTAGACCTTTTTAATATAAATGATAATTTATATTAAATGTTTTATGTGTCTCTATTTTGTATTTTGAGACAAGATGGGGAGACTGAGCCGATTCTTTTTAACATAATGCATGATCCTGAACTACGCCAAACTCAACCGAGATATAACAAAAAGCTTGAATGACATATAATTCTTTAAGTTTATAATTCTTTACTTAGGTAGTAGGGCCGTAACAACTATTGTTCTTATGAAGACTCGTGCTCCCCCCCCCCCTCGCAAAAAACAATGATTAGATCCTTTGTTTCCCATGAACAATCTCTTTCTGTCCTTATTGTTCATAAACAATGGATTCCCAATAATTTCATTCTTCCAAGGCTTCTACGTGCAAGATAAATTGGGTTAGAGAAGACATTTGACGATCATGTAATTATACATGTAACCACTATCGTTATAGAATTGCAGTTTTTATAAATCACAAAAATTTCTTATAAAAAATGACATTCTCGTTCTCTCTAAAGATGCCTAATGAATGTTTATAATATTCCCAGCATCATTGCCGAATCTTAACGTGCTCATCAATGGAAAAGAAAATGGAGTTGAATTTGAGATTGCAGGATGCAAAGTCAAACTCACTATTGATGGAGAATGCAAATTTAAGCTCTCGCCATCTCCAGACTCATGCGGAGGAAAGCTGCCATTGGCTGGAATTTTGAATCACTTTTTACCAAACAACAAGCTTGGAGAGAAGTCAAATACATTCATCTTGCCGGATAAGTTCGACCTTGAAGCACTGCAGATCGACAAATGTAAAAGCACGATCGAGTTCAAGACCTCTTCTCGTGAAAAGCTTGATCTCATTCCTGGAAAACTCTCCATGGAGGGTGTGTCATTAAAAATGAAACTGAATTATAAATCTGGCGTTGTTGACTGGGAGCTTCTTGATTTAGACATTAGTGCATCTGTGACAATTGCAGAGAAGAAAGTACCAATAACAGCAAAGAAAAAGGAGAAGGAGACATCCATCAGCTTTTCATTCAAAACAGATGACCTGAAGGTTCCAAGTCTTACTGGGATGTTCTCTAAAAAAGCAGCCTCGCCTCCAGATTCTGATGAGCAAGTATCTTCAAAAGTGATGGGTTTGACGATCAAGAAACCATCCGTATCAGGGGTGTACGACACAAAAGGTTTTTTTGAAATTGTCGCTAGTGGAGAGCCCGATTCTGCAGCATTCAAGAGTGCCTCCTTCTTTATCATTATCCAGAAACCAGAAGATGATGATGTGAAAGTGGCAGTGATGGCCAAAATGAACCTATTTTCACCAACCAAACTGCTAACTGAATTAACAGGAAAAGATCTGACCAAGATTCCACTTCTCAAAGAGCTTGTACTTAATTTTGCCTTTGCCATTTCAAATGACGACTTTGTTATCATCAAGAATGAAGAATTCAACAAGGCTATTTCAGGTGTTATCAAAGGAGAAAAGACCATAGAGAAAGGCACTAAGCTCCATCTTGATCTGCCTGTTAAAGAGATGTTCAAAAAACTGGCACCAGACCTGAATACAGACAGCTTTCCAGCTTCGTTATTTGTTAAAGCCACAATCAACAAAGATGGAGTGAAATTCAAATTCCCAGACGAATGGAAGTCAGATTTGCTTCAAATTCTTAAAGGACTCGCACCAAAACTGAAAGAATATATCCCAAAATGGTTAAAAGGCGATGGCCCCCCTATTGTGGTAATCAATGATTTCTCATTTGACTACAAGACATTGGCCTTTGCTATAGATATTTCAATGGACGGTCCTTTTAAACTTGGCAAGATATTGTCGCTGTACAATATTTCTCTGAAAGTCAGTCACAAGGGCGAGGATAAGCCTTACGAATTTTCTTTCAGTTCTTCCCAGACTTTGTTTGGGGAAACGATGCTAGTTACCAAACTCTCAAAGAAAGGAGGAACGTATGAATTTGACGGCTCAATTAGTTCTATTTCAACTGGACAGCTTATCAGAGCACTTGGTGTCAAATATCTTAGCGAGGAAACAATGAAAAAACTCAGTTATCTAGACTTTGGAATGTGTGACGTCAAACTAAAGGCGAAATTTGGTGACACATTTTTCATAAGGTGGGTATTTGACTTCTTCTTCAGTGTTGCAGTTACTTTTGACTGGATCTTGGATAAGATATTATAGCCATCGTATTCTATTATTCTATTTACTATCCCCTCTGCCGTATAAAAAATTATTTCTTTTGATCATTATCTTTAACATTCATGTCAACCTGCACATCATTAACTTTATATACAGGTGTAAAAATATAATTAAATTCCTAAGAGACATATAGTAATGCCATTTAAAAGCAGTTGAAAATGCGCTCGAATTACTTTACGCTGATTGGTTCAAAACAAGGACCAACCAAAACTTCCTCTTATATTACTTTCGATAATGCTATCATCATGGAAATTTTAATCAAAAACGGCAGAGATAAAAGCATCAAGGTAATTAAGGCTTACAATGCACATGTACATAAAAATTTCTTGATATCTGGATATAAATTTGTACTCAATTTTGGTCATTATCCGATGTTTGCACCCTGTGGACAAAAATGATGTTATGTTTCCCCTTTTTTGTGCTATCTGCAGCTCAGATTTCTCCTTACATCGAAATAGGTTTGTTAGTAAGCCTTTACCAACGAAGAAATGTTGTCAGTTTTGTTTGTGGATAAATCGTCAGGCTCTATCACTGTGCAACCACGTAGCTGTAGGTGTCGGCTAGGGGGGGGGGCAAACTCGAGCAAGAACCATACCTGAGGGGGGCAGGCTTTAAAATAAGAAAACAGATATATAACAAACAGATATGTTGGGACAAAATCAAGGTCATGGAATTATAAATATGCCAAATTTTCAAAATATCATTCGGAAAAACTGTAGCCAGAGAGGGTAAGTTGTTGTCAAAATTTTCATTTGCTTTATAGTCATTCCCTGATTGAGGGGTGTTACACCCGAATACTCCTTGTAACTATCCCCAGAGTTGCTTTTCTGTTACAAATCTCAGTGACAATCGATGTTTCTGATGTTTTGTTTCACTTTTGTCATCGATCTTCTTTAGCTTTAAAGCAACTCCAATTCTTTTTGGATGGGACGGTTTGAAAGTCGAAGGAATTATGTACGAAGATGGCGCTTCTCCGGTGATGGCGATGGGGATTTCCATTGAAAAAATAAGGCTTGACGAAATAGTAGAAAAACTTTTCAACAAGAAACTTGCAGGGATTACTTGGTTAACGGAGCTCAATGTTGGTAAGAAGGTTTTATTATATTGAAACCGTGTTGAAGCCAAGAGGGCTCTAAGCAATCCATGATTTTGAATAAAAATAAAATATATAATATATATAAAGACGATATGTAGAAATAATGTTAGCCAAAATGAATATCATGAAAGCATCGAAAAGACGGATTCTTTTAACAATGATCATATCACAATAAAAAAATTGCATTTTTGTAACCCTAAAGAGGTCACTTGGTATTCTTAATCATTTGTGTCATTGGCAATGAAAAAATTGTAGATTTTATTTACATTCATTTACATTTCTTAAAACTGTGTGTGACATGAAATAATCTTTGTAGTGTTGACAATGAGCACAACAGACGCAACGGCGAAAAGCAAAGATTTGAAGTTTGAGAATCCAAGCATGAAAGAAATTGGCATCAAAAAAGGTAATAGCTTACCTAGTCCAATCGCTTTTGATGTGCTTAGGTAACGAGAAAACAGAAACCACAGAAAGTCTGACAGATGTGCAAGATGGGTCAATTTCTAGAAGATACGATAAATAGAAGCAATGTGATAATACAGAGTCGTTGTCACATTTGCTCTTAATGCAATAATCTTATTCTGATGCCAGAAAATGTTCGTTTCTTCACATGATTAATGAGTACTTTTTGTACCAAGCATTCTGTTCTTCCTTAAAGCTCATTTATGGCTCCCACATAATCTGGTATCATTCGAATCAGCATTGCCTGTCTCATCAGCTGACATTTGTCCCTCATTCTTTAAAACTAGTTGTTTTGGTATTGTCGTTTGCCAGGGATAGCATAAAAGAAGACTTAAGAGAAGATTTAAGCCCTAACCCCCGTACTCGTGGCTGCCAAACGTTTCAACCTTTTATTTTGAGGCATGAAAACATTGATGAATTCATATTTTAGGAATAATCTTCAGAGCTGTGGCTAAGATTCCAACTGACTGCAAAGGGGATCAGTTGTGTGAAGTCAGCAAAAACGTCACCAGTGCTGAAAAGAAAGAAAGAAGTTTGATAATTGAAGGGAAGATAACGCTTGACGGGGTGGAACTACGGGGTATTTACGAAGGAAAATGGAGCATTGGAAAGAACGTCCAAATTCCAAAAGTTGAACTTGTGTTGAAAATTGGAAAGGAAACCAAAGTTTATTTCCAAGTAAATGTCAACATTCTAGAACCAAAATTGGAGTTGGAAGGTAATTGAAAGTTAAATTTTTCAATTTAGGTGAAAATGTATGCCAGAATGTTTTAACATAATTGCATTTGATTAGCAAGTCTAAAGCCGATTTGTACCTCAGCAAATTTTTTACATGGGAGTTTTTTATATTGAAGCTGGTTAGATTTTCCTAGTAATTCATACGTAGAAGAAAAAATGAGCACATCTGTTAACCCAATAAAAATTTCTTGCTTACTTGTCTAGACCCTCTTGCTCCTCTAACTATCTTATTCACCTTAAAAAATATTTTGTTAATTCTTCCACTTTAAGACCAGTAGCTAGCCATGTTTCTCATTTGCTCGCAGGACAAGTAATGAAAACATCTTCCCTTTGAATTTCTTTTCTAAAAAATACACACAAAGATTTATGATTCGTGCTTTAAGACTAAAAACGACATTGGATAACTCATCTTTATATCTCTAACCTTTTTTAAATCTTTTAATGAAGTGTTATAGCCATCAAATTTGTAGATTCTGATTCTTGCAACTTATTTTCATTAGCTAGTCACGTGCAGAGTCTGTTCCGAAACTTTAACAACGATATTCTTAGACTATCAGCCTTTGGTTATAGTTTTAATGTTAAACAGATCAAAATATATAGATTCTGAATCAAACAAGGTAAATTTAGTCTAGTCTAGTGCCATCATGTCTACATTTTCTCAACGATTTTCACATAAATTCTTCTTATCATATTTTTTCCTAATAAAGGCCAAAATGAGCCATCACCAAAATGACACTAGATATGAGTTAAGAGCAAACAAAAAATACGATATGAAACACCAAAACAAGCCTATTTTCTAAAAATTTGAAATCTGACGGTTAATGATAGCAATTACAACACATTCTTCAATACGATTTAAAAACTGATAATTGTTTAATACTTTATTTTTAGGCACCGTTGGTATTGGGGGAACTGGCTCTTTGCAATTGTCAGCAAAAATGACTGGCATCTGGGACCAAGCTTTTGGCATCAAGTTCTTGTCATTTGGGAATCTCGCAGCTAGTATTAGCATTTTACCAGGCGTCGCAGTGACAGATTTTGGTTCGTTGATCTATGATTATTACGAATTTCAATCGTCCCTAAAAATTTCATACCTTGTTTCTGTATTGTGACAAATATTTCAACGTCCACGCAGAAGTAAGATAATGCATGCACCCAGACATAGCATGCACCCAGACATAGCATGCACCCAGACAAAGCATGCACCCAGACAAGAAATTTCAGCAAAAATTTAACACAAACATTCTAATCGCCGATTTTTTTACCATACCTTTGACGTAATTATGGCAAAAACCCGATAAACTGAGCAAGAAACCTATCGAACACGTCATCTTTCCTCTGATTGTACTTTCGATCCACCACTGGATGCAAATTTTTTGCTTACTTTTGGTGATTATTTCTCTGAAGTTGACCAGTACTTTAGCATGTTAAGTATCCACTTATTTGTGCTAATTTCAAATTTTTATATGCCAAATACTTACTTGGAAAATAAGAACTCATGTGCTTCTTTGAACTTTAGTTTTTGGTTCAGTCTCAAGTGAAATGCATCGTTAACAATTGTTAAAACATTATATACCCCGCCAGTGCCTTAATAAAAACGTTGACTGTACGGCAACAGGTTCATTTGATAGAATTCTCTTTCTTCACTCTAAAGCTTTTGAAGGGGAACTCCGACTTGGTTACCTCCCTAAGAAAGAAGAAACAAAAAGAGCAGCTTCCAATCAGATAACATCAAAAGCAGCAGTTGGAATCGACGGCGTGAACCCGGCCAACAACTATTTCTACGCCCAAGTGAGTAAGTTTACGCTAAGTGCCATAGTCGAAGCATTTGGTTTGGACATTCAGCTTCCAAAAGCATTGATGGACACCGGCTTTCCGGACGGAGTGATCGTTTCATTCACACTTTCACCAAAAGGTATATTTTGTTTCATCCACTTTTTTTATTTATAATTTATTTTTCTTTTGAAAGATACAAAATGACAAAGAAAACATTTTGGCAGTTGTAGGCTGAGGCTGAACTTAATGTAAGCAAGCTAACCATACCTAATGAACTTTTGACCAGCTCTATAAAAGTTAAGGCAGCTATTTTGAGACTGTCCTGTTGGAGGATAATTACCATTTGCCCCAGTATTCCTATAAGAACCTCCAAGTCACATCGAATGAGGTGGCAAGCTACTTGATGCCGAATATGCATTCAATGCATTAAACTAAAAACCGAATTTTCTGAACCCCTTTTCCTCTGGCATTCAGCAGTAAGTTATCGACAAAATCATAATCAGGTTATCTGCCTTTTTTCAGGAAAAGAACTCAAGCAACTTAAAACAAAGATTGAAAACGGTTTTAAATTCCAAGGAAAGATACGAATTTTGGGATTTGAAGTCTACGTTGACTGCAGCATAGCATACAACCCAGTAAAATTCTCTATTCTTGTGGAAATGTCGCCAATCAAGATTGGTGGTGGACTCATTGCACTGCAAAAGTCAAAGAACGAAGCAGACAAAGGTCCGATGCTTCAAGCATCAATTGCTGCATCTGCAGTGAAAATAAAAATCAAAGCTTTTATAACAGTGTTGGGAATCTCTGCTGGAGCGAGTATTGATGTTTCTGATAACGGATTTGAATTTGCTATTTCTGGAAATCTCTTTGATGTCGTACAGGCTGATTTGAAGATCAAGAGCAAATACGCGGACATCAAATCAGCATCATTCCATGTAAGCATGTTTACTAGTTTTGAAAGGCAATAAAATACCGTCTGTGACGTCATCTTAATCCATGTTGGAAATATATACATATTTACTACTTTACTACCATTATACATATAACTATACGATAGTTATACGATAGTTCAACTTTTCAGAATCTGGTTGAGATAAGATTACTGTTATTCGGCATTAGCTGATAAAATTTAGAATATCTACCAAATTACAGTGACTGATTGGATAAGGAAAAAGCTCACGTGACCATATATATGGCTATTCATGACACTGCTAACTAGTTTTGCATATAGGTATTTCATTATGCTCCTGCAGGTTATACAGTCGAGATTAAAAAACATTGAAGATATATTTTTATGATGTCATTAAATTCGATCTCTATTCACAATCTCTTATCAGCTTTGCTCATTCTGTTGGTAATCAATGTAGATAAGAGATAATTAAGGAAAACTTTTCAAAATCTCAAGCAATAGTCAACATGATATTTCATATATTATTTTTAGATATTTAGATAAATAATACTAATAAAGGCAAAATAATACATTAGTGATCAAGAATATCTAAACGGGATAAACACTTCAACTTACAAGAAGCTGTTTTCATCTTTAATAAAATAAAAACCTAAAGATATTAATAATTACTGGGAGGCAACGCTACTCCAATTAAAATTGCTTGACGACAAAGGGTTGCCTATCAATCAAAAACAACTGCAGACCTCTAAAATCTCATTGTTATGCCTTAGGTTTCTGCGTGTATAAAAACTGGTCCAGATGTGATACAGAAAGCTGTTAAAGAGGATCTGACAGAGGCTGGAAAGGCAGCAACTGAAACAATGAACGAGGCAAACGAAAAAGTAGCTGGCATTGGCAACCTCTACTTGGACTCTAAAGAGGGCGTGTCAAAAATGGACAAAGAAATCGATGATTTCAAAGGAAAGTTAAGAAAGAAAGGAGATGGAATAAGCGAAGCAAAACGTATACTTAATGAGAAGTGTATTGATCAATGCTCCACGGGTATATTTCTATATTTCATTCAACTTTTATTCATTTATTTCTTGCCCAAGTATGAACAAGACCAATGCTTTTAAGGCACTTGAATAATTGAATGATAAGGGGAAAAAGTAAGCTAGAATAATTGTGAGATATATTTTAAAATTACCTTATTGATAATATTCTCATGCTTGTAAGATATATTCCCAAACTTATATGACTGGCTGCCCTTTTTCATTATAAGGTGCATGGAAATTACCTCAGGGTTTTCCTTCACTGTAAGATAGTGATAGAATTTAATTTTGAATGTGAAATCTCACCATAAGCCATTTTCCAACTCAAGCAAATATGAAATCAGAGAGACTCTTGTCACGAAGTGAGGTAGAAGCGTCTAAATTAACCACGACAAATACTGATTTTTGGATAACTCTTATAACATAGATTTATGCTTAATCCATTGAGTTGCTTTTTCTTTTTTCTCATCAGAATGTATCGGAGGCCCGGATTGGGATCCAAAATGTTTAGAGGTTGGCGGTGGTTACGTTGGTTGTCCAGTTTGGAACGATTGCAAATTCAAGGCACCAAATTATGAATGTATAGCGAAATGTAAAGGAAAGAAGGGATTTTCCTTGTTGAAAGCCAAGGGCAAGCAAGTTGCATTGGAGGTATGTATTATGAAGCTTTTCTAATCCTTTTATGATTTGTGCATTTTTCAGATACCTTTAATGGTATTAAGGTACATTTATAGAAGGAAATGTCCAATCTTGGGGATCCTTTGTTCTTCTTGTGTTCACTGCGGTTAAAGTTATTTGGCGCCCAACGAGGAAACATCATGGGATCTGACTCAGCGTATTAGACCTAATGTTTTTAGAAAAAGTCGCACCTTCGCTTCAATGGACCTTTTTTGCATGAAATAAATGTTTCTTTTGCAAGATTTTGAGAAAGATTTCTGAGATAGAAAGGTTGACAATGAGATACCGTTCTGTTCAAGGAAATCCACTTCAGGGGCGCCCTTTCTGTATTTGCAGCAATTTGCTTTATTTAAGATCAATATGTAAACAATGAGATGTAACAAAAGTTTGTAGAATCATTTTTTTTCTTTCAGGCTCTTCTGAAGATTCTGGAAGGATTGAAAAAACTGTTTAACATTGGTAAAAAGTTCTTTGACAAGTCTAGGAAGCTTTTAGATACGGCTAAATCGGTACTGAATGAAGCCAAGGAAAAACTGAAGGCTGGTCTCGATGCTGCTAAAGCTGCTGCTTCTACAGCCATTGAGAACATTGTTCAGATCCATTCGATGTGCTTTGAATCTGGGTTAGACGAAGCTGCCAAGGCCTGTGTTGGATTGAATATAAACGCAACATTCTTCAAAACAAAGAAAGTAGAATTTGACACGAAAGGATGTCTGGATGTAAGTTTTGCCAAGCAGATTGCTCAGGCAATTTCTGACAAACTATACCCCGGTATAAAGCACTAAAGGGAGCTATTGGTGGCCTAAAATCAAAGTTTGGACTAATTGAGAACGAGAAGGACAATGTTGAAGTAGCAGTCGAAGAGGCAAAAGCTGCATGCACAGATGGCGATAGTGAATCCTGCGAGAAGGCTTCAGCACGTGATGTCATTTGGTCAGAAGAGGAGCATTACTACAAGAAATTGGCTTACGAGCAGCTGCCAAGGTTCACTTTGAGAGACGATGCAACGCTTCGACTTTTTGATTGGGATCCGCCATCGATGAAAGCTGCAAATGATGACCCTATGGCAAAGGCGAAAATCGAAAAACCGAAGGGTGTTGTTCAAGTCTATAAGAAGAGAGAATCCGTTGCAGGTATGGCTTTCTGTAGATTTTTTATTTTGTCAGAAAGTTATTAGATAACAAATGCTTATTTAGAGGTACCAGTGACTATATGACTGGCTGCCAACCGATTGTTCCAAAAAGCAAGTAAAATGCACCATTTTTCAAAGTCATGAGAATGTTTTTGTAGAATTTTAGCCAAAAGTCTTGGAACACTAACGTCATTTTTGAATGGGCGACTCAGCTATTCTGCTTTTCCCTTTGAACAATGTTGATTTACTATAAGATAAGGGTAAAAGGACTATCAATCTATTCCTAAGGGATGTAACGGCATAAGTAATATGTTCCACGAAATTTTGTCCAACATTTTATTCATATGCACATGTTGGTAATTATCCAACTGTTTGTTTTATATTTCTGGGGATTGTTTGAAAAACGAATTTTATGTGACAGTTACCTATAATAATGACAAGAATATTTGCTTCTGCAACCACTAGCGAAAAGTTGACACCTAGATTTAAGCAGTAACTTACAAAATCTTAGCTCAAGTTGGCCCCTTTTTGTATCCAAAGTGTTAGCACTTATTATTACCCAAATCAATCATTTAGTAGTTATTTTTAAAAAAAAGAATGTCAATTATCCGAAGAACAAGAATATTATTATATTTTTCAGCAAATAATGAAGATGAACCATGCTTGCAATTTTCTAAGCACATGGACATACTCAAGGGCATTTCGGATGGCATGACTGCACTTGTCAGTTCTCAGAAAAGACAAAATCAACGATTCAAAGAATTTGTTAAATCAAAACGGAACAGGATCAACCGTATTGCTGTGGCGCTTAAATCTCAGTGTAAGTATTTATGTGTCTGCATAGTCTCTAAAAAAAGTGCAATTCTTGCATGAAGTCAATACCGAAAGTGCTGGAATGTTGAGATGTTTTTAAAAGAAATGCCAAAAGCGAATCACTATACATGCTAGTTTTGATTTTCAACAGAAAGAGCACTTTTCAGTAGATTGACTATGGGACCAGCCTTCAAAATCAAATTTTGCAATATTTTGTTGTGATTCAAAGATTAATTTAGTTGTTGCTGTGCTGTCCTTAATAACATGGTGTATAGCTTTACCCGTTTCTTTGTATTTAAGGGTTGGGGAAAGTTGTTTAAATAACTGGAAATCACAGTTCGCTAAATTTTAGGTTTAACTTCACCCCGTCAATTTTTATAAATTGCGTTGACTTTCTGATCTTGAACTTGCTTACAATTATCAAATTCGCACTTCTTTGTTCTGAGACATATCTTTAAAAGGTAAATGAAAAAGATTTTGTCGCCTTTCTTAAATTTTTGGATTTCAAGCAAGGTATATTTTGGATTGCCAAGATCAGTCTCTTCGTTGGAAAAAATCCTTGCTTTTACATCGTTATGGAGATCTTCATGTTTTTATATAGAGTTGTCTGTGAATTTGTCAAAATTAGGTTGTGATCGTTCTTTAACAGTTTTTTTTAAAATAATAATAAATTTCAGGTCTCTACTATGGCTGCAACAAGGAACAGTTGGGTGATGCGATGTTCTATGTTAACAAGGCACGAAAAGGTTTGTTTTCAGAAAAGTTTAATTAGTAACAATTCAATCTCTTTGCTTAAAACGCCTCCCGGCAGTAGCACTGGTTGCCTTGTTTCAGCTCAAGTGAATCCCTGGGCATTGATACAGCCTAAACGATGTATAAGCGCACAGGGGAAACGTGCCCCACTTATTTCAGAAATGCTAATTCACTAGGCATGTTGTAGAATTTGATTTCGCTAGGGGTTCTTATTTTAGCTTATTTGTATTATTCTCATTTGGGTGTCAATTGTCATACTTCAGTTTGGTATTCAAGTCTTTATGTGCTTCTTTGATGCCATTGGATATAATAGAGAAGAAGGAGTTCTGTAGTTTGGGCTTCTGCGCGAAAGTGTTGTTCCCTTAACTCAGATGGATGTATTTAATTGCATTGGGATTATCTTGCTTACTTCGTATGCTGTTCTCATGCTTTTCTCTTCTCCCGTTCCTCCCTCTCCTTTTGATATCAAGCGTATTGTGTTTCTTCAAATCATTGTTTATTCTATTGTGTTAGGCTAGGGCCTGTTTACGTCACGGGATTCATTTCAAAGTTCTTGTTATTTTTCGCTTGGAAAGACTAGACCCTTAATTCAGTCTAGTTTCCCTTCCCATTTCATATCTTAGGTATCTAAGGTAGGACAGGTGCATCGGCTCTCTGGTGGGGAAAAAGTGAACTTTTCTCGTCCATTCCCTACCCAGAACTTTAAGTTGCTTGAACTTGAGTCGATTTAGCCATATCAAAGGTTAGGTTTTTGGTATGGGTTAGGCGAAGCAACTTGTGCCGATGCACTAAGAGCCCCCCGCACGCTACGCCCCCGAATCCCTGCACAAAAGCAGAAACCTATGTCAAGTTTTGAGTTTGCATTGTATGAAATTTAAGGGAGAGCCATTTAAAACAATGTCATGTGGAAAAATAATTTCCAGAGGAATTTCTATAGTATAGACAATAGCCTAATCAAATGTTATTTTATGCTAGCATTTGTCAAGAAAATACTTTTATTTCGATTTAAGAATCTTCAGATTATAGCCCATGTTTTCACATTTGTTTATGTTCAGCGCGATTTAGAGTATAAATTTGTAACTTATCTTCCGATGTCTATTCAGAGATGAACAAATGGGAAAGGAATGTGCGGTCACAGTTGAAGAACCAAGACAGTCTTTCATTCAGCACATGGAAGAAACAGCTAGATGCCAACATTTTACATTCGAAGGGGCATAAGCTTGCCAAATATGTTGCAAATGTGACGTCATCTAGTGAAGAGATCGAGGCTAGAATGGGCATTGCAGAAAACGATAGCAAAATGCAGATTCTGCGTGATTTTGGCAAGGTAATTACTGAATTAAAAATGGCCACATTTCTTTGTCAAATTTAAGGAATTTGACAAAAACCAAGGCATAAAACTACAGTTGAATTGTGTTGGGGGTTAAAAAATGGGGTAAGAAAATGATCTTAGCAAAAGTTAAACTTATAAATTATATTTGAATTCAATAAATGAAGATATAGGTAGGAAAATCCAATTAATTAATTCAATTAATACTTATTATCAAGGATCAAAAGTAATTGGTTTCTAAACATTTTCTGTGGCATCAGTTTTCATTTTTTTAAGGCTGCATAGAAGCAATTTTCTATAGAAAACCAATAGATTCAATTAATTCATTATGAAAAAATACAATTGCTGTCTTGTAGCACCATTACAAGCACATCGAATAATTTGTGCCGAGATTTTCAGTAATTTTTCATATTTTGAATGATAATGCTCTTTGATTATTTTCACTGCCCTCGTTCTAATTTTTAAGCCGCCTTAGTGCATTGACTCTTCGGGTAGTGGAGTACCTTCAGCTGATCCGTTGAATTCCGTCAGAGAGTTCATTGGAAGCGCGCTATGAATATCTATACATTGCCATATTTATGTTAATATCATTTGATATATTCAATTATCAAAGAAACAGTAAATCTTGTCATAAGAATTTATGTTGTTTTGCCTACTTAACGTTTAGATTCTTGCATAATCTTTGTCAAATTCGAAAAATCAGAAGAGAGAATGTGCAGAAATCTATATAGTCATGCTTCTAATAGAATATATTTTAAACCCGCAGTTTTAAAGCTTTTTTATTTCCCTTTTATTAAAAATGCATGCCAGCTACTGTTCAACTTTCCCATCTAAGGCATGCAGGAGCCTTAATTCCCATTGCCTCACTCTAAGGTACTTGTCTGTGGTCCATTCCACAGGCCTTGCTCTAACATGTACTTTTTTCTTAGGGCTTTGCTGACCTCATGGACAACGAAGGGTCTTTGTCATCATCAGCTCCCGTTATTTCAAGCCTAGCTTCAAAACTTGCTGAAATTCAGTCCAGCAGCCAGGCATGTGCTCAAAAGCGATAGGAGACAAGGACCAGAGCAGAAACACAAGACGTGACATTAAGACTCAAAATATCATATTAACAACAAATACTTATGCTTGTTGTTGGTCTTTATGATCACCCAAAATATAATCTTATAGATTGCAAAGGCACTTCTTGTGCCACCATATCTGACATGTTAGTTATCACTGTCTATACATATTTTCAGAGAGAATTATCATAAATGATAATTGACTTATCATTTTCTGTAGATGTGAATTCTTTTGACCGATCATGAAAACTGTTCATTTTTTCGAGGAAAATCTTATTGATATCAAACAAATTTTATCCTATTGCAAGAACAAGTCGTTATTTGATCTAATGAATCAATTTCTGAGAGTGGTTAGATAATAATCCGCCAATTATACTATAAATTAATAGGGGGAATATTGCCCAACGAGAGGTGAATCTCTGTCCTCTTTTTCTTTGAAAATAACCAACAATTAACTCGATTGCAATAATTAAAGAAATATTAATTTTAAATGGTAAAAAATAGTAAAATTGACAATTCAATGAAAAAACTCCCCGTACTTATTAGGAAAATGTCATAGGGCAAAGCATAGGGGTAAATTGAGGGGTGTGTTGGGGGGGGGGGCTCCCAAATTTTGCTTAATTGTCAGTTAAAACCTAGGTTTTTGCCGTTTTCGTAAGTAAATTTTGACTTCTGTCGAAAAATTGCTTGTCTTTTGAGATTTGGCCAACCCCTCCTGAGAAATGAATTTACGCCTCAAGAGTAATGAAGTGATTAGCCAGATGGAGTTTATCGAGACTTTCAGCATTGCCACAATATTCATCTTCAGTCCGCATGAAATCGTTGATTAGTGCTGTGTTTTGCTGCCCAGATTCTTATTATAATCAGTCGTTCTTTCAAAGCTTGAACTGACAAAACTGACCTCGCCTCTCCCACTTCTTAGCATTGCCTTTCATTCTCTTGCTAACAGGGGTGCTGTCCTAACAAGTTAGGAAGGGGGTAGAGCCACCCTTCTTCGAAATCTCTCCAAATATAACAAGAGGGCTGAACACCCCTGGCTCCCAACGGCTGAGGCATCACAACTTGCTAGAGCTTCGCTTCATTCCATACAGCCTTCCCCAAACATAAACGACCATAAAGTTAAATATATAGAAACTGAAACAGTTAGAAAGTTAGTTAATGAACAAGCCAAGAGTTGCAATCTCAAATGAAAGTACAAAAGCTGGCGATTGGAATATAAATGTATTTCATGAAATACTTGACTTTAGGACATTATGATGAAACTTTAGTCTAATGAAGTTAGGTTAGATTTCAGATAACGATTCTGGAAATTTTATTCTTTATGATGGAAAGGACTCAATCAACAAGAATATGGTATAATTCTCAGAATTGCTGAAGAGTAAAGGTTAGATTTGACGAGGCTGCAATTTTAAGTTGACTTTTATTTCAAAATATTTCAATCATTTCCAATTCTTTTTTAACCAGATGTGAATTATCAATTTCTTTCAATGAAAAATTTAGTTATGCAAAATGATTTTTATACTTGATAAGTCGAAATTTACCACGGGTGAAGTTTATGCTGTGGTGATTGCAAATGTTGGCAAAACATTTCGGGTGAGCAGGGCTGTTGTGGCACGGTATTGTTTTTCAAATGGTAGTTTGCTTGGCGTACTTTGTCCCTACGCATTATAAAATCTGTTACCGGATTATACCAGATGGTTTTCTTCAAATCGAAAATATCAGCTTGCAATATGCAATTCTTTCTTTTTTAGGTCATTCACTAAGGTCAACCAGTTTGAATGATCCCTGCCCCATGATTGTCACGGTCTCTCTATGTCTCTAATCCCAACAACAGCTTGTTTTCCTGATAAGCGACCTTTAAAATACTTTGTGAAGGTTTTTATGAGAGAGTTTGTTTTCGTGGTGTAAAAGCAGTCGTGGTGATCAGGCTTAGGGATTTTATGATGAATTTGGTGGTTTATTTGAACCGAAATTAGGCCTTTTTATCTATGCAAGACGGTAAGTGAGACCATCAGTGGAAATGGAGCTTGTTGAGTGGTTAAGCAAGCGCTGTACATCTTGCAAGTGTCCTGTTACATTGCCCAATTCGCTTCTTATTCTAGAAGTAAAATGACCGAATCATTGTTAACTGTAGAGAGAGGGGGGCAGTTGCACTCAAACCTCTTTCATAAAAATAAACACAACAGTGTGAGACAGTTAGACAGTTTTGCATGAATCGCAGCATTTGTAACTGATTGTGCAGATTTTAATCCATTGTTTATCTACATAGGGCAGTCCAAGCCTCTTGGTATAATTGTCTTTCCGACAAAAATCTAACAAAATATAAGAATTGCCGAAGGAAGGGATCATCACTGGTCAACAATTTCTTGGTTATATTATTCAAAAATTGTCGTGAGTGACCGCAAATTTAAATTGTGAAAAGGAGTCTAGGTCGGCAAAACAGGAAATGACGTAATAGGTTTGACATGTTCTGGGCTGCGAAGTTCAAGTTATAAGTTCGCTACCAGCTTGACAAAAACTCTGACAAAATGTACTTACGCATCAAAAAAATGTATTTGACGAATAAATTGTTCAAAGGCCAAAGAAACTTGCAGAAGAATATTCAAGGAAAATTATCAAAAAGGCTACACTATAATATGGCTTTGAAAGCTGTAAACAAATTTTTCTAACAACAGATTTGCAGCTTCAAATCTGTGAATTGTAAACCCGAAACTTGCAACAAAATTCAAGGCCAATATGATCATTGCAACTAAATATGATTTTGCAAAAAGATTTCTAAATTTATCATGCCCTGTTCAAAAAATTTGTTTTCAAGTCTCATTAAGATTTCGAGGCTTCAAGACTGTCTAAAATGTGAGCCTTTGTTTCTTTTCAAAAGTTAATTTTTCATAGATGTTAAATCTATACTGTGGCCATTATTGCCCATTTGGTTTCAAAACTATAGACCGATGTCTAAAAGCTTCACAAAAGTGGTTTGAATTTCGTTAACTGTGATGGGGAGGAAGGTGGTTCAGAAAGGGCCTAGGCGGTTCAGAAAAGGCCAAATGGGTAATGTAGAGGAGGCAACTATAAAGCCTAGCACATTAGAAAAAACAATTTTTCCAGGTGATGGCTGGGTGATTTGTTTGCGCAAATTATCAGGTAACTTTGGCGGTAGGCCCGGGGTGGGAAATAGGTGATATTTCTCTGCAGAAATTTTATAAATCGTTTGTGTTTCTGCTTAAGGCTCTGAAATTTGTACCAAACAATAAGAACTCTCTAGAATCTGGTTTGAAAAATCTTCTTTGTAAGAAAAGGGAATTTTACCGTGCAAAAGTGTGGGGGTAGGTTTTGCTCCACAGCAACATTGTTTTGGTTTGAAAAATTGAAAAATCAAGCTCGGAATGAACAAAATGTGCTCTTGTTGTCATAAGTTCAAGCCAAATGGTCAATGGTTATATCCATACCTCCAACCATGGTATAGAACCATTAAGTCCCCTCTTTTGAATACGGAAAGCATATCTGTTCTCGTGAGGTTGTGATAATTGTTTACGGAAGATGTTTAAAAGCAGTTTGTAGGATTGTAAGAATTGCACTCAAAATGAATATGATTAGAAGATAAAGAAATTCAGAAGAATAATCTAGTTCACATTCGTTCACTTCTGAAGTTAATCTTCAATTGATAGTAGAATTTCGCTTCATATTACAGGACAAGCTTTTAATTCCAAAAAATAATCCCAAGGATCCATGTATCCCGAAGTTGCAGTGATTATCAAATGTTCGATATACTTAACCGTTTCTACATTAAATTTTCCAAAAAAGTTTGCCTGGCACGAATGTTGTTAGCCTTTGAAATTATTTTCATTTATATAAAAATCACAGTTCTTATGATAAATGAAATTACAGTTGCTTTCTTTTGGTCCTTACCATTGTATATGTTTTTGCTGTTTCACGTCATTACAACACATTCTTTCTGATTATTCAAGTTATTCAGTTAACCAAGGAATTCAATACGTTTTCGGTAATTTTTTATGTCATAATTGTAGTTGTTTTGCAATGTTTATCTCGGGCATGAGATTTACGTTAAAATAAATCAGTTTGTTTGGAAAACCTTTGAACAGGAAACAGCTTCCGATTTTGAAAAGCAGAGATAATTTTCTCAAATAATCATTTCTTATGCGAATATCTATTTTGATACAATCTAAATGCTGAAATTCAATTTCGATGCAGTGTAATTGTGTAAAATGAAACTTTCCCAGTTTCCTGTTATTCTGCTTTCTATTCTGTGGCTTTTTGCACGTTGCACAAATTTTGCATCCTGCACCAAGCATATTTTCCTCCAAATGGAACGTCATTGAAGAAGCAAAATAAATGATCCGCGGCTTCAAATTACACTTGAAAGAAAAGAAGTTACCAACCGGTTCATTTCAAAGGTATTTCAAGGTGAGCTTTTCTTTCCGTAAAATAACAATTTTTGCTTTTCTTCCAACTGCCATTAACTATTGCAATACGAATTTCGTGCCGTTAGCAATTTAGGCAACCCAACGGTGTAAAATTGCTTAAAAATTCCCTAAACACAAGGAAATCTCATTTCAAATTCTAGAGGTATACAGCTTTGGAAATTTACTGTCAGTTCTGCAATTAAGTGCGCTTTACAAGCAAAAAAAAGATTGGAATTTACAATTGAATAAAGAGGTCGTGTTTGATTTAAAGTTCTAAAAAAACCTGTTCACGGTGATTTTCTCAGGTTACAAAAACATCAGTTCGTTATTCCGTTATGCTATCGTTTTATAACTATCTTAATTTTCTAACCCTGTCTGAAAACTGAGTGTCTTCCATGAAAACGATCTACAACTCTGGGGTCAACTACCACTTGGTTCATTTCGTATTAAATCTACGGTTAGGGTGGGGGGGGGGCGGCCTTGCGAATGAGCTTTCTTCACCTCCCGGTGCTCGAATTGAAATTAGAAAATGTTGTTCGTTTTTGCAGTAGAATGTTTTGAGACAACAGCACGCGATATACTGCTTAACCTGCAGAAAAGTCAGGAACGAAAAGCTCAATGCGTCCTTGATAACATCAAAGAATCAGTTGATATTGCCTCAAATTAAAACTACTACTTGTGGCAACGAGAGTTCATCGTTTCGTGGCAGCTACTTATGGAATTCCCAGTCAAATGACACAAAATTTTGAGCTCCGCCTGTTCGTTAAAGATATATGTACAAAAAACGAGCTTTTGTACATTATATGGGGCCTTTATGGGGCTGTTTTTGCAAACAGGGTATTTTTTCGTTAATTGTTTTTGAAATGCAAATGCAAAATGTAAATAGTTGGTGTTTGTTAGTTCTACAAAATATTTGCTTAAACTAAGATTAGGTCTTTGGGAAGGACGAGGACTTCCTCATAAACTCGCTCGTTGCTAGTTGGCGATTTACCACTTTATATGGACTTAACTGTACCCAAAAAGCTCCCAGGTTGAGCTGGAGAATTTCGGGGCAAAAAGACGGGACTAATGACTTCATTTGTTGTTTACTAAACTATCACTATTTTGCTATCATTTTCTATAAATCATTTTGAAATCTTTAGAATCGAAAGGCCACTAAACCGAGGGGCAAATCACTCCAAGAAAATCTCGTACACTTTTTGTGAAAATCCTATTGTTTTATCTGAAAATCCCTGGAAATCCTTTTGTTTTAGGGAAAATCTCGTACGCTATTTGCAAGAATGAATTGCCCCTCGACCTAAACTAAGTTTTAGCTCAACTACTCGCTATTGTCATGTCAAAACTTTGGTTTTAACCATTGCAGATAATTTTCTAAGTATTTCAAAATCCTCAATAAATTTCAAAAATTTGTTGCCTGGTTTAGCATTTTATGTTTATTTTCGAAGGACAATGTTTCAGCGTAAAGTTATAAGTCTTCACATTTTTTGTTGTATTTTGATTTGGTGTTGCAATACTTTTGTCCATGTATTGCATGGTTAGTGCTATTGTTAAAACAAACTTTTAAGAATGTTAAAGTAATAAAAATCAAAATGATAGAGGTTGGAGTCTGTAGCAGGGAGTTGTGTACATACCCCAATTTTCAGAAAAGATTTAGAGTTACCTCACGAAGGTCCCCTTACTCTGCATACATGTGCCCCTGCCTCAAAAAAAATATTTCTTCATCCTGGTCAGTGGTGGCGCTAGGGGAGGGCTAGGGGGGGCTACAGCCCCTCCATCGGAAGCATCTAGCCCCCCTATCAGAGGAAATTTTGGGTTATGGTCGGAGCAAATTTGACAAAGTAACGTACAAAAATTGCATATTTTTGTCATTTTAGCCCCCTTGTCGGAAGCTCAAACCCCTCTGTCGGAAGATTTCTGGTGCCACTTCTGATCCTGGTTAAATTCACCTGTCTAATCTTGAAAGCAAATATTTCTGCATGACGTAGGGAATAAAAACAACATTTCCAAGAAGACTTATGTCCGCATTCTGAGCCTGCAAGTCTTCACGACACTGTCGCCTGTGTTCCGTTTACCAAAGGTATAGTTACTATGACAACAAACTCTCGCTAGATAAAGTGGTTTTACATTATAGTTAAGTTGAATTCTTCAGAAAGGAACATGAGATCACATGAAACTTCTTATACCTGTGCGCAATGCTGAGGAGAGGGGGGTCAGGGGAGTCACTGACACGGGGGCCCATGACTTTATGGGGCCACAGATAATAACTTAGTCAAAAGTTGATAAGTAGCAATTCAGCTTCTCCATTGTCAAAGCCTTTCAATAATAGAAACAATAGTCGCAAAAGCCTTTGAAATAAAGTAAGGTAGAAGCAGCAATAGTATTAACCCCATTTATGTAACTCTAACAGCGCTAATAGCTTCCGGTAATTGTCTAGATAGTTAACAAAACAATTCTCAAGACTTTGCATCTGTAAAAAGGTTAATTATAGAGATATAGTCAAGTTTTTCGGCAATTTCAGTTTCCATGGACATTGAAACCAGTGAGCTAAGCCTGTTTTGGTCAATGGTAAAGCGAAGATAATACTTTATGAATTTGAGCTTATTGGACGATATTTCGCCTGATTCAACACTAGAAGGCAAAGTCAGAAACAAACTTAATGCAATGAAAAGATTGGGAAATAAGCGTTGCAAATTCAAATGCTTATCCTTGTTCACAGCTAAAACTGAACTGATAGTCTGAAGTCCTTTGCGTGGAGGGTACAACCTGAAGGGGCCAGTTATAGACATGCCTGGGAGCAGGGGCGCCTGCACAAGATTAAGGCAGGACGGGCAGTGTTGGTGCTGAGGGCAGAGAGTATAATTTTTTCCACTACCATTATCGATTATTTGTGAGGGGTGTGGGTGCAAAATAAAATATTGGCATCGACCTGTTCCACCCATACAGCTGGGATTTTTCCCATCAAAGACTCTAAACATAGGTTGACAAAATTCTCCATGCAAGTGGATATTAAATGGCCTCGTCATGAAAAAGAAAAGTTTGGTTTTACGAAAATCATGGCAATTAAAAATGGGCTGGCCGTAAGATTTAGTCTTTATGGTTGCAGAAACATTGAGAGTGTAGAATGGAAAATAATAATCACAATAATCTAATGTAAATCAAATAATTATTTACTTCAGCATTTTTTTATATTAAGCATGAACTAAGAGTAATATTCTTGTTCTGATGATGGGCAAAATAATCAGTATCTTATAAGAAACCGTTGCTTTTTGAAGTTTATTATCATTGTCTGGAAAAGAATTTTCCGTTATCAATGAACGACAGCAAAAAAAGAGATTTTTTATTTTTTTGAATTTATTATGGAAATCAACTTAGCAAGAGTAGCTGAACTCTGAACTAGTCATGAATTATCTACAAGATTCTTTAATCTTTTGTTAGGAATGAATATTCAAGGGCATTGCTTGCCCCCTCTGCCCCTTCTGGAAGAGGGCAGGAGGGGCAGCTGCCCCTGTAGCCCCTCCATGGTAGGCGCCCCTGCTTGGGAGAGACAATGTGCCTGAAGGTTTTTGAAATCTGAATTTTAGGACATCTTCTTTGGCTCTACTTACCGCCAAGAGCCCTAGTAACCAGTAAATTCAGTTGTTTAATAAATTCTTCATACTACAGTCATGCTGTTATTTCTAGTCATTTGCAGTCCTGGATGCATAAGATAGCAAGAAAAAATGCTAAAATAAAGTTCATGCAAAGCTAAAAGTAAGCAAAATCCACTCATTTGATGTTCTTAAGAAAAAATCGTTATAAATACTAGAGTTTGACTACATGTTTCTAAAGAGTAGACATTTTAGGTGTCTTTTCAAGGGGTACTCATCGAGTGTGAAAAAACAGGAGCTGTAGTTGGCCAAATTCTCTTTACGGTTGCCTTCACGTGGCTTTTCATAATTTTTCCTTATAGTTTGATCTAATATAGTTACTTCGTCATGCATCAAAAACATAATATCTATCAATTTTTAGCATTGTTTATTGGCGCCATATTGAATTAAAAAGTATGGCCAGAAAATTTTTTTTTGACATTATGAGAGATCGGTTACTTGCTTCTCTCAAGTATACACCAATTCGACTTACGGCCTCGTTTAGGAAATTTCTCCAAACTTCAGTATAATTTGTTTAAAATAAGAATAACTTCGCGGGAAACATTTCTAGCCTCAGATAAAAAAAATGAAAAATGAACAACATCTGTTTGGAGATTTAAAGATTTAGTGGGCAGATTTTATCAGCAAATCAATCCTGCAACTTAAATGGTTTACAAAACTGTTGTTTAGCGGTCTTAGACAAAATTCATAGTATAAAGATGTGGAACAATTAATGTAATAAAAACCATTTTATGATGCCATTTGATCTCAAGCATAAAATAAAAAACTTTAGAAAATTGAGAGGTATTTTTATAAAAAATCCATTATTTCTTCTAGAGCACAGTGACATAAAGACTTTTTATACTGAGTTGAAGTTGAATTTATTGGATTGGTGCAGTGCAGATAATCAATATGGCGAGAGCATGTTGCAGTCAAAAAATGAGCCTAATAACAATGATTTGGCTTACGACATCTTTCTTTTTTGCCGAAATCGTTGTAGGTTACGCGACGAATTCGATGGCACTTGTTGCCGATTCCTTTCATATGCTGTCAGATGTAGTGTCGCTTTTTGTCGGGTTTTTCGCATTAAAGGTAGGTTTTCACATTAGCATTTATTTATTTATCTTATTTATCATATTTAAGCACAAAAACCCTATCATCTACTAACTCCAAAAAAGTAAAGATCATATTATGCTGGCCTTCCTAGGGATCGTGCTTCGTGAAAGGATGCTAATTTTGCAGGAATTCCTTTAATTTCTATTTGAACGTGGTTATCGTGGAGCACATTCTTATTTGTAACGGGATTTTATTCCATGTCTGTGCACCACAATAGAAAAAACTCCTTTTGGAGAATTCTAGGTTTTGCCTTGGGGTGTCTAGGTGTGGGATCTACTGATAAGTCTTCCTTTCAAATTGTCTGGGCAGATACAATTTATTATTTTGTAGGTCACAACTGCCCTGTCAAATTTTATCAAGTTTGAGACCAAAATTGCAGCTCCACACGTCCTTTAATCTTGAGCCTTCTATTAGCGTGCGCGCTCTGTTTTGTAAGCGCTGAAGATGATCGAGCTTTGTGTTTGACAATTTGCCGCATAGTTCATCACTGTATCTCAAATGACTCTCAAGCAGTGCCTTATAGACCTGATCCAGTTTCGATTGCGAGAATAGATTCTTTAGTTTCAGCAGGAACGAGAGGATATTTTTTATTTTACCTTTAAGATTATTATATTGTTCATTCCATGCCAGGTTTTCGTCGACCGTAATTAAAAGATATTTCACCTTTTGAGCTCGTTTGATAGGCTCTCTCAGTGGCGGCTTCAAGGGGTGGTATGAGGGGGGGGGGGGGGTAATTAGCTCCCCCCCCCATTTTTTTGAAAATATGGTATACATATTTCTTCTAGAAACGGATTAAAAGGCGCTGGGTAGGGCTATATCAAATTACTTAAAGAAAGTTGGCCTGGTACAAGTCACTGAAACTAGGCAAAAGGGGCGTGATCCAAATGACCGCGCCCTCCCACTCTGTAATGGCTGGCGCCGCCACTGGGCAGAACAGGTAACACTGGTTTCGTCCACATACATGTTTGAGGTGCATTTGTAGGCAGAGAGCCCTAAAGTAATGCAAAATGCCCAATGTATCCTTTTCAGGGGAAGGGAAAGCAAACTGATTGGTAGTATGAAGTGTATTCAGTGTCGTTCATGTTGAACGGCTGCCTATCGTATTGATTTCAATTCAGTGCACAATATAAAGGAAATTCAGTACAGCTCGAGAATTATTAAGAGGCTCCAGCCTCCAAACTTTCTCCCTTCCATCACCCCTACCTCCCCCACCCCTTCCATCAATCAACCCTTCCCCCATCCAACCCAGCCACCCGTTTCATTTTCATCTTTCAACTTGATCGTTTCTTTCATTTCAGATTTCTCAGCAAGATCACAGACATAATGTTGATAAGAACACATTTGGATGGGTCCGCGCGGAGGTTCTTGGTGCCTTGGTGAATTCTGTTTTTCTTGTCGCTCTATGCTTTTCTATTCTGGTTGAATCTCTGAAAAGAATTGTGACTCCAGAAGGAATAGACCAGCCTTTGCTTGTTTTGGCAATCGGTGCTGCCGGCCTTCTGATCAACGTTCTCGGAATTTTCATATTTCAAGGTTATTATTTTATCATAGATGTTCGTTAATTAATTGGTAATAAAATGTGATATACAGTTTTGCAATGGTTAGGGTAATTTTAGATTATGGCACTGTGATGAGAACACTTCCTTTAAAACTTGAATGATTCAGAATCTCTCGTTAAGTAAACTGACGATTAATTTCAGGTCCTGTGATATTGCATCACTTAGTATCTCATTTTCTTTTTTCTTTATGAGCAAAACATGCATTTTGTTTTTGTTTGGCATTTAAAAGCGATGCCTCATGTACGGTCGTAAGGGTTGGCTGCTAGCTTTTGTAAATGAGAGCATATCTTTATCTAGAATTAATAAGAAAAATGGCCAGTATCTGTTCTGTCAAGAGGTAATTATAGAGTCTGTTCTGTGGTAGTCAATCGTGCAAGATATAATGGCCAGTATCTGTTCTGTCAAGAGATAGTTAATCGTGCAAGTTTTGATTTATGTGTGTCATATCTCTCAAGGTCACATGGGCCATGGTCATAGCCATGGTGGTCATGGTCATAGTCATGACCAAATGAAGATAGATGAGTGTCATGGAACCAAAGGGGGCCACGGTAGTCAAAGCACTGAGCTGACAACAGTTGTTATCGTGAATAAGATAGTGACCGACCAGGATGCAGTGGAAGTTGGGGATAGGAATGACATAGCTTTGGAGGAGCATATAAACAATGAAATTGGCGGCCTTTCAAACAATATAATCCATACGACGCCCTCAAGGTACAAAATGGGGATGATGCTAGCTGCATTGCAGGCATCGGAAGATGGTAAGGAAGCCAATACCAGTGCCACAACAGCAACAGGTAAGAAATCTACTTTTCTCCAACCTTCTGCGTTTTCGTTAAAACAAATGTACCATGTCCTGTACATGAAAGAGGAGTTCTTCGCAAAATGGCAGTAGCTAAAACAGAGTGTACCTGCATTTTTTAAAATACCGAATACGCTCACTTTTATGAAAAAAGTTTCCTTAACAATCATTTTTATCTTTTCTAAAAATCTGCAACATGACATTCGAATTCGCTAGATGCTAGAGTTTCCAGTGATAAAGCAAGCTGATATCTTTCAATGCCAATCGATCCGATTTAGAGGAATCTTAAATTCAAATCAATGGTTGTACTGTCAATAGAGCATGAATGTGTATTCTCTAGAAGTAGCATTGGAAGATCATCTTGCACTAAAAAAACATATTAACAACTTTGTAATAAAGCTGGAAAGAAAGTAACTGCTCTAGCTAGGATTGCTTCAAATATAAGTGAATCTGAGAGAATTCTTTTAATGGAAATAATATTCTATCACATCTATTTTTTCCTCTTATTTGGATGATTTGTAATAGGACAGTTAATAACTGAATAAACAGGACTCATGACAGCGCCTTGAGATTAGCAATTAACCACTTTTGGACAACTTTAAATGAAGTATAAAACAATCAGTTCTAATAAGAATAAATTACAATATATTGCGATAGAAATGTGTTAAATATTTAATGGTTTAAATCCACCAAATATAGATGAAATATATTTCATAAAAAAATGTCCATATATTTTTAGAAACTTCCGTTTATAAACAATGAAGCCCCAAAGTATTTTGATTTAAAGCTCTGTCATACAGATATACCCAAATGCGGGATTCGTTCCCGATCGAAAAAACATAGAAATTTTACAAATATTCATGAGTAGGATCTCAGAGTTCTTTATCGCTCAATTGTACTTGAGAGTCTTGCAAGGCATACAGGTGCAACATTGGTTATGTTATGAGATTGTAAAATGAATTGGTGTAGTTAGAAATTGTACCAACTTTATAAAAAAAAACAAAATAAAAGAAGGTGTGACACTTTAGACTTTGATGAGTTTGTCGATAAGATCTAAAGTTGGTTGGGAAAATCCTTCACTCACTAATGGTCTGGAATGTTCAGCATTCAATGTACTCCTTCCTTCTAATTAATGTATCCATCCATCACAGATGTTGCGGTAACCGAAGCTGAGTCAAAGCCTAAGAAAGTCAACTCGAGCGATCAAATGAACATCAAAGGTGTTTACTTGCACGTTCTTGGTGACGCCCTTGGTTCAGTAATTGTGGTTTGCAGTGCACTGGCTATATACTATGGCCGGGGAACATGGACTCTTTACATTGACCCTGGCATGAGGTATTATATATAATTTTTCCTGTTGCATGTCTTACAATCACAGCCAAAGCCAATTCAGCTATTTTTCTAGGAACGATTATGTCTACTATAAAAGAGTGTACAATATAAGAAAACATGATTTTAGTCTCACGTGTCCAAGCTGTCAAAACTGTTCAGGGTTCTCTTCGACTAAAGAAAAAAAAGTAGAGGAAAGGAATTAAAAATGTAAAAGCAAATGTCAAGCTAATGCATTTTCCAAGTAATTTTTGCATGCACGACAAGACAAATACAGGCTTTTGTCTGTTGACCATATCAAAAATGTTAAAGTCTTATCTTTACAAAACTTTACCATAGTCTGGAGCAAATTTCTATTCTAGATCCCCCTTTATGATAATTCTTGCAGCAGCATCTTACAACAGTATTTTCCTGCTTATCTTAAAACCGTGCATCACTGTAAAGATAAAAATAAAATGGAGTGAATTATAACGATTTTCTCTCTACCTTTTCGCAGTATCATCATGGTTGCCATCATCCTCAAGTCTTCCGTGCCCTTATGTAAGTGCTGTTTCTCATATGATATAAACAGTACCTCCGTTTTTCAAATTTGTGATAGGCCAGGGCGACAGAATTTATCTCTGTAATAAACCCTGACCCAATTTTCATGCGATTGTCAAGTTTTTTGTGCATCTTCCTACAAAGCAAACAGGTTTTACAGCTGGAAGATCAAGTTTAAAATGCATCCACCATAAGCAGTTATCAAAAGTGGTCTTTTAAACGGTTTGAGACGAACTGTGAATTTTCAAAATTGCTTGAGTGTCCGCGGCAATAAGTAATAATCTTGCAATGAGTATTAATACGGAAGATTTTTATAAGATATTTTTTTTGAAAAAAATCAAAAACCAAATTATTTGTGTTTCAAATTAAAGTTTTCAAATCTTGTCGATTTTGGGTGCGGTTGCCCTCAACTCCCACAACCTTTACCCCCTTTTTCCACCGTTTGGACGTTTACATGCAATCTACCTAAGCCATGTATATTTATGTTTTATCAGTTTTAAGTTTTCTAATTAATTTGATATTGGCTATTAAAATTCCTTTATACAACATCTTATTTTTGCTTTTTTAGTGAAAGAATCCAGCATGATACTTTTGCAAACGGTACCCACACACATACAAATTAATGAACTTGAAGAAAAACTGCTTGGAAAGGTATTCCCTAGCCCTTCTGTCTTATTCGTGTCTTCATTTAAAATCTCTGCCAATTTTGAAGCATCCCATTTCCAACTAGAGTTTAGAGAAGCATTAACAGTCATGGGAAAAGAGTATTTTCTCGAAAGATTGGTTTTAAAAAAAGATAGGTCTCGATCCCCACATTTTATCATTCCTGTAAATATGATGACAAACATTGTACTCCAAAAATTGCGGGAAGAAAAGTTTGGCATCTTTAGGCATCAATAAGCGAATGCCTTTTAGTCTTATACCTCAATAAGCAAGAATATGACAGCTAAAGTGATCTGTATTATTTTTTTTAGTTTCCGTCAATCGTCGAAGTTCATGAGTTCCATGTTTGGCAACTAGCAGGAAGCAAGATCGTTGCTTCTTTGCACCTCAAGCTTCTATCACGTGGTGACTACATGCAAATATGCGAATCGCTTAAAACGTTCTTCCATGAAGAAGGAATCCACTCTACTACGATCCAACCGGAGTTTATTGAGGTAACTGCAAAAGGCTATATTTTGTTTCTAGCTTATAGAAAGCAGTTCATAAATTGATATCAGGACAACAGTAAATAATTTTGTGTGATCTGTCTATAGGAAATTGAATGGATTTATCCTAGATAGAAGTTTCTACAATGCTCTTAATGCTAAACTGTGTTCAATTTAGGGAAGATGAAAGATAGTAATGATTTAATTGAAGTTGTGGTTTGAGTTGTCTTGAGGGTAAGAGAAGAGACTGTTTTCAACATAAAAACTTCGATTTTAGTTTCCTTCAGATTTGAGAAAAGATACCTTCCTTCCTCCAGTTTTCTAGATGCATATTTTTCATGCCAGATACTAATCATTATGCTATTTAATAATGGAAAGTAAAGAAAAAAACCGATCTATGACGATTTACACCTTTTAGGATAAAGTAAAGCATTCTAAATGTCCACAAGGGTATTCAAAAAGTAAGCTCTACGTTATGAAATCTACAGCCTACTATTGTCAAGGGGAATTAAATGCGAGGAAATCGATGAAAAATGGCAAGTGGCATGCTCCTGAGACAATAATCACTTACAATAGCTTATATGTAGCAAAAAGGAAAGTGTAGAATTTATTTTCATTGCAGTGCAGTGAACTGGCAAATATTTTTGCCATGTTTCGCTATCTTGCATCCTTAATAAAATATAACATCATCACTTCCAACAAGGTATTACAACCTTAATGCCTGCTATTAAACTAGAGCCCTAATGGCATTTGTTTGCCTAGCATGAAAATGGCAAGGGCATATATATATATAAATAGATGTCAAATCGAGCCATCGACGTTAATGATCTTTGATTTTCAGGAGATTAAACCATCTGCAAAAGAAGGTTTATGTTTGCTGAAATGCGAGAGCCTTCAATGCAAGGACAGTGTTTGCTGCAAGCCAAAAGAAAGCGCACCAAGAGGCGAAAGCAGTACACAGGATGTAAGTAGACAGACAAACCTGATATAAGTTGTGAATAAGGAGGAAAAAACCAAAGTGATGAACGCCAAGATCACGGTTAACTTGAAAACAATTTTAGTGTACAATCATTACTGATGCCAGAAAACTTTGCATGAATTATCGCGATTCATTCTTCTTTTTGTCGATTTTATTCAGTGAAATTTCACGGCATCAAGAAGAGTGTGTTAGAAGGAAGAACCGCAGGTTACGCTGTCCGCCGGATTCTGTGAATCTTGCGATGGGTTTAAATACAAAGATAAAATTCACGAACAAACCAAAACGATGACGAGAATCTAATGAGAGAAATTTTCAAAATAGATTAAATAGAACGAATGCAAATATTTCGCCCCGGCATACAGGGCTTCATCTTTATCAAGAAAAAGTCTTAGAAAAATGCACAACTGCTATGTGGTGTTTCACACATCACGTATATTTGCTTGAAAAATATTGAGATTTTATCTAATTACAATGAAGATTCATCTCCCTAGAACCACTCTAAGCATATACCAGATTAAACAAACATGGTTGACAATCTATATCTCGAATTATTTTGTTATATAGTTTAATAACGGAGAGGACGATCCCTGGTTTGTACCAAAAAGATTTATGTCATCCCCTGACGTCATGCCTCTTTACCATCCCTAGGCTATTCCCGCATGCTTTGCGAGTTTGTAGCTGCTATAAGAATTACACCTACCCTTATTGTCATTTCATTCTCTGTTACATTGTTTTATACTTTATATTTATTTAGTTGGCCTTAATAGGCAGATCACAGAGTTCATACTTGCTATCTCAGCTTTAGCGCTGGTTATTTATAAAATGTAAATAAAACACGTGCTTACATAAAAAGAGGTCTGGGTCTAGTGTCCTACAAATGCTTGTATATTATATCTGTTCAATTTACATTGGTAGACCGCTCGTTGAAAAAGTACAGCCACATTTCATCGATAATTTTGTTTCATTAATTTCAGATCATTATAAGCTTGCCAAAAGAGCAGGACACAACAGCAAATGATGAAGTAAGTAAGATTTGACCAAGCAACCTTGACAACGAAGTGCTTATGGTAAATTTCATCTGTTAACCCATCAAGTCATCGAAGAGGAACAAACTGGGAGGGTTAACTGAGATATATTCTGGTGCTGAGACCTTGTTAGATAAATTCTCACTATGTCTATAAGACAGTTTGTCATATTATTTGCATTCTCTAAATCTTTGTTTAGAAGTAAAGTGTATTTTAGTTGTGATAATAAATCATAAGACAAACTATTTAGATTCATAGTTTTATTTTAAACATATTTTATTTTGTAATGATAAATTTTTAACGTATTTTAAAGCAGATCATAAACTTGATCAAAAATAGATAGTGACGTTGCAATTGCTTAAGAAATTAGGTTAAACGATAAATTAGGTTTACGATAAATCTTAGACTAAGATTAAAACACCTATTTTGTTGGTTTTCGCCAAATGTGTATCTGTTGAGGTTATTTTTGAAATTTATCCAATGGCCACCTTTCTAGCCACAATTCAATTGCTAAAAAGCCTAATGGAATATCATTGGCAATGTTCAAGCATCTGATCTAAGGACTTTTAAATCTCGATGCGACACAAATCTTTCTGTGTATGAATTTTCTTTGTCCGTCTATACTCTTTAGGTAACATTTTGACTTGGAGTCTATATGTCATCATAAATATGATAATAGGAAAATTTTAGGTGATATTTAGTCCTGCTTTCCTTGTATCAATCAATGTGACCTTTGGATTCTAAAACTTCAAATTGCACTCGGGTTTACAGATTAAATAGAAATGTCCGAAAATTCTTTTCTAGAATGATTATTAAGTTGTGAACTGAAAACAGATTTAACACTGACTCTTCACGCAGCTGCCAGTGTTTAAAAATAAGATTAAATCTGGTACATATCCATTTGGTGCCATCACACTTTTATCCAATTTCGGAGAGTAGCAACTTTTTAGAATGTAATCATTCTTCTAAAAGCAAAAGAATGACTGACAATGGATTTTAAGGTGCACTGAAACTGAGGTTCTAATTTATCCAAAGTATCAAAGGTTTTCACTTGAATATGAATCTAAATAAAACAATCATGTTTGAAGATAAACTCTGTCAGAAAATATTCTCATATTTACATATTTTGTGTTTATAGTGATAAACCATCTGAAATGAAAAAAAAGTGTTTAATTAAGCCTCCTTTAATCGGTGCTATTCTTATACATCGTTGTAACTGGAGTGAAATTGGCATTATTGATGTTATTGCCAGTCACTTAATGAAAGCTTCGACTTTTGAAGTATACCGTATAAAAAAAATATCTAATTTAAAGAAGCTTTGTCTTAGCCTAAAATGAATGCCTTTTTCTATTCTATCTAAAAGAAGAAATTTGCAGGCAATGCTATTGTTACACAATTCTGAGCAGCTTTTCCTCTGTAGCATTTAATTAATTTCACATTTCTAAACTATCTTGTAGCATTTTTCAGCAACAAAATACCATGTTAATATTGTTTAAAATTATCATTTCTATTTGTATGATCATGATATTTGCTATTTAGTTTATATTTCGTCTTCTCATTGTACATTGAAATCGTGATACCAAAGCTTTTATCTCAGAAGCTGCCTGCTCACTAAGATTCTGGTTTCAGATGCATGTCTGATGAAGATTGAAATTATGCTACCTTTTATTTTTAATGAAAATAAATGAATTACTGTAAATCAGAGATGACTTTACAAAATTGACCCTGGGGGGCTAATAATCAAGTTTAGTGACATAGGAGGACCCACCATGGCTAAGAATAGTTTTGAAATTAGGCCTTCTGGAATGGCTAAAATGCATCTCCAAGACAAAATTTAACAAATTACTATACCGCTCAGAATATACAATTTGACGGTTCTCAGAAAAACATTGATAATTTTTTTTAGGATAAATTTTGGGAGGGGATGAGTCATGCTAAAACTCTAGTGACAGACATTGGGGGAAAGAGAGGAAGGGCGACCTTTTGTTCAGAGCGCACATTAATGTGAATAACAAGAAGCTGTTGTATTGATTGAGAGAATTTTACTTTCTAAACAGGAACGTGCATCTTCTTTGCCTCGATTATTTTCAGTAGGCCATATTTACACATCCAAAATGCAAACATTGCAATGATACAGAAATTTATCTACTGAATTCATTTAAATAATTGAAATATAACAAAATAAGTTGGTGAATAGATCAAATTAAATCAAGCAGTAGATGATTTGTTCTTATTTCATTTCATACACTGTTATAAAAAATGATAAAAAAATACGGTTTTGTCTTTGAAAAAGCTTCAGCTACCCTCTCCAGCCCCCCAGTGGTGCCCTGCCGGTAAATTGAATGTTCCTAACTATTTGTTTGATCACATTGAAATTATAAAGTCGTAGTACAAGCAGATAGGACTGGTTCATTGACAGTGGCGTGACAGATTCAAGTTTCTTTTTGATTTGTAATTAGAAACTAGAATTATTTGTATTCGAATTAAGGTAAGATTGCAAACAGAAACAAACTAAGAGCCGCAAACTTTCAGCAGAAAATTTTTCTATATTATTCTTCTTTGAAGCTGGTATCCAGGGTATGAACTACGAGCTCAAGGGGCCCCAAACCTCTATGGTGAATGGAAATTCTGTTGATTAAAATTCTATATTTTTTTCTTCAATGTTTTCCTTATGCTCATAATTGTGAGCCTCAAACTTTAAAATCCCTAGATTCGCAGGCGCCGGCTGCGCCTGTTACGCAACTGTTGATTGATACAATCTGACGTCATCATCCAATCAACTTTCGTAATCAATCGCAACATTCTGTATAAATTCAAATCTTCGATCAAAGAGTATCAGAAAATTATTTTTGTCAAAGAGAGAAGACTTCGGATTTACTTTTTGAGTGTAATACACGGTGGAATACATATTCCAATTGAATTTTGCTACTAAAATTGCTACAGTTGTCAACCGAGAAGTTGAAATGTGGTCGAATACTGGCGCTGACGAATGCTATGGCTTTACAAACGATGCAAATGTGCAGGAGACAAATCCTGAACAAAATGCAACGGAAGATCACACGGAATCGTATGAAAACAGTGACAGTTGGTCAGCGTATTATCAAAACTATCCATCCAACTTCAATGGAGCAGAGAACTACGGGTTTGCTGGCTGGGAGAATAACATCGACCCTCAAGGCATTTGGAATCAGAGTAGCACATGGACAACAGAATCATCACAGAACCCTGAATCTTCTTGGTCAATGGATACTGACGAAGTTGGAAAAGCAGAAATGTACAACGGATATGATGCTGAACCTCAGTACAGTTCCTGGCAAGACGAGCAACAGCTGCAACAGCCGGGTGGAGACCAAGCCATTGATATTGTTCCTGAAGAACAGCAACCGTTGGGGGCAAGATCTTACACTGCGTTGGACTTGGAGCAATGTGATGACATCGCCAGCCTGGAATCAATGTATAAAACAATCATGTGGTAAGTTATCTATTTATCTGCTTCTAGTAAAACAAACAAAGACGTTGGAAATAATTGGCAAACTCAACTTCTAACTGGACTAAACAGATATGAATTTTTATTGTTAAATTTTGAATTAAAGTTATATTAGATGATATATTTTAAAGAACTTTCTAGATAATTAGCCATAGGGGCTAATGAAATGGTCAATCTGTCTTAGCATCGAAAGAAATTGAGTAACCTTACTCTCTTTTTTTCATTTCAAAGACAACTTTCCATTTGTCTTATAAATTGTAAAAATGATTGAATATTTACGATTATAAAATTTAATTTTTAGTGAATTAGAGTATCTGGAAGAAAAAATTCACTGGGAAGAAGAAAACGGCGAAAAAGAATTACAACAAGAATACGAAAAAATCGATGTAAGTGGAAATTTAAACTTAATTGGAGTCATTTAGCCAGTGCCTTCCTTCTAAGCTGACAAGCTAAAAACTTTTAATAGCATTGAAAAAAATTCATAGAGATATCAAGTGAATCAGTTTTTGCTTTGCTGGCTTCTGATTACTTTCAACGAAGATAAACTTTTTAACTTTGGTATTTTGATTAGATTTAAAAGACAGGAAAATAACGAAAGAATAAATTACTTTAAGAGAATGTTTCTCAACTTCTGTGTGCGAAAATGACTCTACAGGGTAAATCATAGACAAAAACTGCTATTGCAGAGAGGCATCCAAAAAGCTTTACAAAAATTAATAAATAATGTTTCCAGGAACAAATTGCTTGAATTTTAGATAAATTGACAATGCAAAAAGGGTTTTTGAAATTGCAAAATCACTATCATTAAAAAATATTTTGTTTAGCTGTTCTGGCCTAATTGCAAAATAGGAACTTATCTTGATACCCTCCTGTAGGGTTTTAATACCAGTATCTAAAGAGGTTGCTATTTATCTAATAGCTCTTATAATCAAACAATTCTTAAACTTTCTAATATCACTTCTTCATCTACCTTTAATTAAATTACAGTCACTTTACGAGAATCAAGTTGCCGTAATGGAGAACAGTCTTGCAAGCAACGAGACAACCATCTTCAATGCAGCCTACGTCACAGCCGATATGAAGGCAAAAACAAAACAGATCATCGCTCAAGCCAAAAGCATTGCAAACCAAACTGACGATTACGAGGCTGCCATATTTGAACAAGAAAGGAAACTTAAAGGACAGGCCAAAATTTACGGAGAAGAGGGAAATGAAATACTTGCAAAAGTATATGAATTGGATTCGATAATTGCCGATGAAAAGGAGGTCCATGATGAGGAGATTGAAGACATTGATGTGGCCATAAAGCAGATGGAAGACAAAGTTGAGGGCGTCAACAACTGCATTGAAAGGTTTGTGGAGAATGCAAGGAAGAAGCTTGACTCAGAGAAAGAAGATTTGAGGAAGCAACTTGCAGAAAAGGAAAGAATTATTAGTGAAATGAAGAGGAAGAATTCATCGATGATTGACACCTTGAATAAGTCGGAGAAGAAGCTGAATTGGAAGCAGAAAATTCTGAGATTCTTCAGACGCTAACAGAAACGAAGGGATTTTATATCTGTTAATGTTGCAGTTGCAATATATTCTATTTTATCTTATTGCTTGAAGCACGACTTATCTTCTGTAATTTTTTAATTATATCTAAATTATAACGATTTTACTTTGAAATATTTGTTTTTATTGTCAGTTTCTACGTGAAAGCATTTATGTATGAATGTTTTGTTTTACCGACCGTATAGTAGATAACTGCGTCCAGTTCTATAGCATCTCTTAAATATGATGTTCTTTGAATCGAGGATTGAAACCACCATATCTACTATAAATTTGCTTATCAAAGCTATTATACAATTTGAATGAAAATACAGACAAATACATTCAGAATTAACTAAAGTTTTAAATTACCACGCTAATAGATTTAATACGAACCAAAACGTCTTTCTGGTGAGCTTAAAGGAACAATGAAGAAGCTATTTTCGAAATCTTGATATAATGTTTCATTTTTAAGCTATTAGAAACTTTAAAATAAAGATTAAGACCCATTTGTTTGCAAAAACTCGTAACTCAAAGGACGGTATTTCTAGTAGAATCGAAACATTCAAAGGATGGATCTGTCAAAGCAAAAGAGACACCTGTAATAACTTCCAGCAATTGCTGGCTTTGACTTTTTGGGCCAAGGATTTTATGAGATCTCGTGTATTGTATGACAAATTATACTTAGGAAACTCGGTACATTTATAAATCATTATTAAAAAAAAATGAATTCTTACTGAGGAGGCTGCTGAAGGGCAGCGAGAATTCTAAGAAAAATTTTTGATCGTGTGTGTGTGTTTTTCAATTATTGCTTATAAATGTACCGAGTTACCTAAGTATAAGCTGTCAATTTCATTAACTGAATTGAATTGTCTTTTCAAATAAAGAAATTATCATTGAGTATATAAACTTTACGTTAATAGATTACAAGCAAGTTGACGTTTACCCAAACTATTTAAATATTTAAAAACTCTTAAATGTAAAAATGTGTAAGAATCTTGTAAAAAGCTTTTTTCATTGCTATTGCATAAATTTATTTAATATATTTTTCAATTCAACCTTTTTTAACTTGCAAAATACAGGAAGCCAAGTCAACATAAAAATGGAAATGCAAAAATGTTTGAAAAATTGTACACTCCAGGCCTTGTTGTCTTTCCTTTTAAACCAAAAACTATTAAGCTACATAGATATGAGAATAATAATGAAATTTCTTGTTACAATAACCAGGATCGCCGAAAGAGGGGGGGGGGGGCTGATAGCTTGGTTTACGATCGGTCATTTATCATTTACCTGTGCTTAAGAATAATTAACGCAGTAGATTCATTGGGTGCATTTGTTTTAAAAAAGATTACACCTAACGTTAACCAGATGTGCCAACATAGCAGAAACTGCGACGAAACAGAGTTTAAATGGCTTGGCCATTTAAAGTGATAAAGCAGACTCACAAGAAAGTTCCAGAGATGTGAATTATTCCTTTCCAATCAGAAGATCAACAAGTTATGCAATAGATGGCTTTAAACAACATCTTCGGTGCTTCCTCGCGAACATGCTCCTGCTGTTCGAGCCTGGACACTTTTCAACAATGTGGAATATATTATTTCTTGTGACATGTATGTTGTTGGTCTAGAAATTCAAAAATTTTCTGGAGGGGGAAGGGTAGAAGTAGTTGCATTCTGGAAAAGAAATGAAAAACAAGTAGACGCGATGAAGATTGCAAGGGGTTCCAGGAAATGTTTGCAGGCATTATATGTATACATTTAAAATAGTCATGTAATATCATGCGCTTATCTATAATGTCATATGTGCCAAGCTGTGACACACACCATCGAGCTGCTTCATGCACCATTGCTGCCAGCCAAAAATCATCATATCATCTTCACGATGAGACCTTATCCAAGGCGGAATTGACAACAAACTTACACTTTGTAAATGTCTTTGTATTCAGTATGTTTGTAACAATAACTGAAATAAGATATTTTAAAAAAGGCCTTTTTCCGGTGGAGTAGCTCTGGATTAGTCCAAGTGATGTTTCTACAGCATAATATATAGTATGTGGTGCGAATGGAACTGCTTGTAAGTTTGGAGATGAGATAGCGTTTCTGTTGATGATCAATAGACAAAGAGTCACACATGTCGATGAATGAGCTGCAGGAGTATATTTCATATTAAAAGATTATAATAATAATATTATTTAAAGTTTGTCTATTTACAATAGTAATATAATTTTGAACATGTATTTTCACGCTTTCACTTTTCTCCAGTTACTTTTTTTTATTCACATGTAAAAATTTACAATGTTCGTTAAGTTTAGCAATACCTTTTTTAATTACTATACAACACTAAATGTATGATACCATGGGGAGCGAAAGACAATGGCTACCCCATGGCCAATGTAAAAAGACACATAGCGACAAACTAACTACAACTACGCTACACACGATTAGAAATTTATTGAATGATATAACAAGGATTCTGTTCCACATCAGATCTAAGGTCAGGGTTTCGATAACTTCGACGATGTTGCAACTCAAACGTAGGTAAGAGTGGAATACCCAAAAACTGTTTTTAAAAAAAATTTACAAGGACAAATAACATTTACTTTAAAGGACTTGGTGGTTGCAAAGGTTGCAAAAGATCTCAATCAAACCGACCAGTTTCGTGGATAAAATGTAAAGTCATTTCGAGTATATTTCTATTCAAGTCATGGGAAGGTCTTGATTACCATACAACAAAAGCTGAGTCAAAGCAACGTTAGAAACATCGGTACTTTGTACGACTGGTCGTAATAATTCGGAAACTCTAGAGAGTAGATCTTGTCGCTGAACATCAAATGAAGGGCAGAACAACAATAAGTGCTCCGTATCCTCAATCCCATTACTTGTTTGGCACATTGGGTTCATGGTATTACTAAAACTATGCTTGAATTTGTGGCAATTCAATTTGTTGAGACCAACCCTGAAATGAATGATATAGGATAATCCTTTTGGATAACGAATTCCAAACACAGATTTTGCAGGGGGGCGGATTAGCAACACAGCAACAGAAGGTGCATGTCTCAATCCCCCTCCCCTCCATGTTCCTGTTAGATCCAAAGCAGTAGAATACTGAACAGACTCTAGCTTTACCATTAAATTTGGCAAAACGATATTTTGCCTAAAGTCACATAATTTAGCAGGGATATGATAAATAACATCACCATAGTTCAAGTGCAGTCGAACGTAGAGTTTATATAATTCGTTTAGAGTATGCCTGGGAGGATATTTGGAGAGAAATTTCAGAAAACCAATGCCCTTCCTTGTTTTAGAGATAGCTGATTTGATATGAGCTGAAAAACATAGCTTTGAGTCCAGGATAATTCCTAAGTGCTTATGCTAAACTACTTTCTTCACAGGTATGTTATTAGAGGGAGTAACGTGATGATCAACTTCAATTTTCTTCTTTGAAAATGTTAATTCAACGGCTTGTGTTTGTGGATGAGGATTAAATGACATTCTCCAAGTGTGAGCCTATTGACTTATCAAATCCAAGTCATGGTTCATATCATTGACTGCTGTATTGGAATCTTCTATCACTGTGATGTATCATCAGCAAATAACTCAACATTACATTTCAAACCTATGGCTAGATCATTTATGTACACAAGGAAAAATAACGGACCCAGAATAGAGCCTTGAGGCACACGTGCTGAAAAATCACCCCAATTAGAACTCTGTCCATTCATTACAGTTCTCTGCTTTCGATCCTTAAGAAACTTTAGATAAGAAAAAGAAGTTGTCCCAATACACCATATCTTTTTAATTTATGGATTAGACCATCGTCCCACACCCTATCGAATGCTTTAGAGATGTTGAGATACACAGAACGGACATCAAGGGGAGGATTACAATCAAAAGCTTTAAATATGGTGTGTGTTATTGATAGTAGCTGGCTGACTGTCGAGTCTCCAGTACGAAAACCTGATTAATTTGGGTTAAGCAGTTCATGTGATAAGCATTCAGATTTTTCTCATTTTTCTTATGAACCGGCACTACATTTGCATATTTCCATATCTTGAGAAATAAGCCAGGCCTCAAACAATTTGTGAATATTATTTAAAATGGAAGACCTAGTAAAACATCGCTTAACTTTATCATTCTCAAAGATATTTAATCCCAACCATGTGCTTCATTAGGATTAAGTGATATTATGATATTGGGTATCTTTTCCTCAGAGATGACAAAATAACTTATCGTAGTAGTAGTTGCTGGAGTATCTTGTGGAATTTCACGACCTGTGTCAATGATCGTGCATTGAAGTATCAAATAATCATTGAAAATCTGAGCCTTTTCAGTCAAATCTGTCTCCAGTAACTCATCAAAGTAAGAGTCATAGTCTTTGAAGAGGATCCTTAGTGCATGTTTGTGTATGCGGTTTATTTCGTTATTAGCAGCTTTCGTATAATAAAGCTAGATCAACGGGCAATAGTTGAAATTAGACAGTATTACGGCGTTGCATATCAACATGGCCTGTGGTCTTGAGATATAAGTATTTATCTATCTATTTACCTTTGAGCACAAATTTTGTATATGATCAGTGAAAGTCAACGCGTTGTCAATCTGTATGCCCAACAATTTAACCTCATTCGTAGTTAGTATTTTGTTATCACTGATGTCGAGCCACAAGGTATTTTTTCTTTCAATTCAAGAAATGTTCACTTTCGGAATGGTACATAATCTAGGGGAGCTTATACAGGGGGGGGGGCATTTCTAGGACTTAGGTTTAATCAACTGAGCCAACTGATGATGTCTCCGACTGATCCTACAAACACAACAGCTTTTAATGAAAAGTGGAAACTGTCGCCATTACGTCAAAATATAGTTCATAATTGTTTGCACTGCTTAGTTATGGAAAGGAATTTAAAAGGTATTCTGAATCTTTAATGCATTCTGGGAATCAGCTGACTGGGGCTGAGTTGGACTCACACTAGAACCATGTCAAATTTCATACAAAAGGCAGCCAACTTTCCAGCGAAAACCTTTCAGTCCTCGGTAAAACTTCCTTTCAGATAGAATTTATCTTAATTTCCAAGCAGAATTTTCGTTGATTTTCACCAGGTTTCATTCTAAAAAACTAAAGGTTTTGTTTTGAATCTGAAGATTGTCTTTGTGGTGAAATTCGTGATCACTTGACATTGAATGGACCTTTGGTACCACAGCCACAAAATTTCGAACGAGGAAATATAAGATAAGAGCGGAGAAGCAGAGGAGTATCTATCTGAAAGTAAAATTTTTATTTATCTCAGGTAGGCGCTTTTTCGCTTCTCCGCTTCTCTGCTTCTCCGCTTCTCCGCTTCTCCACTTCTCTGCTTCTCCGCTTCTCCGCTTCTCTGCTTCTCCGCTTTTCCGCTTCTCTGCTTCTCCGCTTCCCCGCTTCTCCGCTTCTCGGGCTTCCCTGCTTCTCCGCTTCTCCGCTTCTCCGCTTCTCTGCTTCTCCGCTTCTCTGCTTCTCCGCTTCTCTGCTTCTCCGCTTCTCCGCTTCTCCACTTCTCCGCTTCTCCACTTCTCTGTTTCTCTGCTCCTATCTTCCATTTCTGTGTACAAATGTATGTGGCTGTGGTGCTCAGGATAGAAACTGAGTAGAATTGCTGAATATCTTGTCATTAGAATCAATTCGATACTGACCGTTGGCAGTGATCACAGGGAACTAGTATAGCAAAAAGAGCATCAGGGCTACAATCTGGTTTGTCATTTGGCCGTTTTGACAGTCAAAATCCTCCAATCTGGCCGTTTTTTTAAAGCTGTTGGCCGTCGAAAATTGATTTGGGCGAAAAAGCGAAAGTTGGGTGAATTTTGGCCGCATGTTGAAGGCCACAAAAATACAAAGAAAACGACAACTTTAGCACAGACAATATTCAACCTTTTGTTAAAATAATATCAAAATTGCAAATGACGAAGCAAGAAACAAAGTAGAAGATAGCAGAAAATTGAAATTGAATGCAAGTGGGAGCTTTTGTAACAAACAAAGCCATTTTTGATTACAGTATTACTCCACAGCAAAAATGTAGCTTTTATTACATTTTCTTTGGCTGGCCGAATTTGGCCGTCAACCGTAGAGTATTTGGCCATCAATCATTCCAAGCATCTGGCTACAATGTAGTCAGACTGCCTGCAGTTTGTTTTCACAACCATTACTCTCCATCTTCTTATCTGGTATTTACATATCAAAATGCTAGTTAGTGCACAGTCTTGTTGCAGTACGTTCGTTAGCAACTCAACAACTACTGAAAACCTTTTGTTAGAAGTTCTTGACCACGAATATTAGCCGTACTGCTTTGTACTATCGTTGCTACCCGAAAATTACATTTATGGGACTTATCAAAAAAGTCGAAAACTGCATCAGAGAAAGAAGGTTTGGGTGCTTTAAATGTTGCACGTGGCTTAATATGTAAAGAAAAGAAGCTAACAACTGATGTAGTCTCGTAGCCAAATAAGGAAATGTTACCCAAATTTAGAATTTGTTTCATATCCAAAGTACCAGTCTTCTGATTGTGCGTTGACGTGTGGCAAGGTATATAGGATTCAATATTACAAGATTGTAAAACATCACAAAGTATATTAGAAAGGAAACATCAACCTTGTGCGTGAAAATGTCGAAAGAAAGTTTTTCCCTGAAAATTTGAAGTTCAAACTTTAAGGATTACCGCTTCTCGTATGCACTAGATAGCATGTAATACATCGAAAAAAATGCTTCTAAAGAATGAAGTTGCTTACAGCTTCTTAAATGTATGATATCTTAACATACATATATCTTTTTGTTATAGCTTCTCTTGTGATAACTTGAAGTATTTCTGTAACATCACACCCGATTATCATTTATTCATTAAAACTTTTCACATCCTATATATATAAAAGTGTGTTTAATTATGCGAAATGAATTTATATAAAGTAAACAAGAAATGATTCCTTAAAAGGTTTCTCGAAAAGATAGTGTGAAAAAGATGAAATGGGCTGTTTGAGCTTAAGATTTACACAGATTTTTAAATTTCTGTGACTTATAAAAAGATTTCCTCCTCTTTATTTAATCGGAAAACAATTTTCATTATGGTTAGGTTGAATGTCTTGCAAAAGGGTTTTCTTTTAAATTTCATTTCATTTTTCTGATTTTATCTTTTATTCTTTTATGTTTCTTGCGTTTGTTTATTTGCTAAGAATATTTGAAAGAACATACTTGATGCTATTGTCTACACAGGAGTCACGGCAGAACTTTCTTTTTCATGGCAAAACTTACTTTCTCACAGCCAAACTTCCTTTCTCACGGCAAACTTTCTTTAGTAAAAGAATTTCCATCTGAAAGCTTCCAGTGCTTGAGGGACAAGAAAAATAATACTGAGGGACAAAATTTTTTGGCGAATATTAATCATGTTTATTTGTTACATTATATGGCTGTTTCTCTACATTTTTTCACCACAAAGATATGATAGTCATGGCCAATGTAAATCATTACAACTATTCAACTTGAAAAGGTTAAGTCAAAATGTTTATTGAATAGCATAGCACGCTCTAAAAGCAAATAAACTTAAGGGCCTTTTTATGTCTCTCTGTTGCCCCAAATGAAAGGCAGGAGGGACGCTTGCTCCCCTCTGCCCCAGCTCCGGCGTCCCTGACAAAGATCTGCGGTTGCTCTAGGTAAATAAAGGTAATCCCTGTATCTTTAAGATTTAAGTTAGTTCAGAAATGTTTTGCTGGGTTTGTTTTGCTATTTGCATTCATTTTGCACACGATATTGTTTGGTTACAGACTCAAGGTAGTAAGCTGAAATGTTGTCGGGTGGATCGCTCGATCTAGTCACGAACAGCCATAAAATTTTACGGCTCCAGCCATCAATACAACCATGTACAGATCATCAAATAAATATGAAAATTGGAATAAATTTCTAGATATATTTATTTAAAATAAAATGGAAGACATCGAATTTTGGCGGCTGAGCCCATTGAATGATTGATACAATCTGACGTCATCATCCAATCAGCTTTCGTAATCAATCACAGCATTCTGTTTAAAATTAAATCTTTGATCAGAGCAGTTCAGAAAATTAGTTTCTTCCAAGAGTGAGGACTTCGAAAATTTCTATCAAGAATTCAGATATATTTCATCATTACATTAATCAATCGAGAAGCTGATATGTGGTCAAATACTGGCGTTGACGAATTCAGAAGCGATGTAGAAGTGCAGGAGACATATCATGAACAGAATGCAACAGTAGATGACACGGAATCGTATGAAAACAGCGACAGTTGGTCAGCGTATTATCAAAACTACCCATCCAACTTCAATGGAGCAGAGAACTACGGGTTTGCTGGCTGGGAGAATAACATCGACCCTCAAGGCATTTGGAATCAGAATAGCACATGGACAACAGAATCATCACAGAACCCTGAATCTTCTTGGTCAATGGATACTGACGAAGTTGGAAACGCAGAAATGTACAACGGATATGATGCTGAACCTCAGTACAGTTCCTGGCAAAACGAGCAACAACAGCAACAGCCGGGTGGAGACCAAGCCATTGATATTGTTCCTGAAGAACAGCAACCGATGGGGGCAAGATCTTACACTGTGTTGGACTTGGAGCAATGTGATGACATCGCCAGCCTGGAATCAATGTATAAAACAATCATGTGGTAAGTTATTCACTCTACTGGTTTTATTTAACGAATATAAACAAAGATATTGCGATAGTTGGTAAATAAAAAAATAATCAAATATGTTATGTTATGTAATTAAATATGTTATGTTTTTATTGTAAATTGAAAGGGCAAGAAATTAAGAAATGTTGAAGGTTTATTTGAAAAATGGAAAAAGAGTCCATGAAATTAATTAGTTAACCTATATATTGATCGTAATTTTGATTCATTGTGAGAATTTTTCAGTCTAGAAGATAATGGTTACTTTTTAATTTTTTAACCTCCACAAGGTAAGAAATTTCAATTTTCAACCTCAATATTTCATATGATTTTTTTTAGCGAATTGAATTATCTGGAGGAAAAAATTCACTGGGAAGAACAAAATGGCGATAACGAATTGCAACAAGAATACTGGAAAATTGATGTAAGTGGAAGTTGAAGCCATTCAAAAATAAGTTTAGCCTCTTTTACCTGAGCACTGAAAGACAAAAATACCGAGGGGCGATTCACTCTTGCAAATAGCATACGAGATTTTATCTAAATCAAAAGGATTTTTAGGGATTTTCAGATAAAACAATAGGATTTTCACGAAAGATGTACGTGATTTTCTTAGAGTGATTTTCCCCTCGACAAATACAATCAATTATATTCAGGTTTCCTGTTTATAAAGAAGATTGTCTTACTAGTGCATTCTTTCTAGAAAAGCAAGTTACAACATTATGGCTGAGATGAAAGACATTAAAATCTTGTAAACTAGAATTAATAGGAATTGCCTATCATTTTGTGTTTCACTTGCTTGCAATGACTGTCATTTGAAGTAAACATTTTAACTGCGGCATTCAAAACTTTAATGAAATAGGATAGTATGAACAATTTTTAGTGTTGCGATTTTGTTGCCGTTGTATAAAGTCTGAAATATTTAAAAACATGCCGTTATAGGGCCGATCGCGGACTAAAATTGATGCTTTCATGAAGGTGATGCGTAAACTTACCGTCAATGGCGAACAATCTCTAAAGAGATTTTTTATAAAGAAGCCTTTATCGAAAATGTCTTTTTTCAATTATAGTCACTTTACGAGAATCAAGTTGCCGTAATGGAGAACAGTTTGGCAAGCAACGAGACAACCATCTTCAATGCAGCCTACGTCACAGCCGATATGAAGGCAAAAACAAAACAGATCATCGCTCAAGCCAAAAGCATTGCAAACCAAACTGACGATTACGAGGCTGCCATATTTGAACAAGAAAGGAAACTTAAAGGACAGGCCAAAATTTACGGAGAAGAGGGAAATGAAATACTTGCAAAAGTATATGAATTGGATTCGATCATTGCTGATGGAAAGGAGGTCCACGATGAGGAGATTGAAGACATTGATGAGGCCATAAAGCAGATGGAAGACAAAATTGAAGGTGTCAACAACTGCGTTGAAAGGTTTGTGGAGAATGCAAGGAAGAGCCTTGACTCAGAGAAAGAGGATCTGAGGAAGCAATTTGCAGAAAAGGAAAGAATTATTAATGAAATGAAGAGAAAGAATTCATCGATGATTGACACCTTGAATAAGTCGGAGAAGAAGCTGAATTGGAAGCAGAAAATTCTGAGATTCTTCAGACGCAGGCAGTAAAATTTGAACGTGTTGGGAATAAATGAGATACAATTTTCTTTGTATTTGCCAAATATTTTTGCGTTACTTTGTTAAATTTTTCAAAGCATCCATGTTATTTTTCATTTGTATTTTTGAATCAAAATGGTATAGAGAATCAGATTATTTTTATCACGCTTTCCTTCCATGGTATTGTTAAAATTGTATAGCAAACGAGTAGCTGTGTTGCTATTTCTTGTTTTTAGCTGTGACGTATTTTCCTAACGTTTGATGAAATTGTAGGTATTTTAGAATTAGACATATACCTTTTAATCCCTCCTTGGTGAAAATATTTATATTAACGTTACGATGTTATTAAAGATATTTATATCAAAGATATTTTCATTTATAGTGCATTCCAAGATATTTATATTAACGTTACGGTAAACGTTTTTGACAGGAAATTTGGTTTTCTAAAAGTAAAAGTAAAACTATCAATGGAATCAGATTAATCTATACTTCATTCCATGCACAAGAACGTGGTGATTCCAACCATATAAAAATAATTGAAATACACGCTTTTTTGTAAGGAACCACTTTATAAGGAACCTAAATGTAGAAGAAATATTTAAAGAACTTTTTCTACTAAAAACGAAATCCCTAAAACTTTTCGATTTGAAAATTTTTTATAATTGCAGCCAATACTCGAATATACTCGTTTTTTAATAAGAAACAAAGGTCGATGCTGAGTATTCCAGTTTCTTAATGTTCTGGAAATTTCAATACTCATTGTTTCTTAAGAGTTTCTTAATTATCATATCATGAATGATGTTATGAAATGTTCGTGACCTTTTTTATCACGTCAAGAGATTCGATTCCGTTCTGATGCTGTATTTAGACGTGGGAAGTATATTTTTATCCCTTGTGTCTTAATTTCTAGGCCATCAAGGCAATCATGTTCTAGGATTTTACAAAATTTCGTTGTTCTCAGTTTTATCACGATTTAATAGTTTCTTAATTGTTTTGCTTCGAGTACTAAAGTTTCTTAGTTTTTTCTGACTGTCTAGTGCGCGTTTCTTATAGCCAGTTTCTTATAAAAAAATGAGTGTAGATTGTTTGCCATTCGTGTGTCAAGTGTTTCAATGTGTAGTTTCGGCATATGCTTTCTCGCCCTGCTTTCTACTAAGTGTTAAGGCTTATTGTAGTCAAAACAAATTAAGGAACTATTAGGGAACTTTTGGAACTACAATTTGATGATTTAAGGTCTACGAATAAGGAAAATTTGGAACTAGGCCTTGAGGTAGGGTCCCTATAAAAAGCGCGTATTGTAAAATGATACTTTTCAATAAAAATTTATTGCTTTAATGAGTGTTCCACCTTCAAAAGCTACTTTGTACCCTTTTGTTTGAGTTAACAAAATCTGACTTATATCAGCAGAAAGCGCAGATCCTAAGCTCCCAAAGTGTTTCTCAGATTTTTCAAATTCCTCCTCCCCTTGAAACTATACCACCCCGTCAAAAATTGGCAAAAACATTTTCTTCCCTCTCGTAGCTGTATTTGGCTATAAAAGACGGACCAGAGGAAATACAAAACTTTTTGGACATTTTTTTTCTTACCCAACATCTCTCCTGGCCGTGTGCAAATTTTGAGCCATTCGATTGGTTCCTTGGGTACAAAATAGCATTTTCGTACCTGTATGTAGAAGAATTGTAAGTCCGAAGAAAAAGGGGTTTTACTGATCGCACTTGCAAGGTACACTTGTACCACAATGTAGTCCGGGTCAAGTCACTTGAAGCTTTAAGATCAATAAACAAACACAGCCGTACCAATTTCATGGATGTGCCATGCGGTATTGTGAATGAGACATGCGACCACAACCGCAACGAAAATCGGCTTAACAGGTCAAGAGATTTTCAGACCTCAACTAAAAGTTTTGACAAAAAATTATGGAAACCTTCGTTTACATCGGATTTTATCCATTTCCAAAATTTCGGTTAGTTTAAATTTTGGCACCGCTGGGTGCCTTGAAAGTTCAGCTGCTTAAATGTGAAAAATCGAAAATGTGTTGTTTCCATCCAGAAAACATTTACTGTAAACTTAAGTTGCAAAGCTTACGAGGCTACCAGTACAAGTACTTTCTGCCTTTCCTTTCTTTAGGTTGATTATCACTCTGTTTTTCTAGGGCTAGGTTATCTATGTCCACAGGGTATTTTCAATGGCTATTTGTGTCGATAAGCTGTGTATACTACGGCATCACCATCGTATATTTGAATCTACAACCAAGAAACTCGTTATCAGAGCATTGATCTGAATCGGAAGCAGCAATGGACCAAGAATCGATCCATGGAGCACTCAAAATTTTATCAGTTTGACTTCTAATTGTCATAATGTACATACTGAACGTCTCCGAAAAGATAAGTTTCAGCCCACATAAGCTCACTTCTTCTTACACTCTGAACCGTTTACGTTTACGTTTAACTGCAGGATCTGCCCTATTACATCTTCTGAAACCAAGTTGTGACGGTGATATCAGAACATAGCAATCAGAGTAGTCTGACAGTTTTTCTTAGACTACCCTTTCTAGTGCAATTTAATTGCTTGTAAAATTTATATGGTTCAATGTTTACTATTCATCGATGTTTTGGTCCACCCTTAAGGAGGAGTAGATTTGATTCATATTCATTAGAGCAGATTTGTGAGCCACTGCGACGCGGCAAAACATTGTCTGGTGTGCTGTGGAAAATTCTCCAACTTCACCCAATTGGTCTAAAAATTGAGAAAAAATCGCGTCATTCTTCCATTTCTACCAGGGTATTCTTTTTGTGTTCATCAAAACAGGGCCAGGTTTCAAACTAAGTGAATAACATATTTTATACAATTATGAATACTTTTCCTTATGTTTATTTAATTCCAATTCAAGATACTTTGATTAGAGCGGCTATATATTGTTAATTTAGGCCATAGAGTATTTTATTTTTCAAAGTTATCTATTGGTGGTGTGCTTTGTGATTCATTTTATGATAAAAAGTGCTGTGGATCAAAAAAGATTGAATAACATTAGAGGCAATGTCAGACTAGTATTTAAGGTCAACAAGGCTGTTATACGTCGGTTGCCGGAAAAATATGCTTTTAAAGTACCCTTAGAGATCTTACTTTTCATTGAACTAGTTGAGATGATAAATATAATTGCTGATCTGCTCGAACTTTTAAGCGTAAGTATGAAGATTAGTTTTATTATATATCATATTTTACGTTAAATATACCAATGCCATCACAAATTTTGCTCCAATAAAATGCAACTATTGTTTTAATTGAATTATTTTAGTGCCATTCACATAAAAATCAATAAAAGCAAATAATGAAAAGAAAAGGCCTTAGAAAAGATCCTTGCAAAACCTCAACATCAAAGCTACCAAACTTGGCAGAGGGGAAATTTCTTGAAACCAAATCAACGATGTTTAAGCAAAAAAAATTTTAGTTTTTTTGCAAGATAAAATGTTTAGATCGTCAGAAGACGGCATTGGGTGTGTCTTTAGGTCCAAGAGAATGCTTTTGGGTACAACATGGGTTTCAACTTTTACGATGTAAGTTTTGCATAGGGTTTAAATCTTCATTAATTGAGAAATAACGCTTAATCACGTGACCTCTCTAGACGCTGAGCCAAGCAAGGCTACAGAAAATGTAAACAAACTTAGTTCTAGGCAAAAAGGTTTGCCTTTTTACCACCATTCGTTTAAAATCGTTTCATCATTTCGAAAATATTGCTTTGCGAACCTAGCAAAAATAAGAACCTTTGCGTTTAAGGAGCTCGAAGTTAACAAAATTTAAAGTTAAAAACAGCAAATACCCGCAAATCTATAATTTAAGTTTTATTTCTGATAATTTTAGTTCTAAAAAAGCATGGTAAATTATGCATCTTCTCTTTACTACAGCTAAGGCAATCACAGAAATGGAAGAAATTTTAAAAACTGTATTTTTGTTTTATGTTTCTTCGCATTCATGGAAAATCTTTTCTGAAATATAATCTATGTTTATGACAGCTTTTTCGTAAAATCAGTCAGGTTTGAATTTTGTAGAGGCTCTGAATTCAATTTAATCTCAAAACGAAAATAAAATGAGACAAGTTTAGACTTGCTAAAGCAAGAGAGCGGATTACTGGATTAAGGCGCGTTCGTCGAAATAATTAAAGCTTTCTATAATTTAGAGCGGAAGAATTAAATGTTGACCTTTGTATCGCATTTCTTTCCAATTTGATCAAATTTAACACGACGCGACGGAAATGCAACCTTGAAACCATACCCAATTACTTCAATTAACGAGGGTCTGAAGGCAAACTGCTAATTATCCCTTCCTAAGTTTACCAAGTTGATTCGTTTTTCTGTGTGCTGGATTAGGTCTGGATTAGGTAAGTGTTTTAACCTTCGAAGTTTTGCCAAACCGTTTTATGGGCTAGCCTTTTAAAACTAGTTTATGCTGCTAAGACGTATTAAAATGCTTATTTAAAAATAATTACAACTCTGTAATATCCAGTAAATGTGATCAAATGGTGGCGCCAGCCACTAGGCTCTGGGATGGAGAGGAAAGCAAAATTTTTAGGCCATGCCATTTTTAGCACTAGAAAACGCCCTTTTACCATCAATGAACGACAATTTTACCTGAAGGACACGCTCATTAAAAAAATTTGGTTACGTTAAAGCAGTTTAAAAATCATTGGAGGGGAATGGAGTGGAATCCAAAGGCCGGTTCCCACTTGATTGCACTGGTTTGTTTGAGATCGGCGTTGGCTTACTGGGAATAATTAAGTACAGCATTAGTCTTCGAATTTGATAAACAGGCATTCATTGAGCTTAAATATTTTTCTGAACATCTATTGCCGTTTGGTAGGCAAATTCCTTCGTTTCGTTTTCTTTGAATTTGCTGCAACAATTTCTTGCATGCAATAAATAGGTCAAAATGTACGAATAAATTTAGCACTTTAAGGAGTTGAAGCAAGGTAAAATAAAAAATGGCGCCCAACATGGTTTTGTTGCTTGTATTGCTCTCACCTTTATGATGTTCCAAATAGATTTCATTAACCGACATCCAATTGCTTAGAATAACTCTTACCAAATCATCGTTGTGTTACCTTTATTCATTTATTCTTCTATTTTGATGCTTTCGTGAAATCTCTAACGATTTCCAACCAAAAGATCACCCAAAAACTTTCTGTAATACATGTTTGAGTTACACATTTTTGTTGGCCTAAACAACTTCCTCATTTGTTGACATAAATATAAGCCTAGATGTCTTTGTATAGCTTTAACTACTGCAAATTATGATGAATGTACTGCTAAACATTAAGATTA